TTCTTGTGAATCCTCTACCCCTATTGCATCTTTCCAATAGACCCTCTCTTTTGGCTGCAATCACTCTATAACTAAAATTTCAGATTTCAACAAAAGTCCTCTTCACTGTCTAATTCACAGGATAAGTTGTTGCCCTAATAGCACATACAGCTCTCCTGTGTGTAAGGAGGGAAAAATGTCACCTCTTTCCTAGAACTTAAACACTTTAGACTGTTAGTTTAGTATTTCAGTGATGCAGTAGAGGTAGAGAATTCATAAGAATTATCAACAACAAAATTAAAAAAACCTAAGAATTGTACCTCTATTTCATTAGATGGCCAACATGACATGTTAAAACCCATTTTTGGTGCTCCTTGACATTTTATTTGTTTGCTGTTGAAAGTCACACTCAGCTGTATGACACCAGCATGTAAATAATCAAGTCTTTACCAAACAATCCAGTGACATGATGAGCATTTATATACACATGCATCAACCATACCATGACCACCAGATCATTGCCTCCTACGACAAGACAAGTTCTAACACACACCTTCATGGGTACATTGACGTGATATAATTGGAATCCAATCCTAAAAAAATCAGATCTTAGAGTATGCTACCACCACACACAAAAAATAAGGACATCCCATTACATCAGTATGACCTTTAATCTGACCAATCAAAGCGTTTTTCTAATTGTGTTAACTCGAAAAGGTTAACATGGGGCATTCTGAATGAAAGATTTATTCCAAATGATAGACATCTCTTGCTTCAATGGAATAAACATTTAAAATGGAAAAGACTAAACATAGCCTTTGGGAAGTACTGCCATGCAATCTTGGCCATCTATTAGATATTTCAGATATTATAAATTTACAGAACTTTATCAAAATATTTTTCAAAACTGTTAACCTGGAATGGAAGTCACATTGTTGGAAAGCAGCTTTCTGATTGGCTAATGTTGGCTTCTTGTTAATAATTTCATTGTTCGGTCGAAGTTAATGAAAAGTCATTTTGACCTGTAATGGAATGTGTAGCAGTAGCAACAATAAGATCTGATTTTAAAGTGATTGACTGGAATATTGCTTAATAATGTCAATTAACCTAACACAGTCATTGTCTTCGTCTGACAATTAGCCACAAGCAGGCATGGGTAACACTGTAAATGTTTAAAACAACATTTGAATATTGATGGGCTTTTTAGAACAATGGAACAATATTGGATATAATTCTTGTGATTCCTCTACCTCTATTGCATCGTTGCATTAATTTAATTTAATTAAACCCTCTCTTTTGGCTGCAATCAATCTGTCAATTAACCTAACACAGTTATTGACTTCGTAGAGCCTGGAACTGACTAATTGTCTGACAATTAGCCACAGGGAGGCATGAGTAACACTGTAAATGTTTAAAACAACATTTCAATATTGATGGGCTTTTTAAAACAATGAAACCAATTGGAGATAAATCTTGCGATTCCTCTACCTCTATTGCATCGTTGCATTAATTTAATTTAATTAAACCCTCTCTTTTGGCTGCAATCACACTGGAACAATGGAACTGGAACACATAGGTGTCGGTTGATTTGGTTGGAACAATGATGTAAAAACATAGAATGGCTTCACCTAACATAAACAAATCCCATTGTTGCTGTTCACCCGGATACTCCATTTGTTCCCCCTGTTACTGTGTTCTATAGGGAAGGCTTATTAGAGCATGTCACTTGCCCCCTGGGCTGAACCTTGAAAAGTGACCACAGGGAGTTCAGTCCATTCAGCTCCAGTCAGTCGAAAGTAAAGGGTCCACTTTGATAGCCAGTGGCAAACCAAGGTCCACCCCAACTCCCTACCCTGTTGTAATGCTTCTGCCCCGCAGTATAGGCTCAAGGATGAGGTGGCAGGATGTCAAACACTGGCTTTCTCAAAGGTTGGACTTTATGTGCTGGTTTCTTGCAATGCTTTTAAACATGTCATTTCTCCAACAGAGACTTAGACAGCCCCTGAATGTTGAATTAAAGCCACTTGTACTTTCACATCTGAACTGTCGTACAGTTTTACCTGAGCAGTTTACTCGCAGAAATAGTGTTGACGCACTACAGAGATGATACTCTGCTCATCCTAAGAATACCTTTTGCATAAAGGCGACATTTGTTGCCCTCTTGAGAATTTCTCTCCATGCTTGGTGTCACAAAATTTCCATCAAAGTCGTTCATGGTGTTAAATTACAAAACTGAGATTGTTTATTTTCTGCTATTAAGTTGGGTCTTTCAAGTTTCATAGCTTGTCCTGGTTATTGTTAAGTCTCTGATGGGCATTCAGAAGTTGCATGAACATTTATGGAAAACAACATTGTTTTTGTTTGCAAGGTTTAAGGACAACTTCATCAGTAATAAGAAATAAGTGAGTCTGTTATCTGGCATGGTATACTGTATGGTGGTGCCCACCATCGTGAGGTACTTGGCAGACCCTAGGGGAAATCACCCCGGGCCATTGTATATTTGTGAAAATGTTACCTTTGGGGACAGCTTTACAACATATGTAAGATAATGAGAGCCTTGCTGTGCCCACAAGTTGAATTCTTAATTACTGGCTGTTGACAACACTACTTTTCTTATGTGTCGTCATTACTTTGGTGATCTGATTCTTGTGTCAGTTGTTGTCATAGTGTGCTTCTTGTTTCATCAGATGGATTCTTGTTTTTATGTTTTAAGGAGATTGCCAAAGTTTACTTTAAGAACATGTAGAAAGAGGTACCAGGCATGTATCACTTTGTAATATATACATGTCATACGTTCACACACTTACTGACTTTAATTATTTACCACTTATAATACTTTAAGAATCTCATAGTCATCCATATATCTCATCCTTACTTTGCATTGATAATACCCTGATTACAGTGTTTTTTGCTTTTACCAAGCAGGTAAAGAAAACTTTTAGTTGTCTAGTTAAACTGAGGTGGCTACATTTACCATCTGTAACTTTGATTTATGGACAAAAAACTTGGCAACTAATACCATATATTTAGACATGCTGCATGTGGTTGCAATGTAGGGGGTTAGTGATGATTTTATGGGGGATTTTACTAGCGCTGCAGGAGCCATTTTCACACTCAGGACATGAATAATGTAGTAGTATTATATTTGCTATGCGCCAAATTCCACACTCTAGGTGAATCCTAACAGCTTTACGGAAAATAGGGAAAACTGCTTCGACGTAATAAGCACCCCGCTCTAATAAGCCTCGGCGATATTTGTTAATATGTTGGCTAGTGAACAATCCCAATTTGCACCCCTTCCGTTTGTGCACAAGACTTATTTATTTGTGTATAATACGCACTTGTGTGTTATATGCACCCTTAATTATGGGCAGTTAAATTCTGGAAAAAAATATCAGTCGTATATAAACATATCAGGATGTCAGCATAAACAACCAAATTTATCTTTCTATCTATCTTTTTTCCCACCAAAATACCATTCTAATAAGAGCCCCCTATTTCTAATTTGAGGGGCGCTTATTACGTCGAATACGTTACACTAGGTCATCATAAGTTACAAGACAAAGAGAGGTGGTCTGAACATGGAGTCCTGAAGTTTTTGCTTCTTTCAAATGTGAAAGGGAGTTAATTCCATAGAAGTGCAGTATTGTAGGCAAAATGACCTCTGCCCAAACCCATGTCAGTTTAGTCTGGTACACAAGGGAGATGTTTCTCGGCAGAACAGAGGGATCTAGATGGTGGATATACCTGTATAAGGTCAGATAGGAAACAGATAAAATAAATTACCTTAGAAATGAAGGTGGAGTAAACGTGTTTGAGATATGGATGTGCCCAAGTTACTTACTTTTAAATTAGGAATTTAACCTGCGCTTACCGACATATGCATATTTCGCGCACAGGCCCGCCAGGCCATTTAGTGTTGGGTATGTGCCCAAGTTGCAAGCATATCTTTTTATTAGATACCACTGAGAAGGGCATTATTCTCACCAGGTGGACTCCGGTGTTATTGTTTCAATGATCAGTGAACTGCTGTCACATTAATCCTGCTCTATGAATTCAGCTTGACCAGCACTCTGTAGATAAAGTCCATGTCTTCAGAAGACTGGAATGTCAATTAGTAGGTATTGTTGTATGACCTCCTCCTCGTTAACCCCTTCCCTGCTTGTCAACACCTGACACTATCTGTGGATTGGAGATGACTCTGGTAGGTCCTGATTGTTGGTGCAGTATGAGATTTATCACCCAGTGAGTACAGGAAGCAGTGTTGCTGCAGCACTTTGAAGGTTGTCACAAGGTTAATACCATGTGAGATTCTGATAACCAAGATAAAGTCTTTCTACAAAGTTGTGATAACCTCTCCATCTCTTCTCATGAATCAGTACTTAAAGCTCTGACATGGTACCAGCTCTATACCCATCCTGATCTGAAAAAGTGACAGTCATGTCTTGCGCAGGTTTTTCAAATATCTTCAAATGTTTTGCAATACTGATTCCAAGGTGTGTACTGCAGTCATTAAGTGACTTGAATTTGTGTTGATCAGTGGTTGCAATATAATATGCTAGTATAATATTTCAATATGTAACTTCAAAATATGATAGTTATGCTTCATCAGTGTCCTTTGTTATGGCACTTACTTTTCATTTTGTGTTTCATTTTTAATGTTTCGTTTATCTGACATGCAGTTCCCCTTTGAATCATGGTTAGAACAGAACTCCAGGACTCGATCATGACCAGTGTTTGTTGCTGTCATAAGAGGTTGCATTGAATTGGGTGGTCAGGATTGGTGACTTGGTTGTTTTCAAGTCATTGTACTCTGACGACATGGGATGTGGGTCATGGTATCAATCACCGGATTGTCTGGTTCAGACTACTATTTACAGGCCAGTGTCATATACTCATAGAGCTGGAAAATTTCTGATTATAGTGTGTAACAAACAAATATGTGAACAGCCTAGATGTGTGGTTCTGAAACTCTAGTCATCTACCCACCATGTTTCATTGACCATGTGATTGTGTTGCAGATTGAATCGGAGTGCAAAGGCTGCCAGTGATGCGGAGTATCCTGCATATGGGGTTACGGGACCCAACAAGGAGCGCCTCCCCTCTCCTGGGGACCGCAAGCTGGCACAGAGCGCCCAGATGTATCACTACCAGCATCAAAAGCAGCAAATGATCGCCATGGAGAAGTGAGTACACAGTCATACTGTCTGGACTAGTATCCCCCAGTATCCCATGTTGTAGTAGCTGACTCATTAGGCCAGGTTACCATTGTACAAAACAACAACAAAACAAACGGAAGTCTGGGTTGATTCTATATTTTGCTATCCCTCCAGGAAACTTATGAAGTGAAAATAAGGGCATCCGGGACAATAGTTTATTATTGTTATAAAAGTTCAGGGTTATTACCAAGAAACCTCCGCAAGACATGCAAAACTTTCCCTTTAAATTACAAACTTGAATTTATTTGCAAAAGTAATAAATTAAATATTCAAGATTTTGGTAGACCTGTTAAACACAGATACGTTGGCCTTATGCAACGTCCCTGCACCAGCCATGGGGTGTGGGGAATGTGGCTCTGGTGATGTAGTGTAATGAAGCTGTTTCTATGCTGAGTAATGGAGATTCAGAAACTGATCGCAGTGCCAATTGTAGAATCGCTTTGCGTAACAGTGTCAGCGTGATGAACAACGTATCATTTAACACTGAAGGAAATTGCAATAGGTATTGGATATCCCCTTGCTGCAGGTGGAAGTTATCCATGCATTAATGGGATAACTGTCACTGTTGCACGAGAGTTGAACATGAATTAATTGTTTAGCTCACCTAAACATATAACAGTGAAGGCTGCATTACTATTCTGCTCCCTATAAATAATGTTTTATTACAGCTGTGGGTTGTTCCAAAGTATTTTCCTAAGTCAATATTAAAATTGTTTACAGAGAGCAGCTTAGTGATACAGTTACCACAGCTAGGGCAGAATAGGTCCCCTGTGTTTGAAATAATCGCCTGCCCATAGCCCCACTGTGGCAGGTAGATCTCGTGCTTGGCCATAAATTTCAAATTTGCAGAGTCCATGCGGCCTGCAGTAAATGTAAACGTTAATTTGTCCCAATATGCTGCAGGGCCTGAAGAGTTTGGTCAGGGCCTGCAGTTTATGTGGGTTGTGATGATAGCCCGACAATTTGTTTGTTTCAAACACTGCCCTCTTCCCTATGTTTGTCAACTAAGAAATATCAGGTGGTGACATTGTATTGTGTCATCATACTTCGGTGACTTCAGGTATGGTTGCTGATGCAATAAACCACTTGTTTGCCTTGCCAATATTTGACTCATATTTACAGACTGATATAATTGGAATACTTCAATTCTTTATTCATGTACATGTGTAGGCCAGCGGCCCATGGTACAATATTTGGTCCATCATTAACATTTATAGGCTTGGAGTGTTTGGAGTCTAACATTCATAGCACAGTATATAAAAGTTGCAACATTTCTAATAACAGTTTCTTTGTTTACTGCCATAAGCATATTGAATTTAGCAAGAGTAGGATGTACAAAATACTTCTGTGGTAAATACTGAAGACGAAGTTCATCATAAGCGTTACAAATTAATAAAAAATGATATTCATTTTCGACATATCTTTGGTTGCAACTATTGCACAATCTCTGCTCTCGTGGAGTATTAACGTATCTACCAGTCTATAATTGGAATACTGTTGCCTAATTGTGGCATGCTGAGTGTATGCTGAAGATAGCAATATTCCATCAAGTATTAATTTGACAATGATCAGCGTTGTATGTTATAGGTGTCCTAGGGTCCCTGTGAAATTCTTATATATTTAAGTGTAAGGATCCCATTTGTCTAAATGTTTCAACGTTATCGTTATGACAAGAACTTTCAGACTTTCTTGCGTCAGTTGGATAAACGATGATGAGAATGGTTACACAGCGGTTTGAACTTGATAATTGATGGGCTTGTATTTTCATGTGTACAATTCTGTCCTTGTAGTTCTTTAATGATGTTTTCATGTCTATGTATCTCTTCAGGGCCAACGGTGAGATGAAGCACGACGCTTCCGATGAGGAGTCGGAGGAGGAGAATGAGGAGGGGGATTACACAGTGTATGAGTGCCCCGGTCTTGCGCCGGTAAGTAGTCACACAGAAATTGGGGTGCTGTAAATCCTTGAATAGACACCTGCCTTGAAAACTAGCCGGACTGACTTGCAAAATGAATGAATGCCCGCCTTGAATAGACGCAGGGTAAAAATCTACAAACTTGTGATATTCCATTAGGTACTCAATTTAGAGATAATGAAAAGAAAGCTGTTTTCATACCAAATGCAAATCACATATCCCATCTTCATTGAAATTAAGAGGATTAACCATTATTAAAAGATAGGGGCTTGCTCCTGAATAAAAGATGTCTCTGACACCTTGGCATCTGTTTCGAGGATTTATGGTAATCATTACCTGAAACTGCCTTGCTAAGACTTAAAAAATTGGTTATCAGTAGTTGTCAGGCAGATGAGGTATTCCAGTTACAACACAGCGTGTCAGTTTCATGTGGGAGGAAAGCCCAAAGTGATGCAGGTCTCAGATGTTTACCACTCTCTTGAAACCCATGGGCACGGGCATGGTGCCAACAAACCTAGAAACATAATCGGGGGGAACTGGGATATATTTCTAATAAATTATTTAGGATACTTAAAATAGAATGTCTCATGTTGACACTGGACTATTTTGTGTTTCAGACGGGCGAGATGGAGGTTAAGAACCCGTTGTTCAGTGATGAGACGCCGGTGACGCCCAGCGCTGGTGACGCAGAGAAGGACGGGGAGAACTAGGCCACTCTGTTGTCATAGCAACCACACTGTTGTCATGGCAACCATGATGTAACCACTCGTACAGTTGTGATGTCATTTTCTGCTCTAGTCAACAGTTATCACAAAGAGTGAGAGTAAAGTCTTCAGGTTTCCCTGATAGATTTGTGATGCCAATAGAAGAAAACAAATTGCAGACTCCATATTTCTGAATTCTGATGCACACCAAAGCTGTTGTGATAACTTCTAAATGTTCTCATGAAATCATGTGTTCACAAATTCAACGATGTCTTTGGTCACGTGAATTGGAAAGTGCCATGATTTCATTTGAAGACTGGAGAACAGATTCAGCATTTAGTAAATGGTTGCCATGACAATGTGGGATAATCTTTGTGCTGTCCTGAATATAGTTTCGTCCCCTCTTCCTGTTGGTTCTATCAGATGTTATCAGATGTTATCGGATGTGATAACCCTTCTAGCATTATCAGTGCTACTTGTCTCATTATCTTCTACTGGCAACACTTTTGCATGGAAATATAAGAAATAATGAAATCTTTCTGAATTAATGTGTTGTGGCTGAGGTAATAAAATTGGTATGAACTATTCTCAGTGGTGTTAAAATTGTGTTCAACTTGTACACTACTGCAAGATTCTGTATGTATTTTGTGTTTGGTTGTGATCTGTCCATCCTGTATAGTAATTTACTGCTAAGTATATAGTGTTTGTGGGTACTGGGTTGACGTCGCCCTATGGGTCATAGGTACAGCATCATATAGCGTGGACATTGGTTCGTACTTCCTTCCTCTCTGCATAGCAAATCTGCACAGCTCCTTACCATGAAACAAAATCATAGGGAAAATGGAGAGAAAAACTGGTTCCGACATCGAATTATGTTCATATGCTTTTTTGGATTTTGTTACCGAAAATCTTTAAAATATACCATTTTATTGCACTTTACAAATTTACTATGCAGAAAAGGGTCAATTTGGGTGTGTAATAAAATCAAAACTAGACTTGTAACATAGTGGCACGGGCTTGGGTTGAGGGATATTCTTTTGACTGAGAATCCATGGCACAGAGCTCATCAATTTAACCTTAGACATTGATTAAAGAAAAAAATAGCTTAAAAAATGTACATTTATAAAAACATCCAACAGAAAAAGGCAATTCTTCAGAATACACGCCTTTCATGTAACATCATTAGGATGTAATTTCATGGTAACATATACCACTCAAAAAATTAAGGACCATCTATTTCATATAACTATAGTTAATCTGTCATAGCATGACAATATAAAAGAATAAGGTGATCCTTAACTATTTTTGAGTAGTATATATGCAGAAGGTTAAGTTGATCATCATACTGTGGTTGCACTTCTTCAGTCTACACTCTCCTAGTCATGTACAGCATGCTCTGGTCCACGGCCTTCTCCTGGGTATAACATGGTTCTTGTGATAGAAATGGCTCAGCTACATATATATATCTGGCATCTTTTGTTATATACTACAATCATTGTTACTGCATTTTTTCTGTTAGTGAATGTTCTTTCGCTCTTTGTACTGAGTTGTTCAGATATTCATGTCAACTTCAATGCAAAATAGAATTAAAATAAATCTTATTCACATGGCAACTGTGAATTTCTGACCAATACTAACATTCCATTTTTAAGCATTTCAAGTTTGAAATCATTTACATATTTTAGTGGGAAATTATTCAAACAATTAGGCCATTTCAGCATGTTAACATGTGATTTTAACATAAATATATTTTTTCAATGAAATATTATAATTCTGGTTTTTTCTCTCCAGAATGTCATTTACATGACAATTTTGCTGACTCAGCTCTTTTTATTTACTCCCTCTTTTTATTGTTTTAGTTTTATTGCAATATTTTTCTTTTACTCGACAGCTGTGCAACATTCCCAGTATACATTCTGAAACATGGTCAGAGTTTTCAAACTGACTAGATAGAATCTCTAGTTCATTTCATGCTTTCTTAGTACAGTACACTGCTTTTGAAACTATATATATATTTTTCAAAAACTTTAGCATTTTAATACAATAACACAAAAAAAATAATGCCAACAGAAGCCTCAGTGAAAGGCTTAGGGTTACTTCCCATGCTTTGTTCACAAATCCTTTTTAAATATTTTATCAAAAGGTGATGGTCATTTTATCAGCCTTTCCCCATGGGTGAAGAGAAAAGTTAATAAATATCATGTGTCAAATTATTCCTAAAATCATAATTCCTAAAATCATTTTTTCTGTAGAGATCTTTATCCTAGCAGTGCAATAAACTTACTGAATCGTTGATCACAGAGTTGATTGCTCTTAGCGTTGATCTCTGATATTTTGTCAGTACATGATTGTGGAGGTGAGGTTTATTTATTGGTTGTCATAGTTACCGTTGTGGCGCATGTGTCACAGCAACATTGTGTTAGTAGTCTGTATAAAGCTTTGTTTCATATTGCCATCATAAGAAAACTGTTTTATTTGGTCTGCAGATGTATATGAAATATGACTAAATTGTTCCATTTAATCTATCCCATTGGAATGACAGTCTGTTGTTCGGAAATCCTAACTTTGTATAATTTTGGGTTTTGAGAAATTAAAGTGGATTGAGAACTTTTTAAGTTTACAAAATGGCATGGTTAGAAGATTCACGTAATCTTATTATTCACGTAATTTTGGTCATTTCATCTTGGAAAAGAGACACTTTGCTACGTCGGCAACAATCACAATACAAGTTGCTGTCAGCCCCCTGCAGATCAGTGAAGGTCACAAAGTCCTTGTGGGTATACACGGCAAAATGCTTAAGGACAAAGCGAGCAAGCTTAAGCGACTTGGGATATTTTGCTCGTTGAATACACCACTTTCCTGTACATTTGTTGAAGTTTTGAATGTGAAGTGTTTGTTGTTGGGCTTGTGAAAGCCGTGTTGGAGAGGGACTCCCTGGAGTGGGCTTGTTAACACGTTGATGGTCACGACTGTTTCTTTGCATTTCTTTCTTCTTTGTCAGCAATATGGAATAAAACTTGTTGAGAAAAGAATGTGTTATTTTGTGAACCAAGGGATATGAAAGGAAATTGGTATCACAAGATGTGGCATGCTGGAACAAAATGTCGGGAACCTGGAACGTAACTGTACATGAGGATCATAGTGACTTTGTTTGTTTTATGGCCACAGTCCCCCATATTCCAGCTGTATCATGATGGCCTGTAAATAATCGAGCTTGGACCATGTTATTACAAACAACGATCCACACTTTCAGTGTATGATGACACAATTGGCCAAGTCACCGAGCAAGACAAACTAAGCCATTATAAAGTTGCCTCTCACAACATGGATAGGTTCCTGAGGACCCAATGTTATCTGGAATCTCCACCCACAGTGATGGCCACAACAAAGAAATGTTAACCATGTGAGGTGTCATCCTCTATATCTCGCACTTCGGTAAACCTACACTGAGCCCTGGACACATTCACAGTGTTCTTCGCGATCCTAATTTATCTGCCTTTGATTTCATTTAGCCAATTTGAATGGCTACGCTACCAGGTCTAACGTACCAATCAGAATGTGGATTACGAACAAGCCTTGATGTTTGGTTGGCGACAACAACAACAACATAGCAGCCAGTGCCCTTTGATTACAGTAGAGTTTGAGAAATTGTTGAAAAACTGACTGATAACCAAAAGGATGTCTTCATGTCTATAAATGGTGATGGCATGGTTTCTAGGCAGTACGTGTTAGCTTCCTTATGGATTTTCTTTTCCGGTATCTCAAAATTTGATTTGAAATGATAATGAGAATTAAGGGCAGATAATTTAAGATCGCGAAGACCTTGTGGATGGGTCCAAGGGGAAGTGAAGGTTTACTGAAATGTGGGCCCTGGAGATATAGATGATGGTGATGTGTAAGGGGGAAAAAGAGGATATGTACCCTGCAACTTCCATACCCCTGGATCAGCCAAAGCCTTGTACAATTTTTTAAATTTAGACACAAAATCAAGTCAATGGATGCTGAATATCCAGAAATTATCATATAGATGTATGGTTCGCCCGAATTATGTTTCTAGGTTTGTCAGCGCCATGGCTCGTGGGTTTCACCGAAGTGGTAAACGTCTGAGACCCGCATTACTTCAGGCTTTCCTCCCACATTAAGCTGACATGCAACTGTAATACTGTTAAAAGCAGCGTTAAACCCAACTCACTCACATAGTTGAAGAGCAAGAACATGATACACAGACTTTACAAGTAAACTCCCTTCCCAGTGCAAGTCATAAGCCTATACAAGATCACAGTACACTATACCATGATTCATGTCGTCACACATTCTCCATCAAAGCGCTCGATGAACAACAGCCAAGTTCACACTCACTGCGTCAACAGTAAAGTGCTGTGTCAGCAGACTTAATAAAGGGTCACTAGGTAGGGGTGAATTGGGGTTTAACATCATGTTTAAGACTTTTGCTCTGATATCTCTTGCTCTTACTCGTCCAGACTAACGCTGGTTTTATAGAGCCAGCCCACTGAGTTACCATGGCGCAGTTTAACATGGATAACCTTCTTAGACAGGGTACTGACTCGGAGCCCGAATGGTCCTTTTTTAATACTCCTTAATTCTGAGTTCCTGGCAGGGTAAGCAAGTACAGTTAACTATGTTTATAAGGAACACGAACTGACCAATATAATGAACTTATTTTGTAATGACCATTTGTTGTATATATATATATGCTGTATATTAGTGGTCCTTTTGTGTTCGTTATAACTGTAGTTTACTGTACCATCTTTCAAAATGTTTTGTATGACATGGCCGGGACAGACGCTCTATCCACTAGACCGTATAAATAACATAGAATACCCCTGGGTCAGGCATGTGAGCCAACAATTAAGTAGTAAGAATTTGTCCGTAGTAAGATATATACGAGGCAATATTCGTGTGGTCAGAGTAGGTCCACAGTAACTCATAAGTGTCACATTCGTCAACAATCGTGTGGTCAGAATATGTCAACAGTAACCCATACTAGTCATACGAGCCAACAGTCGGTGTGGTCAGAATATGTCCGCAGTAACCAATACTTGTCATACGAGCCAACAGTCCGTGTGGTCAGAATATGTCCGCAGTAACCCATACTAGTCATACGAGCCAACAGTCCGTGTGGTCAGAATATGTCCGCAGTAACCAATACTTGTCATACGAGCCAACAGTCCGTGTGGTCAGAATATGTCAACAGTAACCCATACTTGTCATACGAGCCAACAGTCGGTGTGGTCAGAATATGTCCTCAGTAACCCATACTTGTCATACGAGCCAACAGTCAGTGTGGTCAGAATATGTCCTCAGTAACCCATACTTGTCATACGAGCCAACAGTCGGTGTGGTCAGAATATGTCCACAGTAACTCATACTAGTCATACGAGCCAACAGTCGGTGTGGTCAGAATATGTCCTCAGTAACTCATACTAGTCATACGAGCCAACAGTCGGTGTGGTCAGAATATGTCCGCAGTAACCCATACTAGTCATACGAGCCAACAGTCCGTGTGGTCAGAATATGTACATGTATTCTGAGTTTGGCTGGGGTACATTTCTGTCCACAGAAACATACCTGGGGTTATATATGTTGTACCTGTGCTGACGACCCCTTTAGCCAAACTAAGCATCACCAATATGCTGGTGTGCCACGTGCTCCAGCGGTGTATGAATGTGTATATGCTACATCAACGGAGACTGTATTGAGTGTATTCATGTAGAATCTCACACAAACAGCCATACATAATACCCACACAGTACACCACATCCTGCAGAACATGTGTCACTTCATGTTTATTTATTGCAATCAGTCTCTAACAGGGAACCATTTCAATATGTATAGATGTATTAGTGAGTGAACATCACTTACATAACTGGGCCACACAGATGTTTCAGTAAAAGCGTGCTGGCGCCTAAGGTGCTGCAATTTCCTGTGCGCTCCTTAACCACACCAGAAACCTATGTTTGTGGGGTCGAATCCTGGCTCGCCCAGATCATGTTTCTTGGTTTGTCAGCACCATACCCGTGCTTGTGGGTTTCACCAAAGTGGTAAACGTCTGAGACTTGCATCACTTCGGGCTTTCCTCCCACATTAAGCTGGCACGCTGTGATATATTCAAAGCAGCCTTAAACCAAACTCACTTTCTCACTGTTTTAAAAAGCTGTACCTGAAATAGGTGACAGTAACAATTTATCATGTTCAAATCGGTTCCTTTTTCTGATAGGATCACCATATTAGAAATCTCTATTATTCAGGGTCTGAGCCCCATCAACAGAGCTATCTTAGCGCTAAGTTAATTTTAACTCCTATACTTTAACACAGGCTTACAATAATCTTTGTGGAATGGGGCCCATGTTTAGGAGTCAACTCTATGGGTCACTATGGGTCTGGAAGGAGTCCACTCTAGATAGTATCTCTATTATCTAGGGTCTGGTTTAGAAGGAGTCCATTCTAGATAGGATGGTGATTATACAGGATCTGGAAGGAATCATCTCTAGATGGGATCTCTACAATCCAGGGTCTGGGTTAGAAGGAGTCGATTCTAGATGGGATCTCTACTATCCAGGGTCTGGTTTAAAGAGAGTCAACTCTAGATGGGATCTCTACTGTACAGGGTCTGGTTTAGAGAGAGTCCACTCTAGATGGGATCTCTACTACCCATGGCCTGGTTTAAAGAGAGTCCACTCTAGATGGGATCTCTACTATCCAGGGTCTGGGTTAGAAGGAGTCCACTCTAGATGGGATCTCTACAATCCAGGGTCTGGATTAGAAGGCATCCACTCTAGATGGGATTTCTACTATTCAGGGTCTGGATTAGAAGGAGTCCTCCTAGATGGGATTTCTACTATTCAGGGTCTGGTTTAAAGAGAGTCCACTTTAGATGGGATCTCTACAATCCAGGGTCTGGGTTAGAAGGAGTCTACTCTGTATGACCAAGACCAACTGGTCCTACATTGTTCAAACCAGGTGTTCAAGACAACTATAACATTACCTTGGTTTCTTGACAGGAATGCTGTGTGACACAATCTGATCCTTAATCCTTCCTCCCCTGTTGGGATCCCTGGGCAGGTCCCCTGTACCCCCTGTCTAAGAGTGGAGGTCAGCCACTGTGACTTAGCTGATTGTGTCATCACATGTTGACAGAGTTTCATGTAACTCATACTAGCAACCACTGGGTGTGTCTGGCCTCCGACTCAGTTATTGACATGCTGCTATGAAATAGCTGATATACTGCTGACTGCAGCATGAACAACAAACACAACAACAAATCTTACCAGCCCTAGCAGGTCACACACAAGAGAATTTTCTGAGTCTGATTAATTTTTTATCAGCAGCCAAGACACCAAGTGTCCTCATCCAACATAATAATGTATGAATTATTACTCAGATGCTAAACTGCCAGACCAAAGACGTTAAATACACACTTGAAAGTTAGATTTGACCAAAAAACTACAAACATTATCAAAACATTACTCGGCTGAAAACAGACGCTGAAATAAATTAGAAGTTCCAAACACAACTACGATACCCATATAAAATACTTTACATCAGCAACGAATACACATTTGTTTGTTTCATTTTTAGCCACCATCAAACATAGGTGTGTACTTTCTTTTGTGCGGTAGTTTATTACCATAACTCTCACATTTCACTGACTTTTGACATATTTTCTGGAAATCCTATTTTCGTGAGTATTATTTGCACTCCTGTAAAGAGTTATCTTGTATAGTGCAAATCTTCCATGTGTTGCTTCTGGTGAAGTGGACCCGTGAAGATCCGGGGTAGAATAGGTCTTCAGCAACCCATGCTTGTCATTAAAGGCGACTATGGTTGTCGTAAGAGACAACGAAAGGGATTGGGTGGTCAGGCTCACTGACTTGGTTAACGCATGTTATCATATTCCAATTGCGTAGATTGATGCTCATGATGTCAATTACTGGATTGTCTAGTTTAGACTTGATTATTTACAGACCGCTGTAATATAGCTGGAATATTGCTGAGTGCGGCGTTTAACAACAAACAAACAATTTTTTGTGAAGTGTCTGCTGGAGTGGGTAGGAGAGAACAGACGAAGTAAACTGACAATACAACTGTACAATTTATAAGGTTCCTAAACAGTTCTTCCAGTGTCCTGTTACAGTGGGTACATGTATCTTTAAATGAACTTCTTTCATTGATGTTCATTGACAATTTTGATGGAAAAACGTTCCCCTTAAGTCAGCACCAAAATGAATGTTTTAGTAATCTAGAAATCAAGTGGAATTTACAACGAAATATTTACTAACATGACTAATAGCTAACCTGTTTATGACTGGAGATATATGTGTTTTATTCAGAATGTTATTCTGTACTCTGAACACACACGAGTGTACTAATGATTTGCAATCTTTTCGTTACAAGCAACAAACAGAACAAGATTACGCTTTCTTAATCAGGGCTCTGTTTGCTCATGTAGGCCAGTTAACATGGACAAGTAACATTTAGGCGATTTGTAAAGGTGCTTGCGTCGGTTTAATCTCATGACGTCATATTCACCGGAAGTAATGTCATCAGAACCGGAAATGATGTGATAATACTGGTATTACATAACCAATGACAATAGATGAATTCTGTCTTTCTGATGGCTTAATGTCATAAGTGAAACTATATGGATGCTGGTCCTGACACGTAACAGAGAAGTATTCCATAATTAGAGTTTACGTATATGTTATATACTTATCCTGCATTACATATTGCACATTGCTCTTACTAACGAAGTCCTAACTGGAATGACAGAATTTCAGACAGTGGTGACATTCCCTGGGCCCACTTGCACAAAGCGATCTTAGCGCTAAGATGATCATAACTCCCATACTTTAACATAGGCTTACAATAGTCGTAGCGCTAAGATCGCTTTGTGCAAGTGAGCCCTGGAGTTCAAGATTTGTCTATTATGACAATGAAACAAGTTCATTTTCTTCTTTTGAAAGTATTTCTTGGTCCTAATTTATTTCTATCTGGACCTTGCTTGTCGCTTACTGACAGAGCCCTCCTACCATGATTGTGGGATTCTAGGCTGTATGAGGAGAGTGAGGGTACATACTTAGCCTGTTATCATAAACAAAACAATAACTGTTGACAATTTCATCCACATATTTTAATACATCATTTATACAAATGTAGAGTAATAAGTATTCTTAATGAACATTTTGTACATTTCATAACTTTGTGTGTATCCAAGTTTAATATTTGTACAGTGACTGTTTGTATTTACAAATTAATCAGCTTGTCTATCATGTCTGTCAGATTGTCAGATGTTGTTTGATGCATGACAAGACTTCTGTAGTTGCTCCTCAATTTATTTCACATGATAGATCTGATTGACAAGACAGCCATGAGATCTGCTGGGATGTATTCAAAAGCAAAGACTACATAAAATATGGAATGTTGAGTGGAATTGGATTCCAGTGTTCTACTGGCTCTTGGAGTCTTGGAGTTACTTAGAGATTGCAATGTTTTTATGTGGAATCATTGTCCTAATGAAACAAGGATGTGGTGGCACATACAGATCTCCACCAGGCATAAACACTGTTCACTCCCTACTCCTGGTAGAGTTAAGACTATCGTAACACTCAAACTGTCTTACACCAGTCGTAGTGCCAAGACAATAATCACTCCCATACTTTAACATCATCTTACAACAGTCATTGTCCTTAGACGATTTCACTCCCATACTTTAACATAGACTGAGCTCCCATACCTTAAACTTGACATACAAGCGTTGTAGTACTGAAACTACTTTGCGGAACAGGAAGGTGGTACCTAATGAATCAACAAGAGGGCGCTAGTAGTTGCTGAATTGTTGAATGTACAACAAATACTTCACACCAAACACCAAGTACTGTACACCCTTAACATTATCAGAACTCACAGATAAAAATTAAATTTCACTTTTCATCAAAATGTAAGAAGCATATTTTCACTTTTCATGCATAAAATCCAAATTTTTCAGACATGTTTTTTCATCATTGAAAACAGGCCCCCTGATCTCACACCTTCTGCAGAAATGCAATAATCTCACTGCATATATTGTTCATAAGTTATTGAAGGTCGCTTTGACATGTACAGGTGTTCAATTTGGTGGCACGGGAGTAACTGGGTCAAGCATGGACTTTCTCCGGGCTGTTTCCTTGGAAACACTATTGTGTAGCTTGTTCAGTCGCTCCTGGAAACAGAAGAGGAAACAATCAGACTTATAGCTGGGCATTCAGTGGTAAGAGTTATCTGCCCCTGGATGCAACTGTGTAACACAGGGCCAACAATGTCCTGGGGAAGCCCTGGGGTGAGTGAGTGAGTATGGTTTTACGCCGCTTTTAGCAATATTCCAGCAATATTACGTCGGGGGCCACTAGAAATGACTTGGCATAACAGGGCTAAGACAAGGACTGGTTGGCTCGGAGTCAGTACACTGTGTCTGAGTTGGGTATTCATGGTAAACTGCGGCATGGTATCTCCTTGGGCTAGCACTATAAATTCAGCAATAGTTCAGACTAGCATGCACGCACCCACACCCACACCCACGCGTCGCTATATAAGTGCAATAATCTTGAACATTAAACCCCATTTCACCTCCCCTGTATGCTATGTCCCAGCAGAACCAACATGATGGGTTTCTGCACCACTCACTAACTGTAGTCAACTCAACATACACATCACATTGCTGCCTGTAACATCTAAAGAGCTCAAATCATCTGATATGACTGCCTGTAACGTCCATACTGCTAAAAAATCAGACATGACCGTTTACCATAAGGTAGGGCTGGGACAGGTAACTTGGGTACTGGGGTCAGGTGGGTCCTGAGTAGGACCTGGATACTCACAGGACTACCAGACCAGTGGTTAGTCATGTGACATATTGTTTAATGATAAAAATTATGTAGACACAATAAGTGACTAGTGTTAGCATTTCTTTCGGACTTTATATGTTTGAATAAAGATAAAACTTCAACTTCTGTGTATGCATGACCAAATTGTTTTATACGTGTATCCAAATACTTTTTGCCAGAGGTACAGTCAAACTATTCCCAATCGGAAATTTGGTACCGATCTCTTGTGACCTACAGTGGGTAGGGTACCCGGTAGTAAATTTGGACTTGTCCCAGCCCTACTATAATGTGAATACTGCTCACACAAGTCGGACATGACCACCTGTAACATCAATACTGCTCACACAAGTCGGACATGACCACCTATAACATCAATACTGCTCACACAAGTCGGACATGACCACCTGTAACATCAATACTGCTCACACAAGTCAGACATGACCACCTATAACATCAATAATGCTCACACAAGTCGGACATGACCACCTGTAACATCAATACTGCTCACACAAGTCGGACATGACCACCTGTAACATCAATACTGCTCACACAAGTCGGACATGACCACCTGTAACATCAATACTGCTCCTCAAACAAGTCGGACATGACCATCTATAACATCAATACTGCTCACACAAGTCAGACATGACCACCTGTAACATCAATACTGCTCCCACAATTGGAGATGGTTATTACCTGGACATTTTGCAGGATGTTATTGACGAGTGTCACTCGGCGCCTAGACGTGTTTAGTTTCTTCACGTAGGGTTCAAGGTCAACAGGATTCTGCTCACATTCTGTTATCTTCCTCAGTTCTTTAAAATACAAACAGTGCATGGATAAACTATTGATTTGTGATACAATATACACAACTACATACAAGGTAGATATATGGAGGTTCTCACGTTTACTTTTCAAATGCATTGAATATGATGCATCCATATTTCCAGCCTAATAGGCAATATAGGATCCATATTACCAGCCTAATAGGCAATATATAAACAGACATATCTGACAAATAAGCAATGTAATAAATACACGACAGGAACTTGAACTATCTTGAGGATGTGGCAGCTATAAACTTTCCTAGTACTATGATTCAAGAGGCTAGCCCTATCAGCCAGTCAACAAGGTCGGATGACCCTGACCTCCTTAGGACTACAAAAAAGATCACTAAGCTGCTTCACTGTTTGTAAGTAAGATCTGTTACGATTCATTGGGTGATAATGCTGGTAAAACCTATTTCCTTACAAATGTCAACCATGTTGAAAATATCCAAAATTTATTTCAATTCTGCCACTCCCTAAAATATGCATATTTCAGAAAACACTCCCTTGGCCATTCATACAGGTCAGGACCGCCCCCGTGGTCTAGTGGTAGAGCGTCTGCCTGGAGAGAGGAAGGCCAGGGGTTTGATCCCTGGCCACGCAATACTAAAAGACGTTAAAAGATGGTACTTGTGGTTACCCTGTCTGGTGCCCGGCATTAAGGGCCTGAAACAAGGACTGGTCGGCTCGGAGTAAGTATACTGTGTCTGTGTGGGGTATTCATGTTAAACTGCGCCACGGTATCTAAGTGGACTAGCACTATAAATCGGCAACCTTCCGGCCTTCCGGATTAGTACAAGCAGCCCCCCCACCCCACCCCCATGACCAATAAATTGTACAGTTGTATTGTCAGTTTACTTCATCTGTTCCATCCTACCCACACCAGCAGACACTTCACAAAAAATTGTTTGTTTCTTTATTTGTTTGTTGTTTAACACCGCACTCAAGCAATATTCCAGCTATATGACGGCGGTCTGTAAATAATCAAGTCGCGACCAGACAATCAAGTGATTGATATCATACGCATTTATCTACTCAATTGTGATAGGATGACCTGCATCAACCAAGTCAGCGAGCCTAACCAACAATCCCGTTGTGAAATGTTTAGCCAAGGAGTGAGTGAGTGAGTATGGTTTTATGCTGGTTTTAGCAATATTCTAGCAATATCACGGCGAAGGACACAAGAAATGGGCTTCACACATTGTACCCATGTTGGGAATCGAATCGGGTCTTCGGCGTGACGAGCGAACGCTTCAACCACTACGCTATCCGACGACCCTGTTTAGCCAAGGAACATGTAGCTATGTAATGTGGTCTGGTTGATGTGAGAGAGGACAGAATGATCTCAGTGTAATATTCTTCTTCTTATTTAAATAAACAGCTATATTAAATGAGCTAAATATCAGGATCCCAAGTTAAATGATTGTAGGTTACCCGAAACAAAAATATTGGCAAGACTGCTGTTTACTGGATGCAGCTTAGAGCGCTTATTGGCTCCAGTTGTGAGTAAGGGTCAGCTAGTTCACTTCCTTTAACAAACTGATCCACTGTAAATCCATAAAATTCTTATTTTAGTTTCATGGAACAAGATGGCTACCGATGCAAGCAGCAAGGTAAACAATCAAGTGCTGATCACTAGGTAAACTAGCAATAGTAATTTGTAATAGCTCCCATGGTAACAAGTTGGAGAATCAGATCATTTCATAAGCCCTGCTTAGCGGGCTGGCAACACAAGTTCCATACCTGTGTGGTGCTAACTGAAATCTGAAAAAGTGCACCTAGCAAATTGCAGTGCTCCCAAATGTTTTTGGAGGGTATGTCTAGCACTCACCTTCTGCCAGACAGTCTATCTGCTGCCTCAGCTCCACTTGACCATCTCTGCAACACACATGCATTTGTTAGTTAACTATCACACGCAATTCACAGCAGATATCAGCAATGTAACTGGGGCTATTTATTGAGTCCTTGGTACTCTCAGGAATAATTGAGTGAGTGAGTGAGTTGGGTTTAACGCCGCTTTTAACAGTATTCCAGTTATATCGCGGCATGTCAGCTTAACATGCTTAATGTGGGAGGAAAGCCCGAAGTGATGCAGGTCTCAAACGTTTACCACTTCGATGAAACCCACGAGCACGGGTATGGTGCTGACAAACCAAGAAACATAATCTGGGCGAACCGGGATTCAAACCCACAATCATAGGTTTCTTGTGTGCCTAAGGGATGCAGCTCTGCACAGCGAATCGCGGCGCCTTAGACGACTAGGCCACCCGTGCCCCCCCTCAGGAATAATGTTATGCAAACTGCTAGACCACTGTGATCTGTTTATGTTTGAAAAATGAAAATAGACAACATTAATTTCCTATCAGAACACAAATGTCATATTTATTTAACAAGCATGATACAAATGAATCAGTTACAATCCTTGAAACAACCCCTTTTTTACAGGCTTAAAACCAGCTATCTCCTTTTTTAAAGTGTTATTTGTAAGTCGTTGGAAATAAATTTGTCTCTACACTAACATTGACTTTTGTAAAAATTGAGAGCAAAAGCATTTATTTCACTTTCAGTCCATGGCAAAAACTTTGAGCTGATTTCTGTATATGACGAAGAGTGGGAATCAAAACAGCAGAAACAGAATTTTACCCTTGACATACGGTACCAGTTATCACTACTGTTTTATGGAACCTCTTCATTTAAATAAATTACATTTATTTAATCTCTCATATTACATTCACATCTTTTATTCATCATAATGAATACAGTGTTCCCGCTGGCTTTTGAAACTGCCAGGCATTGTGGACAGGCAACTCTAAAAATTACCAGTCCCCCCTAACTTTTGCCAGTCCCAACTTTCAACAAATAAAAAAATGTATGAAAATTATTTAGTTTTAATTCTTTCAACATCATGTTCATTGCAAAGATGTCATCTCTGAAGTAACTTAGTTACGACATTCACACAAGCTTCAGTCACAATTTTCTCTCTCTTTTTTTTAATATTTTGAGACAAAGTCGCCACAAATGGATATTAAACCCAGAAATAGACCAGGGAAACCCTGATGGCAACAGACAAGCTGACTTTGTTCGAAAAATGTACTTATATGAATATCACCAATGTTTTGTTCAACAACAAAGATTTATAAGGTACTTTATTTGTCTGTCCACAGGGACTGGCAGTCGCATGAATTACCGGTCCAAGCCTAATTGTACCGGTAAAAAACTGGTAATTACCGGTAAACGGGGACGCAGGAATAACAATACTTTATCAATCTGTCATCTACCAACAGATGTAAACAATATTCCCCAGATTTGAACTACATATCAATGCTTATAAAAACACTGTGGATTCCATGAAAAATATATTCATTAATCATGTTTAAAAAAATGGGCTAAGTCGCGTTGTAAAATAGTATTTTCAGGGGAAAATGACAGACAGACTGCAAGCAATGATTAAATAAATTTGCATCACCTAAATTGTTGAAACGTTAAATGATACACCTGCAGGTGTTTTTTGAGGAAGATGCTTATCTGGAGTATTTTTAAAATTAAAAAATTGAGGCAAGTTTGTTCATCATGTTCAGATTAATATTCTCCCTTCTAATGAAAATGAGCAAAAGGAAAACATGTCACGATCATCATGATCCTGAGGGCTAAATAGCGGGGTGTCGGTGATAAAGTTCTGGTCGCTTTGCTAGTGTGCATCACGTTTCCACTTACGGTATTCGACGTAATAAGCGCCCCCGCTCTAATAAGTGCCCACGGCGATATTTGCTAATATATTGGCTAGTGAACAATCCCAATAAGCACCCCTTCCAATTGATCAATGTACGCGTACAAGACTTAATTATTCACGTATAATATGTGTGATATATGCATCCTTAATCAGGGAAAATTAACTTCTGGAAAAATATATCTGTCATACATAAACATTTCAGGCTGTCAGCAAAAACCAGGAAATTTACAATCTTTCAACTCTGTTGTTTTTCACCAAAATAATATTCTAATAAGAGCCCCCTATTTCTAGTTTTGTGAGCGCCCTGGGCGCTTATTATGTCGAATACGGTATTATAGGAGACACAAAGTATATAATACTTAAACCATGTATGATGTGTCAAAAAGAGAGAACCTATTAGGTACACAAAGGATATCTATGCTTCCAATGGAGATTCCAACAGTCAACACAAGGCGCCCCGCACGTCTCTCGTTTGGATCAGGGACACAGATCGTGTGTCAGGTGATCAGTAGAAATTTTAATAATATATGGTTTTTAAGATCAAATTGTTTTAAAAAATAACCACATATATCTAGGGATGACAAAACATGAATAACTTAAATGTTAAATCTTTACACAGTTACGACAACACTATGTTCAGTCATATTGTGAACTGTATTAAGACTAACAGTGATGGTGGGAGGGGCACCTGTCATTCATAACACCTATGTACATTTCAGCGCGCGCACTAACCTGACACACGACACCCTCTCGTCAATCTCCTCCACTGCAGGCTTCAGAAGATCTACCAGTCCGTTTGCGATAGCGTCCCGCGTCCGTGTATCTAATGGTGTGTCGCTCGATGGTGAGGTAATGGGAGACTGAACTTCCGCCATTGTGATGTTTTGCAAGGGGAAGTAACTCTAAGTTACTACTTAGTTTTTAGTATTTGTTCAACTACAATTTTTCAGGTTCAAATCTCAAACTGGTTCTCATTTTAGATTATGGTTGTTTTGACATTTTTGGGTTCAAAGTGTTCAGTGACAATCTTCTGGTGCAACTGGTGTGTGTGTCCATGTATCACAGCATGAGAAAAATTAACCCGAAACCTACCTTTACTAGTCAATAGAAGTGACAGATTTAACTAGTTATATGAACGAAATGGGTGTTCTATAACCTCTTTTGAGTAGTATATATGATTGTGTGTTTGCTGTTTAACACTGCACTCAACAATACCCCAGCTATATGAAGACAACCTGTTAACAGTTCAGTGATTGATATTATGAGCAACGATCCACATTGTTGGGGTACATGACATGCACGCAACCACCCGATCCATTAAGTCGCCTTGTACCAGCATAGGTTGCTGGGAGCCTATTCTAACATGGAATCCCAACTAGATTCATGAAAGTTTGGACTGTGGTGAACCCAGATTTCTTTCATTGCTGTAAATTCCCGTGATGATCCAGGGTAGAATAGTTCTTCAGCAACCAATGCTTGCCGTAAAAGGTGACTATGCTTGTCATAAGAGGCGACTAACAGGATCAGGTGGTCAGGCTTGCTGACTTGGTTGATGGATGTCATTGATCCCAATTGCATTGATTGATGCTCATGATGTCAATCACAGGATTGTCTGGTCCAGCCTCGATTATTTACAGACTGCCATCATATCGCGGCGTGACAGCTTAATGTGGGAGGAAAGCTTGAAGTGATGCAGGTCTTAGACGTTTACCAGTTTGGTGAAACCCACGAGCAAGGGTATGGTGCTGACAAACCTAGAAACATAATCAGGGCGAACCGTGATTTGAACCCAAAATCATAGGTTTCTGGCGTGCCCAGGGGACGCAACTCTGCACAGCGAATCACGGCACCTTTGACGACTGGGCCACCCGTGCCCCCCTTTCAATGTAAGAGTGAATAGCTTACCACTCTCTTTGTTCCTACACTAGTTAATATCAGAATGCATGATGCTGATAAAATACAAAATATAGGATGATGATCAAATGCAGTGGTCTGAGATGTGCTGCTGAAATAAGGAGGGGCCCTGGAGGTTTTAGGATACAGTACATACAGGTCATCATATACAATCACAGGTTTCTGGCGTGCCCAGGTGACGCAACTCTGCACAGCGAATCGCGGTGACTTAGATGACTGGGACACCCGTGCCCCCATATCTATATAGAAGGTAAGGTTTAACTCATATCTTAAAGGAAGGCTTTTGGTCAATGGTGTTAAGCCCTTCTTCTGCAAGTATATGATCAATGCACGTTCCACAAGTTTGTCCGTTTTCCGAAGGTCACAGAACTGTTGCAGTGAAACAATGAGCTCAATTTGTGGATATACTTCTGTGACATCATTTAATGTCCACCACAAACGAATTCACTTTTATGTAATTCCTTCTAAAATTCCTTCCAAACTTGTCAATCAGCTCTCACTGATGCTGATATTTTTCATGCTTACTCAGTATTTACCTCACACAGGCAAGAAGTAGCCCTGAGATGTTCCAAACAATAAAGAAATTGTTTTCCATTAAAGTGAGTGAGTGAGTATGGTTTTACGCCGCTTTTAGCAATATTCCAGCAATATCACGTCGGGGGACACCAGAAATGGGCTCCACACATTGTACCCATGTCGGGAAGCGAACCCGGGTCTTCGGCGTGACGAGTGAACGCTTTAACCACTAGGCTACCCGACCGCCCCTTTTCCATTAAAGTGTTATGTCTTTGTGTCATGCATACAAATCCATAAGGTATTGAGGATGCACAATCCAGTAGTATCAGTCATTGTGCCATCCTGGTTGCTGTTTACAAGAACAGTGCTTGGGATGTTTTCAGAAGCCATGGGGTTGAGATAACAGGAGCTAACAGGAGATAACACGAAATACAGGTGTCACATATTTACAAGAAATTTATTCCTTTTTTTGTTTCAATTTAAACACAGACGTAATTAGCACTATACTCACAAGACAACTTCCTTTATTATATACAAACCTATTTTCTATTGCTGGTGAATAATAGTCATCATAATAATAATTAAATAAAGAAAATGTGCAGGATTTACAGCACAGACACTAAACAACCATGCATTCAAATAACCGACAGATTCAATGGGTGATCGCCTTCACTTGCCATCAAAACAACTTTCAAGAATCAGTTGTGATTTATAGGAAGGTTGTCTGGTGTATGATGATAATGATGATGACAAACTGAATTTAACTTCTTAAACTAGATCAAGTGAGAAATTCGTATTAACATAGATATTGATACATGAATATTATGTGTTCATCAATGTTTATTTGTGATACTGAGAAGGCAATAGGGCTACAGCATGCTACTCAAAGAAAGTTAAGGACCACTCGATTCTTTCGTATTCCTATAGTTAATCTGTCATGCCATGTCACATTAACTACAGTAATATGAAAGTAGTATATAATAACTAGATCCATGTGGTAAGGGTATCCAAGTGACATCAGCTGACATACCATATTTGCCATAATAAGTGTCCAGGGCATTTATAAAATAGACAAAGGAGGCACTTATTGAAACCAAACACCACATGAATGTTTTTTCAGCGATTGAGAAGTAGTGATTAAAGTAAGTTAATACTCAATGAAACTAAAACGTTTTTGAGAATATCTACATCCCAAATTATATACCCTTTCTATGCAGTTTTCTGTGAAATAATTCTGTAACATACACCAAAAAAAAGTTGAACTGTCATATAAACAATCCGGGTGCTTGTAAATATTACTTAGGGATTGGTCCTGAAGTTGGTCAAGGGGTTCTTAAGAAACAGGGCACTTAAGATGGCAAATACCGTAGACATAATCACAGGACTACATTGATATCCTTAAATTCAAGACATGAAAATGGACAAGGGCAGACTTTTGTTTATAAATAACTACACTGCTGTTAGCTGTCATGAATGAGTAGAATTTATTAAAATGAACATCAGGTTAAACATATCCAATGAGATTATTGTTTATGTCAACATGCAATAGACAAACAAAAAAAAACTGGTACCCATCTTCAATATCACCCAAATTGCAATACTAGCAATCCTGTTTCCTCTTAAAATTCTAACTGTTTCAATGAAGAACTTATGTGAGATGTATCTATATGAGTGTTGGCTATTCAAGGGCTAATTTAATGTGTTCTTTTCTATACATATAAGTTTTCTGAAGTTGTCTTCATTAAGTCACCCTAGACAAGAATGTTTATGGAAGTCACTGAAGATCCTTCCAAGGCACAGGTCATGATATTCACTGCAATACTGAATGTAATCATCAAGACATCCCTCATCTACATCACATGAAAAGAAACAAAACAAAGCATAATTTGAAGAATTTCTTACTAAAATACAAGCAAAACCTACTTGTAATAAAAAAATTGTTTATCTTAAAAAAAGCAGCAATTCCCATCAACATTAGCTCGGTGAACTCCATCCCAGTTGGTGGAGTGAGTGAGTGAGTTGTGTTAACTCCTCGTTCAACAGTATTTCAGTTATATATGGGAATGGGAGAGTCTTGTGAACATGACACCGATCATGTTTACCACTTTGCTGAGGCCCAGGAGCATGGGTTTGGTGCTGACAAACCTAGAAACATAATCGGGGCGACCGGGACTTGAACTCACGATCAAAGGATATACCTAAGGATCATAATCAGGATGATTCTGGGATTGAATGATCCTGAGAGTGAGAATAGCAATATTCCAGCTATATCACGACAGGTGACACCAAAAATGGGCTTCAAACGTTGTATCCATGTGGGGAATCGAACCCAGGTCTTCGGCGTGACCACGCTTTAACCAATAGGCTACCTGGCCGCCTCAAATAATCCTGATAACCAAGGGAGTTAACTCTATGCAGCCAACTGTGTCTGATAAGAACAGTAGTCTACTTGTGAATCTCTTAGTTCCATCTACTGTGCCATAGAAGTTTCTTTCTGCAATGAAGGTTGCTCGATTATCCAGTGTATTATATCTCCATTTTACTATGATAAACACCCTGGACTTGTACGCTGTCATAGTTTCCTTTTGAACCATATTCAAAAGACATGCTACCAAGAATAGCTGTCCTATGAGATTGCACGAATAACGGAGAGAAACCCTATGTTAAGTTAGTGAGATATTGAGATCGTTTCTGAAGCCATGCTTTGGTGGCGAAGGGTCTTGGGTAGATATCCAAATAAATGGACAATAATATCTTGGATAATTGAGCTTGGCAATGAAGAGGATCCATCAAGGCTCTAGGTGACATCATCATAATTTACAACACCAATCATTTGGTCATATAAGTGTCATATGATTTTCGCATTTTTGAGTGTCTGTTCTGAGCCAAGGCTGAAAACAAAAAGCAACAGCAGAAGACACTAGCTTCAAGCAATTGACATAGGGGTTGATTGATCAAGGAAAGACCACCGTCTACAATACAAGTCTCATTAATGCCTATAAATTAAAAATGGTTAAGTGACAAACTTCTCCATTACATCTTCATGATATCCCTTCAATGTATCCACCATAACAGAGGAAAGATCTGCTGCAGTAATTTATTAGATTACTGTATCTCAGAGTCAGCCCCTTAACATTTAGGTAATACATAGTTTCTCATTCTAAATAATTGAAGATAAATAATATTCCAAATGATTAAATTACAATCTCCTCAAGCAAACCATCAGTGACATGAGTTGAGTACATCAGACAATAGGGTAGAGATGTATGGTGATATAGTACTACATAAGGACAGAAGTTAGTACATGTCTAGTGGCTGTACAGCAGTTGATGTTGGTATACCCTCTGGTCACATACGATATCGATATGCCCAGTGTTCATACAGCATATTGATATGCCTTGTGTTCATACAGCATATTGATATGCCTTGTGTTCATACAGCATATCGATATGCCCTGTGTTCATACAGCATATCGATATGCCCTGTGATCATACAGCATATCGATATGCCGTGTTCATACACCATATCGATATGCCTTGTGTTCATACAGCATATTGATATGCCTTGTGTTCATACAGCATATTGATATGCCCTGTGTTCATACAGCATATTGATATGCCCTGTGTTCATACAGCATATTGATATGCCTTGTGTTCATACAGCATATTGATATGCCTTGTGTTCATACAGCATATTGATATGCCTTGTGTTCATACAGCATATCGATATGCCCTGTGTTCATACAGCATATTGATATGCCCTGTGTTCATACAGCATATTGATATGCCTTGTGTTCATACAGCATATCGATATGCCCTGTGATCATGCAGCATATCAATGTTAGAGATCCAGACATACTATGCACAACGGTTTATTTATTTGACACTTTCATCACAAACACACTTGAGACACAGATCAAGGGGACAGATTATAACAAAATAAGGAGGTACGGGCTATCCTTTATAATCAATATCCACTTTTCTTTGCTGTTGTACAGTAAGCAGACTAGTGTCCGCTACACCTGACTGAATATGCCAGTGCCATGAGTCATTTCAACATTTCCAAACCTTAAAGAAAGTACATTTGGTATTCTTGATAATTGCTAGGTTTACAGTACCATTTCTTAGGATCTGATATGCTTTTCAAACTAAGAATACTTCTAGCTCATAAAACAGCCAAAATTAATCAGATATTAAACTACATCAACTGGGATCTGAGATTATTAACACTGATTATTTCATTAAAAGGCCATCTGACAAATAAAATTAAATTTAAAAAAATAATTTATTCATATTTTTCTCTCCAAAATATAAACTAATGTGTCATTCTGATTGCAATGGCATAACGAACTCTGTAAGTACATCATGCCCAAATCATGAGGCCATGTCAAACAGTGACATCCAAGGTCTTCATCCTAGCTCCACCATCCATATTAACCTACAGTTTCTTTTCAAATGAGGGCCTGAAGAGTTTAGTCAGCACCAGCAGCTTCTTAAGCCTGTGGGTCCTGATGCCAGCCTATCATTACTGTTTATTTCAAACACTGCCCTCACCCAAGCCTAGTTGATGTATCAGATGTATGTTTAGGTTATGGCAACCACTTTCCATCTTTCTTAACATGATAAAATAATAAAAAAACTAAAAAAGAATATTGTCCCCTGGGGAAATTGGATAAAATTGGGACTGTCCGTGTTCTGAATAAAACACCCACTTTAAAAGCTGAAGATACGAGTATGTACAAGATCAACACACAGCGTGCTTAAATAGCACATCCACATACACAGTACAAGTTAGGTACGGTCACCATGCTTAAAGAACTCTTTTGAACTGGGAAACTTATCCGAGTTGTAATCGGAATCGTTTTGAAGTCTTTGTGTCAAAACTCTCTGGACTTCCTCTTCCAAAGCATGTTGCAGCTCACTTTCTTCCGATGCTTCATTGGACAGGTTTTCCTGGCTGCTGATTGGTTGGACGCCGGCTGCAGCGGCTGCTCGTATGATGGAGTCAGGGATGTATTCGGCCATGTTGTTCAAGTTGCTGCCTCTCTCCAAAGCCATCATCTGGTGGGGAAACAAACCGTGCAGAGAGTGAGTGACTTTGGTACTTAGCTGCTCTGAACAATATTTCAGTTATATCATGGCAAGTCAGATTAATGTGAGAGGCATGTTTGTTCTGATTGTTTGTTTTTTGTTTATTGCTACTCAGCAATATTCCAGCTATATTACAGGAATCTGTAAATAATTGAGATTGGACCTGACAAGCCAGTGATTGAAATGAGCATTGATCTACGCAATGGGGATATGACATACATCAACCAAGTCAGCAAGCCTGACAACCCGACTCTGTTAGTCCCCTCTTACGAAAAGCATGGGCTGGTGAAGACTAATTCTAATCCAGATCTTCACTTGCGTAGGATGCAGGATTTAGGCGTTCACACTAGCCTTCATCGTGAGTACAAGTATAGTGCTGACAAACCAAGAATCATAATCTGATCATTGGATTGAGGAATACCCAAGGGAAGTAACTCTGCACAGCAAACAGACTATGATGTTGAGCGATTGTTTGTTAGCCATAGTCAGGACTATCTAAGCCATATGATGGTGGTAAATAATCCCATTTGGTGACACCAACCATCCATGTCATCAGGTTATGTTGATACACAGTGTGAGTGTGAGTGTGAGTGTGTGCGTGAGTGTGAGTGTGTGCGTGTGCGTGTGCGTGTGCGTGTGCGTGTGCATGTGAGTGTGAGGATGTGCATGTGCATGTGCATGTGTGTGGTTGCTTGTACTTGTCCAGAACTAGCCTGCTGAGATGCCATGCTGCAGACACAGCAGACAGACTGAGCTCAACAGTCCTTGTTTTATACCCTTAATGCCAAGCACCAGGCAGGCTTCTTGGCTTTGACGACAAGCATGGGATACTGTGGACCATCTCTGCAGGTGGGCACCAATTAACCTACCCTTCTGCGCTTTGGTGGCAATCCTTGCATATAGATATCACTGAGAGGGCGTGGTGCTCCATTCTCCCGCTGTCTGGTAATATCACGGTTGATGATTGGGACCCAATCCTGGTGAAAACATAATTCAAGATATGACATGGAGGCATACCTGATGAACCAGCAAGTGTAAGTACTTGGTACAGAACTCGCCTTGAAACCAAAAATAAGCATGAAACAGCTGCCAGGCACCTTGTACAAGCTGGGGATAACCATTGAATCACACCCTAAGCCCATGTGAAGGTCCCCGAGAAGTACATGTATATCAATGAGTAAAGTTAATACAGCTACATCTCGGGACAGGGCAATTAAGTTACAGATTTTCTTCGTCAGTGTGTATAGGGGTGTGAGGGTACAAGCCCCACCCCCAATTTTACTCTTGACAAAGTAATGGATAACAACTTCTTTAATATATTACAGTGAGTTAGTGAATGAGTTGGGTTTAATGACACTTTGGGCAGTATTACCATCGTATGATGGTGTGTCTGCTTGATGTGGAAAGAGAGCCCTAAGTGATGCAGGTCTTATAACATTTACCACTTTGGTGAAACCTGCGTGGCTTACCCTTAATTGAACCCATTATCATAGGGTGCTGGCATGCCCAAGGGATGCAACTCCGCACAGTAAGTGCACTGCCTTAAGATGACAGGGCCGCCTGTACCCCCGTAATATATCATGGTCTATTAAAGAAGTCGTTATCCATACATTGTGTCGACTATGTCATCCTTCAACTAACACCTATCACACAAATCAAATTTATTTGCTACATTATCACGAAAAAAAAAAATGTTCCTGCAGACTTACAGCTGGCAACACAGCCTGCCATGAGTCATCTTCATCTGTGGGTGGGGATGTTGGGGATGCGCTGTGTGATGGCGACGCCCCATCTGACCCAGCTCCATTCATGAAGGACCGCTTGCCTCGCTCTAACGTGGCTGACACGGGGGTCGAGCTGGTGCGGGGCTTTCTGTCTCCCGTTGGCTTGGGGGGTATTGCTGGCTTCTGGAACAGCAAAACCATACAGCTGATGACTAGCACAGGGTCATGTTTGTGGCTGAGTGAAGTCTGATGTCAAACCTCTTAAGTGTAAACATTTTGGTTATTTTCGTTCTCTGTTGTAGCTTTTGTTGATGAACACAATAATCCAGCTATATCGAGGCAGCCTGCAAATAACCATTTCTGGCCCAAACCAGTAACTGATATTGTGAGCAAGGATCCATGCTGACAAGGTACAATGACACCCAAGCAACCAAGTCTGACACATAAGCAGCCACGTCACTGAGTCTGACCATCAGATCCATTAAGATGTCTTTTTTAACCTGGATCTTCACGGGTTGCCCTGCCATCTGTCAACACAGAGCTGGACTAGACAAACATGTAACGGTCAGTCAAGCTGTGATGTGTGAGTGAGTGAGTGAGTGAGTTTTGTTTAACGCCGCTTTTAACAGTATTCCAGTTATATCACGGCATGTCAGCTTAATGTGGGAGGAAGGCCCGAAGTGATGCAAGTCTCTGACGTTTACCACTTCGGTAGAACCCACGAGCACGGGTATGGTGCCGACAAACCTAGAAACATAATCGGGGCGAACCGGGATTCAAACCCACAATCATAGGTTTCTGGCGTGCCCAAGTGACGCAACTCTGCACAGTGAATCGCGGCGCAATAGACGACTGGGCCACTCATGTCCCCCTGTGATGTGTGAATCTGGGATCACAAAACTGATGTGGCCGGGGATTGAACCAGTGAACGTCCTCTCTCTGGGCTGATGCTCTATCCACTAGACCACTGAATCAGTATCAGGAAGGAGCCAGGTTTAATGTTGCTTTGAACAATATTTCATTGAAATCACAACATATCAGTTACATGAAGAAAAGGCCTCAGGTCTTTTACCACTGTGGTTAAGCTTACAACCATGACAACAACAAAAAAGGAATAAAAATCAAGCTGAATCAGGAATTCGAAGCCATGATCAATATCCTGGCAAGCATAAGGTATGCTGTTTGTTTGTTTGTTGTTTTACGCCGCACTCAGCAATATTCCAGCTATATGACTGCGGTCTGTAAATAATTGAGTCTGGACCAGACAATCCAGTGATTGATATCATGAGCATCGATCCACGCAATTGGGATTGATGACATTCATCAACCGGTGTAGTCTCTTTTTGCCTGCACTTTAATTGGCTATAAGAGGATTAGGATTAACAGTCCAGTGCCTGCAAAATTATAGTCTGTTCAAGTAAGTGGAGTTCACTCACTGACCACACTGACCACAGTTTACTTTAAATGTATATGTAATAAAAATGTGATAAACTGTACTTTTTAAATTTGTGTATTATGTCATGTCATGTATATTAAGTAATTTGAAAATTTAAAATGTGTTATATGCAATTAAAAGAAAATGTGATAAACACTTACTTTTTCCTCCTTATTTGCCTGCATACTTGCATTTAAAATACAGACTATAGCCGTAATCCCCATTGTTCTAGGGATTTAGTACGGGCCACTGATTTTAATCCCGAAACAATACATGCCGGCAAAAAGAGAACACCCCCATCAAACAAGTCAGCGAGCCTGACCACCCGATCCCGTTAGTCGCCTTTTACGACAAGCATAGTCGTTTTTACGGCAAGCATGGGTTGCTGAAGACCTATTCTACCCTGGAATCTTCACGTATCCAGTGTACGGTGGTATGTATAAGGTATGCAACTCTGCACAGCAAATCACAGTGTCATGGATGACTGGGTCACTGGTACTGAGCTTGGGTCAAAGATGGTAGGTCCACACCATTAGGTTAAACAGTCACATGAATACATCAAAGCCACATCTGCTTTAGGCCATTTTGACCACTGGATCCTCATACATAGTTTCTGATAGCCATGAATGACACGTTACATCAAAAGGATGTCTCCATCGCGATGTTGAAGAACTAACTCAAAACTTAAACCAAGGGAATTTTCAAGTTGAGGGTGATCAATAGCCGCAAGTGGGAGAGTGAGTAGAGTATTACACTACTAACAATATTCCAGGCATATCATGGCAGGGACACCAAAACTGGGTTTCACAGATTGTACCCATGTGTGGAATCAAACACAGGGATTCAACATAACAAGGAATGCTTTATCTACTAGGCTACCTGCTGCCAAGCGAAAAGTAATCCTGTTTAACACACCTAGGGCTGGGTCATCTGGCTGGGCGTGGCATTAATACAGACATAAATATTGTTTGAAATATGCCTCTGTTCACCCAGCAGTGAATGGGTACCCGGTAGAAGATAATGGCAATATGATAGGAAAACTCCTTGCGCCTAACAGGCTCATTGGGTGGTATGATCCCCTGGGAGCTGAGAATGAAAATCGCATACATTGATCCATGTTGTAATAATGTAGATCTATTATGGTCAAAGCGCACGTGAGCAGTTGTACAATGGAAAATGCGCTATACAAGTTCATAATTTAATTGAAAAAACTTCACATACTTTTTTTCGTACTACCTGTGATGGAGCAGCACTTGCCCCCTCGGCTGCTGCCTCAGTCTCCATGGGGGACTCGCTGCGTTCTTTGCTACATGGTTTGGCTGGGGCTGCAGTCCCCCGGACAAGGTACTGCTGAACATCAGATTGCGACACAGTGATGTCTTCACGGAAGTTGTGGAGCTGCTGTGACGTCATGGTAACCATCCATTGCTGGATCAGGGGATTCATACCAGCCGTCAAGTTCCGCTGAAACCAACCATCATGACAGAGTGAAGTTTAAGGTCATTTTCCTACACAGAGTACCTTGTGACTGCCTAGTACCACTGCCACGATTCGTCACATCATCCACATTCATTCAAGAGTGAGTGAGTGAGTGAGGTTTTACGCCGCTTTTAGCAATATTCCAGCAATATCACGGCGGGGACACCACAAATGGGCTTCACACATTGTACCAATGTCGGGAATTGAACCCGGGTCTTCGGCGTGAGGAGCGAACACTTTAACCACTAGGCTACCTACGCCCCCATTCATTCAAGATATTGCATGCGTTTTTCATCTGTTTGTCTTTTGAGTCTACACCTTTAGATAAACATATGTCATGAAATGTTTAACAATCCCTGAAAAAATATCCAGAACTTGAAAAACTATTTCCATTTTGTATTTATCATTTGTTCATATTACCGGTTGTTTACTTATATAATATTTGTTTAAATTAGTTGTACGGCTCCATGTGCTGTCATTGCTATGTCAAAGCTAGCGTTGCAGTCACTTAGATGAGTACTGATATATACTACTCAAAAGAAGTTAAGGATCACCCGATTCTTTCATATTGGTAATGTTAATCTGTCATGGCATGTAAGATTGACTACAGTAATATGAAAGAATCAGGTGATCCTTAACTTCTTTTGAGTAGTATACTATATCCTCACTGTTTTGCTGTTGTAGTAAGATATCTAAATATTTATGCAAAACAATATGCAAAACGTACTGAAGGGCTTCCTTAAGGTCAGTCTGCTCTGAATTCAGAATAAGCGCCTTTCTTTACAAATGAGCCTGTGGAAGTGGTGTGAACCTGTCAACACTGCACATTGGTTCTAACAATGTTCCAAAATGACTGAGAAACATCATGAATTAGCTTCATACATTGTAGCCATGGAGAGAACTGAACATGGGTCTTCTGCTTTAACCACTAGATCACCCAACCAAATGTTTCCAAGTGAGTGTATGACAAATCTGCTAGACCAGGGAAAGCACACGTCTGGTGGGTTTAGGCTAGACATTCCCGGTGGGATAGATTCATGTGGTTGGTTGGTTGGTTGGTTTGTTGTTTAACGCCGCACTCAGCAATATTCAAGCTATATGACGGCGGTCTGTAAATAATCGAGTCTGGACCAGACAATCCAGTGATTGATATCATGAGCATCGATCCACGCAATTGGGATCGATGACATGCATCAACCAAGTCAGCGTGGCTGTCCACCCGATCCCGTTAGTCGCCCCTTACGACAAGCATAGTCGCCTTTTACGGCAAGCATGGGTTGCTGAAGACCTATTCTACCCAGGATCTTCACGGGTCAGATTCATGTGGAATCAGTAAAGATGACTATATTGACTCCAATATAATAATGATGTACAATTTTCTTCCATCTATTATATTAAGCTCAACAAATAATACCAGGTGTCCTCCTGAAAATCATGCCGTAAGACAACTTCAGCTTTTTAACACAAAATCTTTTTCAAACTTCTCTTGTGTGAGGTTGTTCCCGGTACTGGACAGCCTCGCCCAAACAGAACCGTCCAAAACAGTAGTGTGTGCCTGCATGTGGAGTCATTGACAGTGACGCATGATTCGGTTTCCATAGTAATCAGTCTCGTATCTTTGTCAAGCAAATGTGTTTGTTTTTGTACACCTTGGTTGCATGTTATGTGGGCCTGAAGACCTTACACTTGGCGGTGCAGATACATTTAAAAAAAAAAAGTTTACGGTTTACATCCTGAGTGAGTGAGTGAGTGAGTTGGGTTTAACGCTGCTTTTAAAAGTATTCCAGTCAGTTTACCACTTCGGTGAAACCCACGAGCACGGGTATGGTGCTGACAAACCTAGAAACATAATTGGAGCGAACTGGGATTCGAACCCACAATCATAGGTTTCTGGCGTGCCTCTTCACATCCTGAACCCTTATTGGTAAATAGAGCCCAGACGTTCAGCTTGTCTTGAACTTTAACTACTGGGCCACCCTAGCACCCTGTAGTTTGTCAACAGTTTTACGCTGTCCATTTAGCAATGAAGCTGCTGTGATTACCAATCTAGAGTGCAGCATCCTCTCCAAGCCAGGGGCGCCCTCTACCAGACAGTCGGGTGTCAGGACCACAAACTCCTCCAACATCCTCCGCACACGGGCGTGCAGATGGGGCCCGAAGTCCGCATCATTCACTGAAAGTAAAACAAAGACAGTGTGTGGAGCACTTCAAACCAGGGCTGCCAATGAGGGAGAGTGAGTGAGTGTCATGTCTGTTTTACCCCGCAATATTGTAGGTTACTGTGGCAGATTGGGGCCAGACACACAGGTGTTGACAGAATGAGGAACGATTCATGCAGCGTCAACATCATTTAGAAAAAGTACAATAAAGATGAAATCGTGACACACATGTATATATCACTGTTAATTATCAGTACACCCATGTATATATCAGTTTATTATCATGACACCCGTGGATATATCAAGTATTATCATGACACCCTTTGACATATCAATTATTATGACACCCATGGATATATCAATTATTATGACACCCGTGGATATATCAATTATTATCATGACACACATGTATTTATCAGTTAATCATCATGACACCAATGTATACATGTCAGTTTATTATCATGACACATGTATATATCAGTTTATTATCATAACACCAATGTATGTATCACTGTTTATTATCATGACACCCAGGCATCACTGTTCACTATCGTGACCCATGTATGTATCTATTGAGACTCGAGCCAGACCTTAGAGGAGTCAAGCAGGAAGGATACAGTTTCTATACGGTGCAGCTTAAGCCAGATACCCACCTCAGGGTAACAGGTCTGATATACACCATAATTGAATGCCTTGCTCACACATCTGCTGTATCTTAACATCAGTTTGAGTGGGTGTTGTCATGAAGCCACACGCAAAGGCTTGTAGAGTGACTGTGTGACTGATTGAGTGAGTTGAGTTTAATGCTGCTCTGAACAGTATTCCAGTTATATCAGGGCATGGCTGGAGGAATGAATGTGTGATTGAATGAGTGAGTTGGGTTTAACACTTCTTAGAAAAGTATTCCAGATATATCAGAGCGTGGCACAAGGAGTGAACGTGTGAGTGAGATTAACGCTGCTTTAAAAAGTATTGCTGTTGAATCAGGGCGTGAGTGAGTGAGTGAGTGAGTGAGTGAGTGAGTGAGTGAGTGAGTGAGTGAGTGAGCGAGCTGGGTTTAACACTGCTTTTAACAGTCTTCCATATCAAGGCATGGCTTGAAGACATGGAGAGGAGTAGGTCCACAGAAAAAATGGGGGTCAGGTCCAAATGCATGTGTATCAGGCTCTAAGAACACCTACCTAAATCTCTGTACATAAGGAATTAATCATACAATAACAGTCCATACTGATCTGCAGTCAGCCTCAATCACCTACCTGGGGACTCCATCACCTGTCTGCAGATCTTCACCAGGTTTTGGCGGAACAGATCCCTCAATGACTGCTTGAGGTCGATACCTTCCTTCACAGTCACCACAGCCTGCAGTAAACAGAACATCTCTAATGGAATCTGGTCAGCAATGTGTAGTGTGTTAGATTTTAATGCTGTATTTTAGTTACAGGAACGGAACAGAAGTTCAGTTACATCACCATAGTGATGGAACAGTATTTCAATTGCATCACCATAGTTACAGAACAGTATTTCAGTTACATAACCATAGTGACATAACAGTATTTCAATTACGTCACCATGGTTACAGAACTGTATTTCAGTTACATCCCCACAGTGCCAGTATTCAGTAGATCCCCACAGTGCCAGTATTCAGTAGATCCCCACAGTGCCAGTATTTAGTGGATCCCCACAGTGCCAGTATTTAGTAGATCCCCACAGTGCCAGTATTCAGTAGATCCCCACAGTGCCAGTATTCAGTAGATCCCCACAGTGCCAGTATTTAGTAGATCCCCACAGTGCCAGTATTTAGTAGATCCCCACAGCACCAGTATTTAGTAGATCCCCACAGTGCCAGTATTTAGTAGATCCCCACAGTGCCAGTATTCAGTAGATCCCCACAGTGCCAGTATTTACTAGATCCCCACAGTGCCAGTATTAAGCCTGTACGCACCACGGCCTCCTGGATCTCGCTGTCCATGTCCAGCATGACCTGCTCCACACCCTCCTGGAGACTGGCCTCGCTGTACTCAGCCCCCCGCAACACCCGCCGCGTGATGAACTCTTGGAGGGGCGTGCGGAGCCGGTTCAGGGGCTCAGGGTGTCCGAAGAAGATTTGGAACAAATCGGAGAATGTGATGTGTCGTGACAGACACTGGAATATCTCATTGATAAACCCTGCAACACATAAATAGTTGGTATGGCAAGAGAGAATTCGGTTTTAACACTACAGTTAGCAAAGTTCCATCAATATCACAGAGGGCTTCACACAGAGGGGAATCATACCAGTGCCACCAGCATGACATGTGAACACTAGTATGCCACCCAAGTTCATGGCTGGAAGACAAGAGGATGATGTGTAGGTAGAGAAGGGTCTTACGAACCTTTTACTAATATTCTAGGCTTAGCACAAGAAGAGTCATCATACATTGTACGATTGTGAGGAATCAAACCCAGATATGTTACAGTGAGTGAGTGAGTGAGTGAGTGAGTTGGGTATAACGTCGCTATTAACATTATTCCAGTTATATCATGGCATGTCAGCTTAATGTGGGAGGAAAGCCCGAAGTGATGCAGATCGCAGACGTTTACCATTTCGGTGAAACCCACGATGGGTTCGAACCCACAATCACAGGTTTCTGGCGTGCCCAAGGAACGCAACTCTGCACAGCGAATCGCGGCACCTTAGACGACTGGGCCGCCCGTGCCCCCTAGATATGTTACAGGAAAACAATTGAACCACTCAGCTACCTCACCACCCCATGTATTGAAGATTAAAGCTGCAAACTTGTATCCATTTACAGCTCCATGTCGGCTATCTGTCATCAACTAGTTGTAAATACAAAGTTTCAATCCTTACAGTCACATTGCTGATTTTGCACAAATTCAGTGCACAATATCCCACACACTGGGGCCTATTTGGACACAGAATCCATGTCAGAATCCAAGACAGACAAGCATGCGATACAGGGGATCTGTTCTGCCCTATAATTCCTACAGGGAAACAAGTCTGAGGTCTTTGGATATATTCTGTCCTCAGGGGATAAACAAGTGTAGAGACTGACCTTCACCGGTGCCGCTGGAGTAGGAGTCCCCGAGCGTGGACAGGAAGTCGTGTACCGTATCCTGCTCCTGCTCCCCCGTGGCAGCCCGGCTCATGTATGACCCGATCCCTGACACCAGGCGCGTGAATGCATCGTCCGACATGACCCCCGGGGCCGGTGTTGGGGCAGGTCGATCTCCTTGACCTGCCGGCTGACCAGCAGCGGGCTGCTGACTCTGTGGATTCTGAAGGACAGGATCAATTGAAAGTGTCACAGGTGGAGACTTGTCACTGCTGTTGTAGAATGTTTCGGTTACTAAGAGGGAAATTGAATGAGTATTGTTATTGCAGAACTTTTTTTTGCCAGATCACGGACTTCCCACTATTTCATGTTGTGAATTAAAACCTTGTCTTCACAGCAAACATTTTAAACACTTGATTATGTAACTGCACCCTTTTCAAGAAAACTGATTACAAACACTAACAAACCTTGGTAGGGTGGCTGTTTTTCACTCAAAAATAATCCCACATAGTTATCTTAGCCTAGTCCTAAAATCACCAACCCAACACAACCTAAACCTAAATTCCAGCTAAATTATATAATTCTTTTAAATTTTTACAAAAGGAAACACATTATCAGTTTATAGTGGTGCAACTCTTGTGAACTTACTGCTGACTGCAGCATGTCTCGAAGCATCTGCATCATGGGTGGCACAGGCGGGCTCCCTGGAGTGTCACTTGGGGGCGCCGGGGCACGGGGACCCAGCATGGGACCAAACGTGCCCTGCAGCAGGGAGGCAAAGGGGTTGGCAGGGATGGAGCCAGGTTGGGAGAAGGTGGTGTGGGTGGTGGCTCGGCTTGACGCTGTCCCGTGGGCAGGGTGAGTTGAGGTGGGACCCCCAGGGGCAACTGACGCAGGGGCTGACCGTGGGGGGCCTGGAACAGAGAAGGTTGGTTGGTTAATTGTTTAACGCCGCACTCAGCAATATTCCACCTATATGACGGCGGTCTGTAAATAATCGAATTTGGACCAGACAATCCAGTGATTAATATCATGAGCATCGATCCACGCAATTGGGATCGATGACATGCATCAACCAAGTCTGCGAGCCTGACCACCCGATCCCGTTAGTCGCCTTTAAGACAAGCATAGTCGCCTTTTACGGCAAGCATGGGTTGCTGAAGATCTATTCTAACCCGGATCTTCACGGGTCGGATCAGAGAAGGAATATTGTCAGTGATAGATAGCAGATACTAGGTTAATTGATGTTGAATACTGCCATCATGCATAAAAATTGTTTGCTGGTTATTTATGTCACACAGTCTGGACCAAACAATCCAGTGATCGATATTGTGAGCATCAATCCACATGGTCGGGGTATGATGACACGCAATCAAACACGTCATAGAGTCTGACCACCCAATCCATTATAAGACACTAATTACGACCAGCAATTGCTGGAGAACTATTCTCACCTGGAATCCCTGCATTGGTAAAACAGGAATGTTTGTATGTTTGTTGTTTAACACCAGACTCAGCAATATGACAACAGTTTGTAAATCAAGTCTGGATCAGACAATCCAGTGACTGACATCATGAGCATCAATCTACACAATTGGGATACGATGACATAAAAAAGTCAGCAAGTCTGACCATCCGATTAGTGGCCTCCTATGACAAGCATGGATTGCTGATCAATTCTAACCCAGATCTTCATGGGCAAAACAGGAATGACGATGACTTACCTTGATGAACGTTGCCTAGAAGTCCATTCATCAGGTTGGACACCATATCAGACAATGCATTCTCTGGGCCCTGAAACAAAAAAACAAAATAAAACCCTTTACTTACAATGCCGACTGTTGCTTCCAACAAGACATAAACATGTCCTAAAACTTTTCTGTGTTCAGCCTGTTGAAATGGTCAGTGGGATTAACTTTATGACTAGAGCGGGTGAGTGCAAGAGCATGGACATAGGGCCGACAAACCAAGAATAACAAGAGTTTGCCACTAACGTGGCTATATCCCCCGCCCCTGTTGCAGAATTTATGACATAATTAAATCTAAACAAACCCAACCTTTTTTAACTGAGGTGGAACTTGTCATAAAAATTGTAAAAAAAAGAGTTTGGAACCTAAGTCCATCTTGTTGCCATGGAAATGTAAAAAATAAAAATTTCTAAAATTTCTAAATAGCAAAAGGCACCAGTTCAGCATGTACCTGACAAACCTGCAAAGTTTCATGAAAAAATATTGAATGGTTTCTGAGTTATGCTCCGGAAACGTTTCTATATCCCCGGCCCAACTTTGTTGGGCGGGGGATAATAATCAGGATGAATATGAGATTCAAACTCACAATTATAGAACTGGCAAAATGTGTCATCCTATGTGACAAAAAGACTATCCTCTGAAATATATTGCATTTCCTAAACCCTACCTGATGTTTCAGAAATGGGTAGGCAGATTCTGTTTATGTCACATTTACTGTTGTCATGAACACAAAATGAATGTGAAGGATTATGCAGTGATACCCATCACAAGGTTTCTCTTGATAAAATTAGAATGAACACAACAGTTTTTAAGAAAGTCAAACTCAGACTTTCTTGCTCGATATAACTTTAGACAAATACTCACAGTTGCTTTGCATATGTCAACTTTTTTAGTTTGTTCGTTGTTTAACGCCACACTCAAGTATTCAAACTATCTTACAAAGGTGAGTAAGTGAATATGGTTTTACGCCGCTTTTAGCAATATTCCAGCAATATCACGGCGGGGCACACCAGAAATGTCAGGAATCGAACCCAGGTCTTCGGCGTGACGAGCGAACACTTTAACCACTAGGCTACCCGACCGCCCCACTTACAAAGGTATAGATATCATCGAATATTAACAACTTTTAGTTCCTTAAAACTTTGGCAGCCTATAAATAATCAAGTCTTGACCAGACAATCCACCGATATTCCTGGGTATGAATACAGCTATCCATCAAAACACTGAACCTTATCACCCGGTCCATTTAGTTGCCTCTTACGACCAGCATAGGTTGCTGGGCACCTATTCTAACCTGGAATGCCGACAGGGGCTACATGGCTCACATAGACTTGCTGAAGCTCACCTGGCTGGTCTGGGTGGCCATGTTGCGGGTCCTTTGGGCCAGGAAGTGATGAGAGTTACAGGGCAGGTATGGGTCAACTGGCCTCGGGACACCGTCCAGCATCATAGCAGGGGCGAGGCGTGGGCCTGCAAGCAAACATCACAATTCTGACTTGTAAACCCCAAAACACAGCTGTCTCTCTGTTTATATCTAAAATTACATTATATTTTACTCTTTAAAATTATCACAAGTACCTACCTGTTGTTGTTGTAGTTGATGCTGTAGCTGATGCCTGTGCAGTTGATGATGCTCCTGCTGAAGTTGTTGAAGCAGATCCAGTTGCTGTAGCAGAGGCCGACGTGGATGCAGTTGTAGACGCAGAACTAGTAGTCGTGGTCGCCGGGGACGACTGTGAGGCTGATGATGTCGGTGCTGATGTCGGTGGTGTTGCGGACATGGCAGCGGGGTTGAGGACGCGGGTGATGTTGATGCCACCAGGCATCTGTCCACCCAGACTCGACATCGGGACTGGCACCACATTGATCTGCACTGGTTGACCCTGGCGGTGACCTGGTGGGTGAGAGTGATTTGTCCTTTACACACACATAACAGTGCTCAGTTATAATTTATGTGTTCTTGAACTAACCTACGACTAGCAGATCCTGTTATGGCAAAGGGTGCAACTTTGCACCCTTGATTTGCAGTGCATTTGATGCCTGAATGTCTTTGACACAGGTCTTGGTCAAGCTGCAGCAAATATCCACAACACCTCGGAACAGCTCACAGCAAAACATAGTGTAAGAAACACCCCACTATCTAGCTAGTTTGCAGAGCCACCTAATATTCAATTTAGAAAGACCTTTACTGGCCAGTTTGAAGAAGCATTCAATATTCCATTTAAAAAGCCCTTTACTAGCCAAATTGAAGAGCCATTCAATATCCCATTTAAGAAACACCCCCCTACCTAGCTAGTTTGCAGAGCCACCCAATATTCAATTTAGAAAGACCCTTACTGGCCAGTTTGAAGAACCATTCAATATTCCATTTAAAAAGACCCTTTCTAGCCAATTTGAAGAGCCTTTTAATATCCCGTTTAAAAAGCACCTTCTTACTAGCAAGTTTCAAGTGTCACTCAATATCCCATTTAGAAGGCTCCTTACTAGCCAATATCAAAAGCCCTTCCTTGTCGTTTGAAAAGCCACCCACTAGCTGACATGGGTGCTTGTTTATCAACTTCAAGTGTGAAAAATGTTTTAGTTACTGATGGTATTCACATAATCCTTTCTCCTCGTTCTCACAACAACAGTGCAGGCTACCCACCATGTTGATGCAGCACAGACGAGATGATGTTCTGCATCATGTCTGGCGGTAGCCCAGGAATGTTCATCCCAGTCAGACCAGGGATCGGAGGGGGTGGGGCCGAGGGTGTGGCACCCCCTGTTGTCGTGGATGACGTTGTTGTCGTAGTACTGGAGGAGCTGGCAGAGGTGGTCCCTGTGGTGCCATTATTTCTTTGTCTGTCTCCATTACTGCTACTGTCGTTGCCGATGATCTGGGTGGAGATGCTGTTGACGGTGACGGAGTCTGGTCCTACCTCTACATACACGTACGGGTTGTTACCAGTGCCAGACAGGAAGCCTGGGGGTAGGGGCCCTATTGACCCAGTTGACGAAGGGGGCACCTGCAAGGGACAATCATCACACAATCACTTTAATATACAACATGGGAATAAACAACATTGGATATTTACAATCTTAAGTTTCTTTAAACTTTGATTGTGGGATTGTAAGTTGTTCTTTAATGCCACACTGAGCAAATTTTCCAGTTAAACGAAGGCAGCCAGTAAATAATCAAGTCTGACAATGCACTGACTAATACTAAGAGCAATGACCCATGCCATTGGTGTACAAAAACACACAATCACCCAGTTCACTGTTTGTTTGTTTGTTGTTTAACGCCGCATTCAGCAATACCCCAGCTATATGTCAGTGGTCTGTAAGTAATCGAGTCTGGACCAGACAATCCAGTGATTTACATCATGAACATCGATCCACGCAATTGGGATAGATGACATGCATCAACCAAGTCAGCGAGCCTGACCACCCGATCCCGTTAGTCGCCTTTTACGACAAGCATAGTCGCCTTTTACGGCAAGCATGGGTTGCTGAAGACCTATTCTAGCCCGGATCTTCACGGGTCCCCAGCTCACTGAGTCCTACCACCCGATCCACGAGGTTGCCTCTTGGGGACCGATACTAACCCCCTGGATTCCCCTGGTCAGTCTTTTTAAAAATAGGACATATATTTTAATTCGTCTGTGTGTTTGAGCAATGGAAACTACATACAATTTCATGAATATGTCATCAATATGTTGTAGTCAGAAAATCATGTTTATGATCAACACTTTTGTTACCTCTTCCTGAAGACCAATTCATCAAGATCTGAATTATGGTGAATAAAAGAAAGTGCTTACATTGGATTGTGATGTAGTTGTTGTAGATGATGATGATGATGATGTTACTGTTGCAGATGTTGTAGTGCCACTCTGCGGCGTTGATGCCTCTTGTCGAGGCTGTGTTGTCGTCACTGTTCTTCTCACAAGGCGTGGAGACCCCACACTGAACTGGGCCTACACAGGGGAACATGTATCAGTGCAACTGGGCCTACACAGGGGAACATGTATCAAGGTCAACTGGGCCTACACAGGGGAATATGTATCAAGGTCAACTGGGCCTACACAGGGGAACATGTATCAAGGTCAACTGGGCCTACACAGGGGAACATGTATCAAGGTCAACCAGGACAACACAGGGGAACATGTATCAAGGTCAACTGGGTCTTCATAGGGGAACATGTATCAAGGTCAACCAGGACAACACAGGGGAACATGTATCAAGGTCAACTGGGTCTTCATAGGGGAACATGTATCAAGGTCAACTGGGTCTTCATAGGGGAACATGTATCAAGTTCAACCAGGACAACACAGGGGAACATGTATCAAGGTCAACTGGGCCTACACAGGGGAACATGTATCAAGGTCAACTGGGTCTTCATAGGGGAACATGTATCAAGGTCAACCAGGACAACACAGGGGAACATGTATCAAGGTCAACTGGGCCTACACAGGGGACCACGTATCAAGGTCAACTGGGCCTACACAGGGGAACATGTATCAAGGTCAACTGGATCTACATAGGGGAACATGTATCAAGGTCAACTGGGCCTACACAGGGGAACATGTATCAAGGTCAACTGGATCTACATAGGGGAACATGTATCAAGGTCAACTGGGTCTTCATAGGGGAACATGTATCAAGGTCAACTGGGCCTACACAGGGGAACATGTATCAAGGTCAACTGGGCTGGTGTCATTCATCACTGCAGGGTACGAGGATTTAGGGGTTATCTATTCCATGACCTTCAAGCTTAATTTCAAGACCTGGTTGATGAATGTTTACTGATTTTTATCTGGTGGATTACCTCGACAATACCTTTAACACATGGAAGATTGCTCGAAGCACGTGATTGTATTTTCCCTGTACTGACTATAAAAACAGAAAGTGCACCTGCCCTGATGGAGATACCCCGATGGGAATACCTACTCTGACTGGAATACCCCGATGGACAATAACTGCCCTGACTGGAATACCCTGATGGAGAATACCTACCCAACTGGAATACCCTGATGGACAATACCTACCCTGACTGGAATACCCTGATGGACAATACCTACCCTGACTGGAAAACCCTGATGGACAATACCTACCCTGACTGGCATACCCTGATGGAGAATACCTACCCAACTGGAATACCCTGATGGACCATACCTACCCTTATGGACAATACCTACCCTGACTGGAATACCCTGATGGACAATACCTACCCTGACAGGCATACCCTGATGGAGAATACCTACCCAACTGGAATACCCTGATGGACAATACCTACCCTGACTGGCATACCCTGATGGGGAATACCTACCAGACTGGAATACCCTGATGGAGAATACCTACCCTGACTGGAATACCCTGATGGAGAATACCTACCCTGACTGGAATACCCTGATGGGGAATCCCGGGCATCAGTGGTTGAGTGGGTGCTGTGTACATGCGTCGAGGAGGGGGCGTTGCCATGTCAACCATCAGGTCGCTAAGGTTGTGATAGGTGTGGCTGATGGCATGAAGAGCTTCCGACACCAGGTTGTACATCCGCTGGGGTTCCTGTACTTGCTGTAACACATGGCACAAGATGGACGTTTAACACTGTTATGAACAGTATTTCAGTATGCCTTCATCTATCACCTTCAGTGACACAGGTTATAGACAGTATTACTTTGTGGAAACCATGGAGCGTGGGTGTCGTGTTGACAACGGACTGGTTGTTGCCTTTGTTATTGTTTTTTCCCCGTGAGTACCCGGATGATACGCAACGCAACTGAGCGTGACCGGAGACTGGGGTACCGTCTGCAAGGACAGCTAAATAAACTTGGAGGCTGGAGGCAATATTTGTTTTACGTATTTTTGAACACTGATTGGTTAACTGTGATCTATAAAGATTTCGACAAAGGGCGCATGTTAATTAATTTCTTCAGCCTAAACAAACAGACAAAAACAACAAGGGAGCTTATCGGATGTCGTCATTTGGAAATACCCCAGATGGTTATAGTTTAATACCAAAAAAGTATCCATGCTGTAACAGCATTTTCGTATTTCGGCTTGCTACTCCCTTGTTGTCATCCACGTTTTCTCGTATAAACTACACTTGTGTATTTGTCATCATTCACTTGATGCTCAGTTAATGAATTTATTACAGGTACAATTAATGGTAGCACCACTTAGATTACCTGACAAAGGGTCCCATTTGGCATTTATTGTGTCTGGGGTAATTATTCAATCTAAATCATGGTTTGAAGTGAGGTGAAATGTGTGTTATGTAATGTGCACGTGTCAGCCCAGCAAGAGATGAATGATCAGTTGATATACTTTTTTTTGTAAATCAACGGATCGTTCCTAGTCATCAAAGGATTAACAGAAAATACGTTGATTGATTAATCACTGTTATCTTGCACAGTGGATATGTCAAGAGTGAGTGTTTACATGTCTAGGTTTACTAAAACAAAGGGAATACACTCATATCATGGCGCGAAGTGCCGATGTAAAAACAACATACTTTGTTCAAAGGGTTAACTGGTAACACGTTGATTGATTGATCATTGTTATCTATCACTCAATGGAATTTTTAGGAACCGTGGACGTTATGAAAATAGTTGTCACGTGGGCTTTCTCAGCCGACCTTTGAGACGTGACAACTATGTGAAACACCTGAAACAATCCAAGCGACCAGTTGAGAAACGAACACGGGTTATAATATCCCGAAACGATATACATCTTTTAAAATATTTGATTGTTACTGAGACACGTGACATCGAATACGTTTCTTTGTACAGATGCAGACGAGTGGAATATTGTTCCTTTGTGTGGATATTCACGGATACATTCCTCGAACAAGGAAGCTGCCTAAAACTTATACACATAAATTTGGTAGGTTGTAATTATGATATTTGCATTTTGTATTCCTTCATTTGAACCGATTCGTTCTTGTTTCTCTACGTCTTGGTTGGGAAATTCTTCAATGCGCGATAGACGTTGTTGTCACAGGTCTTTTCCTTTGTAAGCGTGTATATATTACCATCAATTTGTAAAATGTGATTCTCTCAGGCAATTTATAAAATGTGTAAATATTTCAGTCATTTTGACTAAAAAATCTGTCCAGATTGATCAAGACGATCAAAAGGGCCTACAAACATCACAACAGATTATTATGTAGGGTTAAAAGCCAAACAACTTAGAAATGTACTTTTCAACGTAACATTTTCAGTCTCTTGGTGATGACATTAAACATCAAAATGTTTGGAATTCGTTGTCATAATAATACAGATGGAAATGTTTTTCAGTCACTTTGTAAAATAGTTGAATATTTAGACGTTTAATAAATTTGTTACACATTTGACAGTAAAAAAATATACACACTATAACAAAGCATATGCTCAGGTGAAATATTTACTTTGTGTTGCAAGTCAAAATAGTGTAAACGATAATCGCAAAATTACCAAGCAAGTCAAAACTTCGTCACCATCACCGATGCTACTCACAAAGATACCTACATTTCCTAATTATCTCGAAAACTGTGTTTCATTTTGTTGATCAATGTGACCATACGCCATTACTACCCATAAAAGTGACTAATGCGCATACGAATGGCGTAGCAGAGGTCGCGAACTAGTCTAGATTTCTGCTATACATCCGGGTACTCACTGGGAAAAAACAATAACAAAGGCAACAACCAGTCCCGGGGAATTGCGTTAGATCAGTGCCCCTTTAAGGAAGGTAACTCTGCACAGTAAATAGCAGCACTTGGATCGCAGCTCTACCTTACAAGAGCCTATTCCCATCTATCATCGAAAAGAGTAGCTCAGAAAACCATGTGCAGCAACGGAGTCTCAAACTCCAGTTAGAGCATAGTTACAGGTACTGGTCAAAAGGGTCATAAGTATATCCTGATAATGTACTCCTACAGATACACTTTACACAAGAGGGCCCACTTGAGTCCGATGCACCTCGAGAATTACAGATGCCTGGACCCAAGCTCCTCACAGCGATAGTCTGTTCGTAGAGCTCTCTATACTATCGCTGCCACCAGTCAAAACTCCCCACTGTCATAGGTGGCCCCAACCATGCTTGGAGTTGAACTCGCAACCTAATGACCGTTATGTTTACAATCAAGTGACGACTTTTACTTTCTTTGTTTGTCAATTTGAATTTCTATTTCATTAAAACTATCATCTTTTATTGAATTGGTAAGAATGTAAGAGAGAAGTTGGGTGATTTTCCGTAAGTCTGCCGTCTCAAACCAATCTGAAAACATGGTCAGTCATAAACATGGTAAACCTTTTAAAAATGAAATATGATGGCAATCTCAAAGACATAAACAATAGTATAAACTTTACTACATTTGGGGTTAGAGGGCAAATTTCAAGATTCTTGTAATGGCCGCACCCACACTGATGGCAGCGATGTTACCGAGAGTGTAACGAAGGTGTCACACGTTGAGGAGGAGCTTGGCCTGGACCATGAGTCTCCAAGAGAAAAGTATCAGGTGAATCTTGATCAACAGAGTAACTCTACAAATTCAATCTTGACATCTGACATCTTGAAACGGAACATGAAATATGACAACTTACATCATTCTGTAGTTCCATGTCCTCGGCCATAAGGTCGCGTAGTCGGGCTACGTGGGGCTGCAGGCGGCCGTGCAGCTCCATCACGTCACCCAGCAAGTCCGACATCGATGTCAACCTGGGAGCCTCACTGAACAGACATTTCACTACAATAAGGGTGTCAATGTGTGAGGACTTTATAAAAATCACTGGCTTGTTTTCTTCAAATACAAAATTATATGCCCCTTAGTACCAATTGGAAATTATTTGCATATGCTTTTAAAGTTCTTGGTTGAAAGAGTTGGGTTTAACGCTGCTTTCACAGTATGCCAGTTATATCACATCATGTCTGTTAAATGTTGGAGGAAAGCCTGAAGTGATGCAAGTTTCATACGTATACCACGCTTGGTAAAAACATTCACACTTTGGTATGGTGCTGACAGACCTAGATTCCAACCCATGGTGAATGAAAGTACTAACAATTAATGCAATACTGTCTTTATGTGTAATTATGTATTTATACTTTAATTTATTTTAGAAAACAACTAATATAGAAGCTTGTAATCAATTATTCTATGAGTGAGTGAGTGAGTGAGCGAGTATTGTTTTATGCTGCTTTTAGCAATATTCCATCAATATCACGGTTGGGACACCAGAAATGGACTTCATACATTGTACCAATGTCGGGAATCGAACCCGGGTCTTCGGCATGATGAGCGAATGCTTTGACCACTAGGCTATCCGACCGCCCAAATCGTTGTATGAATACCAATTTCATTAAAACCAGGTCTTATCAGGATTCCCATGCCAGTAATGGGATGTCCTGTGCTCTTTGTTTGGCGGATTGCATGAATACAGGGTAACTTATTGATCACTGATCATGATTTATCATCAGATTATCACACGTAAACAGGTCATATCCATTCTTGGATCAGCAGAGAATCATTGGACTTACGTGTCTCTCCTCTGTTGCCCATTGGCTTGATTAGATGCACTGTCAGCTGCCGGTGTATCTTCCCTCACTTCTGATTGGCTGTCAGCTGCTGGTGTATCTTCCCTGGCTTCTGATTGGCTGCTGGTTGCTTGTGTATCTTCCTTGGCTTGTGATTGGCTGTTGGCTGCTGGTGTCTTTTCCTTAGCTTCTGATTGGCTGGTTGAATCAGCAGCGGCTCCACTTGGAGAGGATGTGTCCATATCAGACTCTTCGTTGGAATCACTGGTTGCTGGTGGTTGCTGACGATTTTGATTTTCGTCTTGTCCTTCCATGTTCTCAGCTTGCTGCTCACCAGGGGGAGCCTGAAGTCAACACAAGGACTTGTAGAGTTGACTGGGATCTACCAAAACGAGTTGACAGGCAGCTGCCTACTTCTCTTAGCCAGCTACTAACGACACTAAACATTCATTGGTCCTTGGTATCAATTGAAATCAAATAGAGAACTTCTTACAGCATCTCCCTACAAGTTGAGGACCTTTGGTGCCAGATCTTTCCAACATTCTGCTGCAGTGTTATGGAACTCTCTCCCCCTACACCTAACATGCGTCTCTTCATTAACTGCCTTTAAAACCCAACTAAATACCCATTTATTTCAGCAATGACACTTATTGACTGACTGTTTAATTGCAATTAGAGCATGCCCATGAGGCATGAAGTTACAGCTCTTTAGAAGTGGCCAATGATGATGATGATGATGATGATGATGATGATGATGATGATGATGATGAGTGAGTGAGTGAGTGAGTGAGTGAGTGAGTGAGTGAGTGAGTGAGTGAGTGAGTGAGTTTTACGCCGCTTTAAGCAATATCCCAGCAATATCACGGCGGGGAACACCAGAAATGGGCTTCACAGATTGTACCCATGTCGGGAATCGAACCCGGGTCTTCGGTGTGACAAGCGAATGCTTTAACCACTAGGCTACCCGACCACCCCTGATGATGATGATGATGATGAGGATGATGATGATGATGATACGGTTTGTTGACAGCCTCTCTAGCGATGCCCAGCAATTTTGCTGGCTTGGGTCCACCTCACCTGTCTGATGCTCTACACTTACCTCTAGTTTGTTGACAGCCTCTCTAGCGATGTCCAGCATCTGTCTGGCCTGGGTCAACCTCAACTGAGCCCCATTGGCTAGGGCAGAGGCAGGAACTTGACCAAGGTTGATGTGAACATCGAGCGAGGAGCCATCAGTCTGAAACCACAACATGTTGTGTACTATAAGCTGTAGATGTGTGACAATACTCCTTCAAAATACTTCTGTCATCATATGATAAGTATCGCAAGATTTTGTTTTTTGTTCCATGAGGCCTGGCCAAAAAGGAGAAAAGTATGTTGCACTGGGGACCTTCTCTGATTCAGAATCCCTACAGGGAGACAAGCATGTTGTACTGGGAACCTACTCTCATCAGGAATCCCCACAAGGTGGGATGTTACAAGACTAGGGATGCCCTTTATCCACCCTTCAGCAACAGTACATCATAAGTCACATCAAAGTTCCAACTCACTGAAGCTCTTGTGGACACACGCGCATTTCTCCAGTTGTCCCCCATCCCAGCAATGGCTTGTTGAACTATGTTCTGTAAAGCAAACAAGGACTTAATGGAATAATAACAATAATTTTGCAATTATTACTGAGTGAGTGAACAGTTTTCCGGTTTTGTCACGGCGTGTCAGCTTAATGTGGGAGGAAAGCCTGAAGTGATGCAAGGCTCAGATATTTACCACTTTGATAAAATCCATGGGCACAGGCATGGTGCTTCAAAACCTAGAAACAAGGGATTCGAACCCACGACCATAGATTTCTGTCATGCTCCAGGTGATGCACCTCAAGTGACTGGGCCACCCGTTCCTCTCAAAATTAATGATTTCATATAAAGCATACTGATGCAAAAGGCCAAATAACTATCCAAAAGATTTGAAGTAGGAGTCTACAAACACAGCCAGCAGATATTAATTATGAAGCTGTTCAACCTCATCGCCTTAAAGATCAGGCAGACACCCTAACATGCATCGTGGAAAAATACTGTACCTGAACCTGGTTGGGGTCAAGGACCTCGGAGGGCAAGGTGAACGACCCAACAAGGACACTTGACCCTCCTGGCCCTGTCCCCCCTGCCGTGGCCCCCGTTGCTGTTGAGGAGCTGGAGGTGGTGGAGGCGGTGGTTCGTGCCGAGGGGGGAGCTCGCTGGACTACGTGGATCACCTTGCCATGGACATCTGCCATGAGACACATCCAGCCATGACACATGTAAATTAACCCACATGTTGATTTCAGGTATGAATAGATTCAATTATTTGATCAAATGATTGAAAGAGATCAAAATTCTAAAATATTTATTAAAACGATCTAAACAAGGAAGGTGAAGGAACATTTGCAAACTATGATCAGTTCCGCTGAGATGTTTGTCTGTGCAGGAATAGAGGTAAGGTGAAATTGGGTTTAAAGTCGTGTCTAAGGTTATTGCACTTATATAGCGATGTGGATGCACGTGTGTGTGCGCGTGTGGCTGCTTGTACAAGTAGTGCTAGGTCACTGAGATACCATGCCGCAGTTTAACATGAATACCCCACTCAGACACAGTATACTGACTCCCGAGCCGACAAGTCCTTGTTTTAGCCCCTAAATCCTGAGTGCCAGACAGGGTAACAACAAGTACCATCTTTTAACGTCTTTTGGTTTGACGCGGATGGGGATCGAACCCCGGGCGGAAGCTCTACCACTAGACCACGGAGGCAGTCGCAGGAATAGATCTAGCTAGTAAATGAGTACTACAAAATAAATTATCTGGAAAAACTGGTGCTTGCGGAACAACATAACTGGAGATAACGTTTCCGAGAACCTATTATCAGAAGGTTAAGTAGTCAACAATGAAAATAACAAGAGAAGCACTTGGAGTGAGTGAATGTTGTTTTACATTGAAATCGTTAATGTTCCAGCAAAATCAGGCCATCCTTATAGTTATCAAACCTGGACCACATTAAACCAGTGGACGATAGCATGAGCATGGATGCACATCATCTGGGTTGAAAGACACTAGCTTTGTCATAAAACGTCACCACCCAATCTTCACTGAATCCGCTTTCCGGTCAAATACTTATTCTGCCGAGGCATTTCCAAGGGGATTTCCCCCTACCCAGTCCCCATAGGCAGTTAATACCAGGGAGGAAGGGTGTATCAATGCTGTACTTTCTGTGATGATTGCAAACAAGAATTGATAGATAGTACACAGAAGTCCTCACCATAGTCCTTGAGCATCTTGTCATCTTGCATAACTTTCCCATGGAAGATCAGCCTCTGTGTGTCAGCAGGAATGTTCTGAAAAACAATGGTTAGGACTGTATTTTGTATTACTGTTTGTTGCTTAAACCACACTCAGCAATATTCCAGCTATATAACAGCAGCCTGTTAATAATCAAGTGTGGACCTGACAATTCAGTGATTGGTATTCTGAGCAACATCCAACTTCGCTGGGGTTGAATCAAATGGAAATGAATTTTCAGTAGTCACCCAACACTATGTTTCAGATAATGAGGTCATACATTTAACATCTTTCCAAGTCTGTATAATGATCCATTGGCTTCCATGGTTACCCTGACACAATAACAGATTATTAATCTACATAATGATCCATCAGTTACCATGGTTACCCTCCACTGACACAATAACAGATTATTAATCTACATAATGATCCATCAGTTACCATGGTTACCCTCCACTGACACAATAACAGATTATTAAGCTACATAATGATAAATCAGTCACGCTCCACTGATTGTTTGTCTGCATAATTGTTAGTGGCAAATAAAATGCTATTTGATCTTAAATTTATTACTTTCGTCTGTAGATAATTACATTCATTATCAACGTGCCGCCAATCAAGGTTTTCCAATGACAACAATTTCAGGAATGAGAACAAAATTGGAGGAGTGATAACTTAAAACAAACCACTTATGGCCAATGATTGATGATAAAAGCATCACTGACTCCCCAACACTAAATCGAAATGAATGAATCTGCTTACAATTGAATTTGCGATCCTTTCTTTAAAGTCTCGTACTGTAATCTGAAAGCAAGAAAATACAGCATGTTAGCAAATCAACACATATTCTTCTATGGGCCATAGAAACAGCATAAAAGAGTCAAATACTAGAACAAAACCAAACCAAAATGGTCAAGTCATAGTCACAATTATGTCACAAGACAGTCAGTCCACTGGCAAATCTGCACTTCAAGTTGATCCATTAACCTGTTCGGAGTCTTTTAGAATGCAGTTTGCAAATATTTTTTATAGAAAATATTATTTCCCATAATTTAAGCAGACAATCTGGGTAAAGACTACAAATGAGGAACTCAGCAATATTCCAGGTATATGACAGGAGTTTTATGCGGTACCAAGCGATTTTCCAGGTATATGATGGCAGTTTAATGCCACACTCAGCAATATTCCAGCTATATGATGGGGCCTGTAAATAATTTAGTCTGAAACAGACAATTCAGTAATTGAAATTTTGAACAAAGATCCACACCATCAATGTACAATGACACACAATCAACCAAGTCACCAAGTCACCAAGTCTGACCGCCCAATCCATTAAGCTGCCTCTTACAATCATAGCAGGTTACCATGGTTACTGGAGACTTATTCAAGGATATATTAATCCTGAAACATTCAAAACACATCATCTGTGACCTTCAATGTTTGTGTCCTCAGATCTTCATACACAGAGAAACAGTATCAGATTTAACTAATGAGATTTGAAATTTGGGTAAGTAAAAAGGTGAAAATCTTAATTAAATGAGGTCAATTGACACTTGGCTCCAACTTACAGTTTCCGGGAGACTGTAGTTCCTGTTCTGCCCGTCAAGGGTTTTCACAGTCACATCCATCATCTTGGTATCTGAGTTGTCTAAAAATAAGCAACAAAAATCAGTTCTAAGGCATGTAAATAAGAAAGTGAATAGGGTTTATGCGTTAAAGGGTAGATGGCATAGCTCTAGTGTAAAAACCTAATCAAAATAAATCACAGGGCTTTCAACATGTTCAAGATTTAAACTTCTTCGATTGGTTGGTTGGTTTGTTGTTTAACGCCGCACTCAGCAATATTCCAGCTATATGATGGCAGTCTGTAAATAATCTAGTCTGGACCAGACAATCCAGTGATTGACACCATGAGCATTGATCCACCCAATTGGGATTGATGACATGCATCAACCAAGTCAGTGAGCCTGACCATACAATCCCGTTAGTCGCCTTTTACGACAAGCATAGTCGCCTTTTACGGCAAGCATGGGTTGCTGAAGACCTATTCTACCCTGGCTCTTCACGGGTCTAAACTACTTTGAAGATAACCTGAGTCAGGGAGGATTTGAACCTGTGATCATAGGATCATGGCAAACTGTGGCACCATTGATTTCTTAAGTCCCAAGTCTCTTTGTTTGACAACATAGTACTTCTCCCATGATTATGAAGCATAAAAGGAATACTATTTGAAAATTGAGGGAACTACCAAAACGACACATGGACATTTTAGTACGTTTGAAAGGATTAGGGTAAAATCCTCCTATACCCAGAGTTTAACGAAGACCTGTTTTGAGACCTGCTGCGCAAATGCACTTTTTGTTTATTTCTTCAACAGACAGTTGCAAAGTATTTAAGTTTCGAAAACATCCTGCATATTGTTTATTGAAATCATTTGGAGATGAATTGGTACAATTGAAAACTATGTACTCGCCTGGTAGGAAGAATGTTTCTTTATTTTTTCCCCGCCCTACACATGCTGCCACTCGTCAATAAGATTTGTTTGTTTGTTTGTTGTTTAACGCTGCACTCAGCAATATTCCAGCTATATGACGGCGGTCTGTAAATAGTCAAGTTTGGACCAGACAATCCAGTGATTGATATCATGCGCATTGATCCACGCAATTGGGATATGATGACATGCATCAACCAAGTCAGCGAGCCTGACCACCTAATCCCTTTAGTCGCCTTGTTTACGGCAAGCATGGGTTGCTGAACACCTATTCTAACCCGGATCTTCACGGATCGTCAATAAGAGTGGACAAGTGGATTTTTGAAGCCCTGGTGTATTGTGAGCAGGGGGTAGTTGTGTTTGGTACTTTCTACAGATGTGTTTATGAGAAGTGGATATATGTAGCACTAGCTATCAGTGCAGGGATGTATCCCTGCTCTTGTGAATGAGAAGGAAAATGGAATGAAGGAATGAGATGTTTTCAGCTGTAGAAATTGGCACTAGTCCTACTGTCCTTGGCAAACTGCCCAAAAATTAAGGTATCATAAGGACCAGAAGAAATTTGTCATTTTGAAGGGTTTCACTAAATATATCATTATAATGAATAGCAGACTAAATATGTTAGCTTCTATCCCCGTTTTGTAAGCATTGTCAGGGTATGACACAGCCTCTAGTCCATTAATCCAAGACCAGTGAAAATCTAGAGTGACTAATTTTCTCCCAAAATGTACTTATTTTACATAAACCACGAATTCAAAATGAGCTGTTGACTATGACTAATGATGTCTATCTATGATTGTTACTTTTATGTCAGCATTATGATCACCTTTCAATGTAGTGAGTGAGTGAGGTTGGTTTAACGCCACTTTTAACAGTATTCCAGTTATATCGTGGCGTGTCAGCTTAATGTGGGAGGAAAGCCCGAAGTGATGCAGGTCTCAGACGTTTACCACTTCAGTGAAACCCATGAGGATGGATATGGTGCTGACAAACCTAGAAACATAATTGGGGCGAACCGGGATTTGAACCCACAATCATGTTTCTGGCATGCCCAAGTGACGCAACTCCGCACAGCGAAATCGCGGCACCTTAGACGACTGGGCCACCCATGCCCCCCTTTCAATGTAAGAGTGAATAGCTTACCACTCTCTTTGTTCCTACACTAGTTAATATCTGAATGCATGATGCTGATAAAATACAAAATACAGGATGATGATAAAATGCAGTGGCCTGCGATGTGCTGCTGAAATAAGGAGGGGTTTTAGGATACAGTATCTTAATATCATACAGGGTAACCTTCACTTTCATTTTTAAATATGGAATGGCTGAATGGATGAATGCCTGTGCTGCAAATATACTACTCACTAGCCACCGATTTTCATCCTTGACTTCGGGCACTGGGGTAGGGCGTACATTGTTATTCCCTGTCATTGTTCAAATATCATATATTCTCTTAATTCAGTCAAAGCAGATATAATTACATTGTATTTCTATCCGAAACTATGTAGACATTGGTTATTGCCAATAATATTTACAGACTGAAATGAACAGGACATTTTACTAGAAAAGCACAATAATATTTAACACATATTCTGAAGGCAGATGGGTTGCTTTGCCACTCTTGGCAAGACTAACCTATGACTAATGTTTGAAATCCTCCAACATTAATTAGTTGTACCCTTGAATTTTACAAGTCATACTACATGAAACATGGCACAAAAATAATCAACACACAACAAGAATGGGAGGAATTGCTGCTCTTGGAAAGACTTCACTTTAGCCGTGACTGACTGACTGAATGACTGAGTGTGGTTTTACGCCGCTTTTAGCAATATTCCAGCAATATCACAGCGGGGGACACCAGAAATGGGCTTCACACATTGTACCCATGTCGGGAATCGAACCCGGGTTTTCGGCGTGACGAGCGAATGCTTTAACCACTAGGCTTCCCGACCGCCCCTTTAGCCGTGACAGCAATATTGCACTAACTTGCACCACCTGTGTTTTATGCTTCACTGATCTTGTCTGCATATCCAATCCTTAGAGCTAGTTGTGTGAGGGTTAGGGTAGTTAACCCCTAACCCTTGGATCACCTTTCTAATCAAACATCCTTCCAAGAGATAGAAATTTACCAAGAAAGTCTACGAGTCGGATTACTGATAACATATAGCAATAAACCCCAATGTCTGAAATTCTACTAGCCCTTAGAATAGCTTTAAAATTTACATAGCTGGTCTGGGCTAGAGCTGATTTCTATCTCTCGATAACTTCATGATCAATAGGGTTAGGCACCCCTTTTCTATACTTAAGGTTAGTTACTAGGCATTGACTTAACTATTTCACATCTCTTAACAGAAGCTTCCAAATTGATCTAAAATTTGATCAAGCTTCGTGACGTCCATGAAAGAGGATATGATTTTTAGATTTGTCCAAATGTTCTATAATGGGGTGTATCAAGCCTGAATAATGTGTGATATTGCCGGTGGTGATATGGTGAAGTGTTGGCTATTTAACTCATTTACTTGGCCTAGTTTAAATTAAAGTGCAGTATGCCAATACCCCGCTCTTAAAACCAGCAAATTTCTCGTTTGCCGTTTACATATGACGGGCAGATGGTGATCACAGGAAACAAATGTAACCTTCATTCCCCACACTGGTACGCCACAAGAGCATGAGTACTTCAACTGTCTCATCAAATGGATCAACATGCGACAAAATATAGACATCTGTGTGTCTTCTGTGTGTACTGACTTATATTATAAGCCTGCTAAGTCACACTACCGTCTGTGTGCCTTTTTTCGGGCCTGCTTAGCTTAGTTCACAGGTCACGATTTCTATACCAATAACTCGAGATTCTTTGCCTCCATTTTCATTGAATCACCATCTAACAAGCTCTACGGATACACTAATTTATCAAAGTACATAGTGAAAATTACCAAACACCCCCAAATCATGTATTTCTCCGTAGTTTCCCTTTCTGAAATGGACAGCCGTGAAACCCAGAAATATATAAACTCTCCACGACGCGCTTCTGTGACAGATGCGTCTACTTCTTTCTCGAACAACACTGTGTGGATACTGTAGGGCTAAAATTTTTACACGTAGTTCGCCTCATATCCGGTCGCACTATACCGTAATTATATATTGTAGATTTTTAAATAATATATTTAATAAATGTGGCATTTAACAGCGCAGGAGTTGATTTGTGGAGTTTGATTAATAGTTAATAACAGAGTAATAATCTATTAATAGAATAAGTAACTTTCATCACATCCTGTAACTTCCGGCAGATATTGCATTGCTCCGCCATATTGCGACACAGATCAACAGAGCTCAAACAAACGTTACCCGTATAATTAGGCGCATTTCAAATTATATTTTATTCATTATGGCTGCAGCATGTGATTTTGACGTTGTTACCATCGGAAAGAAACACAAGGGAGGACAGCGTTCCAAGGAGGTAAGAGATGGCGAAGACCATATATCCATAAAAAAAATAATACAATGGCTATGTACGTTATTTTGTTTGTTGTGTTTGTTCTTAAATTGTTTGACAATATTGTATTTTACTCTAACCTGTTAGATTAACTTGGCTTCCAATTTTCACATAATTTAATCTGCATTTTCATTCAGAAATGCCAACTACAATTGTTTAATGTACATGATGTAGGTTACCATGAGTACAAGAGTCTTTAACTCTCTATGAATGTAAATGTGCAAGCCTGCATGGTTATTCAAATTACACGTACAATACTTTGAGAATACAGGATACACCAGGGACTATGTTGGTTTTCTGTGAAGAACATCTCATAACATGTACAAACGGTTAGTTTTGAATGGAAATGTATCAATGGTAATCTTCCAAAAACATGGAACTTCAGATCCTAGTGACCACTGACCAAAGAGGTTAACCCTGTCAGAAAGCTGATGTGGTAAAGATGTCATCTGTGGGATGACTCCATGTACCGCAACATACTCCCTAATCAACAGAAGGAACATTCAGGGCTGCATGGTTGGGCATAAAAGTTATTTTGGCACCAGTGTACAGTGTTGGTTGGTTTGTTGTTTTACGCTGCACTCAGCAATATTCCAGCTATATGACAGAAGTCTGTAAATAATCGAGTCTGGACCAGAAAATCCAGTGATTGATATCACGAGCATCGAACCACGCAATTGGGATCGATGACCTGCAAGTCAGCGAGCCTGACCACCTGACCCCGTTAGTCGCTTCTTACGCATAGTCGCCTTTTACGGCAAGCATGGGTTGCTAAAGACCTATTCTACCCTGGATCTTCCTGGATCCAGTGTACGGTGTATGGATTGCTGGAGACAAATGTCATTAGGAAATAGTAAAGATTTTAACAACAATTGAGAGGACATTCTTCTTTACCCTCACCAAATGGAAAATTACCTTGAGGACATTTTGGATGGCAATCAGTCAGAAAATGAATAAATGAGAAACTCAGTGAATATTGTGATCAGAAATTCCCAAGTTCTGTGATGAGATTCAACCATGAACCTTCTGCTACGAGAACTGAAGCCTTGTTCATATGTTGATATCTCCATGCATGCTCTGCTCCATAAACCAGAGATCTTATACAGATGGTCAGCTCTTAATAGATTGAGATTATCATGATTATCACTGCCCCGGTAACGAGTGTAACCCATACTTGAATCACTCGCTAATGGCCTGCGGTTTTACTTTTCATCATAGCTAAGATGCAGAACATGTGTTCAGTTGTTTCCATCTGGTATCTGGCCCATGAAACAGAATCAAATAAAATTTCTGCTGTAGGGTTTCTCATGACACAGGAATCCTGTGAGTCCTTCTGTTTCATCCCTAATACTCAGTTATATTTTTGATGAGTATTAATACTGATAAAAGCATCCAAGGGACTTCATCATGTCCAACAGAAATTGTTTGTTTTTATAATCATGATTACAGCATGTTGTGCAACCAACATAATTTTCATGACAACTTTCTAATGGCATTTTTTAACTCAAGACTGACTTTGAAACATGAGTCATGACACCATTTGTTCTCATGATTCTAAAATATGCAGGGTGATGATGACAAGGGTGAAACCGCATTATTGGTGGTTTGAGAAGGGAGCTAACTCTGTTTGCCTAATCGAAAATTCGAGGCGGGCTCACAACCGAAACTAAACGTACTTGTTGTTGAGAATATGTACTACGTTAACAATACCGTATTACAAACTGCTATTTTTATACCCCCGACAAAATGTTATACCAAGATTACGTCTGTCCGTCCGTCCGTCTGAAAACTCTGTCCGCGCGATTTCTCTTAAACTATTCAGTGGATTCATCTCAAACTTAGTACATATAATCTGTGTCATATGGAGGGGTGCAGTCAAAAGAAAAAAAATGTTTTTATTAATTTTCCATTTTTTAAGGAATTTTTCAAACCCTAACGTCCGTCTGAAAACTTTGTCCTTGCGATTTCTCTTAAACTATTCATTGGATTCATCTCAAACTTAGTACATATAATCTGTGTCATATGGAGGGGTGCAGTCAAAAGAAAAAAATTGTTTTTATTAATTTTCCATTTTTTTATGAATTTTTCAAACCCTAACGTCCATCTGAAAACTTTGTCCGCATGATTTCTCTTAAATTATTCAGTGGATTCATCTCAATTTTAGTACATATAATCTTTGTCATATGGAGGGGTGCAGTCAAAAAAAATAAATTTTTTTTTATTAATTTTCCATTTTTTTATGAATTTTTCAAACCCTAACGTCCTTCTGAAAACTCTGTCCACGCGATTTCTCTTAAACTATTCAGGGGATTCATCTCAAACTAAGTACATATAATCTTTGTCATATGGAGGGGTGCAGTCAAAAAAAATAAATTGTTTTTATTAATTTTCCATTTTTTTATGAATTTTTCAAACCCTAACGTCCTTCTGAAAACTCTGTCCACGCGATTTCTCTTAAAATATTCAGTGGATTCATCTCAAACTTAGTACATATAATCTTTGTCATATGGAGGGGTGCAGTCAAACGAAAAAATGTTTTTATTAATTTTCCATTTTTTTATGAATTTTTCAAACCCTTACGTCCATCTGAAAACTTTGTCCTTGCGATTTCTCTTAAACTATTCAGTGGATTCATCTCAAACTTAGTACATATAATCTGTGTCATATGGAGGGGTGCAGTCAAAAGAAAAAAATTGTTTTAATTAATTTTCCACTTTTTTATGAATTTTTCAAACCCTAACTAACGTCGGTCCGAAAACTTTGTCCTCGCGATTTCTCTTAAACTTTTCAGGGGATTCATCTCAAACTTCGTACATATAATCTGTGTTATATGAAGGGGTGCAGTCAAAAGAAAAAAATTGTTTTTATTAATTTTCCATTTTTTTATTAATTTTTCAAACCCTAACGTCCATCTGAAAACTTTGTCCGCATGATTTCTCTTAAACTATTCAGTGGATTCATCTCAATTTTAGTACATATAATCTTTGTCATATGGAGGGGTGCAGTCAAAAGAAAAAAATTGTTTTTATTAATTTTCCATTTTTTTATGAATTTTTCAAACCCTAACCAGGGTTTCCCCTGATGCAGAATTCTTGCATATATGACTCTCAATTAAGGAAAAATATGTCCAGAAATAAATGACTGCATGATGACTGATGCAATTTCAAAATATCTAAGTTGTTGTTTACCAGCTTTGGAATGAAAATATTACAACTACTCACCTGAACTTAATTTATAAACATTTTCTGAAGACAATATATGCAAACGTCTTAAAATTTACTTCTAGTTTTTAATTAATCCTCGTTTTTAGAAGTAAAATACCGGAAGCTTAGCATAACACCACTGCCACGGGCTAATTTTCATAGCCTGCCACATGACCAGACTTTTCTCTCGTTTTAAAACAAACGCTAAAATCAGAACAGCCGGAGGCTTTACATATTGTTTTGCATAATTATATAGATATGCTACTAAAACTGTGTGACTGTGAGGTACACGACAAAATATATTTATTCATCAAAGTGAACTTAACTCTCACACTCCGTGTGGCTTCGATGACAGCACATGATGTAAACAAAGGAAAACTCCGCAAATGGACAAGGTTTTTCACGTTTCGGCATATTTTCTCATTAAAAGTTAACCATGACATATGTTTATCTAGATGTGTAGACTCGTAAAAAATGAAACAGAAGAAAATATTATCATAGTTGCGGTGAATCCTGCGTGGTCACAGTATGTGGATTAGTGGAACCTATGGAACGGGGTAAACGGAAGTTGTAAGTATCGGAGGGACACATGTTTTTGCCGAAATTTAGGTAAACATTATTGAATGAAATTTTAAATAAAATTAATAAAATAGATGACAAACATAAGGTCAGATATACAGAAAACACATTTCTATTACCAGATAGTGTAACAACAGGATTAACTTGCGTAATTCAATTCGGATATGTTATGCTATTTCCGATGACGGATCATGACAACCTGAAATGAGACTGAAGAAAAGTCTCTGCGTATTATACACGAAGGATATTTTTTTCAGGATTTAATTGCCCATAATTAGGGGTGCGTATTATACACAAGTGTGTATTATACACGAATAAATATGGTATATACGAAATGTAAAGCTTTGGGCGTGTTTGTTGTTGCTAATAAACTGTATTCAACCAGAAAATATTATGAGTGTTCACAATTCTTCAGTTCAACTTCACTGTTTATAGATAATACAAGATAACTAGATAAAAGATGTAAATGAGTTAGTGGTATTAAATTATAATCTGACATGAAATGTATTTTAATATCCATCCATGATTAAAAATTATGTCTCACAGTTGAGACTGATGTTATTTATTCATCCTGTATTAGTGTCACTGTAAATTGTTTCATGAGCTGTGAAGTAATTAAAGATTGTGAAAAAATAAAACCAACAAACTTTGTTTTTCATTTATACATCCTTTATTTCTCTGTAGTACAATCAGCTTAGAACATTAATTAGCACTTGTTAACTTAAACTAAAGACATATAATATTTAAAAGATACTTAACTTTAAGTGTAACATTAACAGTGAACACTTTAAATTTCATTAATCTTACAATAAAACATTTGACTCTCAAAAAATATTTGTGACTCCCAAAAATTCATAGGCTGAGTCAAGGTGACTCTCAGATATTGGAGTCAAGGGGGAACCCTGCCTAACCCTATCCTAGCTATTTAATTTGTAACTACTGACACACGAGGCGGGTCGGGGGTATTAGTGAGCCACGCTCACTTTTACACTTGTGTGTATTTAAAATATGTATGTAATAATTGGATTAGAATGTACAAATGTGAAGACACTACAGCAGAACTCACTTCTACGAACATCACAAAACTAGGTCGTGGGGTCATTAATATTCATGAGTTATTCCTTTTATGGAACAAGTTCTCGGAAAAGTTTGAGGTAATAGGCCTGTATCATGTCCGAGTACTATTCAAGTGTAGACATATTTTCAGGCTTATATCGCCACCAACACGTATGATTAGATTGATGTGTTATACTGGAAAAAGTAGAATGAGTGGTATTGCCTCTGCCTCGAAGTAGATCTAAGTTGCCTGCTTTGTTACTATTTTTGCAAAACTATTATGGAACAAGTGTGGTCAGCTATGATGATAATTAAACTTCAAAGACTTTGTGTGCCTTTCATGGAATAAACATGATAAACGTCACACTAAATGATTTACAAAGACATTTCCCATCAATATTACAAAATGAGAATAATATGTAATGCTACATACCCATGCAAAGTAATGACAAATGTGAGCCCACTGAATGACTTTGTCAACCCAATGAAGCCCAGCAATTTACAAATGTGGGCCCACCTGTTTCGATCACTCTATGACTGAAGAAGTGGGCCCACATTTTAGAAAATGGTTAAAAGTAAGCCAAGCTAATGAAGCTTAGCAATTTATAAATGTGGTCCCTCCTGTTGCAATCACTATGACGGAAGAACGTCTACCCACTAGGCGAAATACAAATGTGAGCCCACTTGTTTCAATCACCATATATGATGGGAACAATGTGGGCCCACATTTTAGAAAATGATTATCAATAATTAAGTGGAATTTCGCGATTTAGTAAATGTGGTCCCTCCTGTTGCAATCAGTATGATGGAAGAACGTCTGCCCACTAGGCGAAATACAAATGTGAGCCCACTTGTTTCAATCACCATATATGATGGGAACAATGTGGGCCCACATTTTAGAAAATGATTATCAATAATTAAGTGGAATTTCGCGATTAGTAAATGTGGTCCCTCCTGTTGCAATCAGTATGATGGAAGAACGTCTGCCCACATTTAGGGATTGATTATCAGCACTAATTAAGAAGCTAGGCGATATTCAAATGTGGACCCACTTGTTTTGATGACCATATATGACGGGAACAATGTGGGTCGACATTCTAGAAAATGGTTATCAGCACTAAACCACTCTAAGAAGATGTACTGATGGAAAGTTGAATATATAATGCATTCAAACATTTAATTAAGAATATGTTTAACCTTAGGGATAACCTGGGCATTTCATAGCGGGACCAACAACAGCGTACAGCATGACTGAGGCATTTTTGGCAAATACGAAAACAATGGAGATACCTCCCGTTAGAGTGACCTCCTTTTCCCAATTTGAACCACTGATAATGTGGTTTCGCCATGACAAGTAATCAGGGTAAAAACAGATTAGATGGCCAAAATTGTTTGTTACTATATCTAAGGTATGCTAACTGAAATACTCATCAAAGCCATTGGGGATTCAAAGGGGAAGATGGGTAGTGTGCAGTGCTGTGCACCCCTCCTCTTTCAAAATCCAGGATCCATCACTTGTCACAAAAATAACTAATAATAACTGACATAAAACAACATTCACTCACTCCATTGTTTGTTTGTTTTCAGGCTGTCAACTCTGCCATGAGACAAGGTGGGGATGTGGACACACAGAAGAAATGTAAGACTCCTTATAGATTCAGTGTCTTATTCTAAACTAACAGCCCCATAGTGACCTCTAGTTTGTTTGTTTGTTGTTCAACGCCACACTCAGCAATATTCCAGCTATATGATTGCAGACTGTAAATATTCGCGTGTCGACCAGACAATCCAGTGATTAACATGGGCATCGATCCACCCAAATGGGAAACTGTATCTGGCAGTTATTAAAGTTTGCCGATGATGCACCAGTGCATCTTTCAATAATGCCATTACTATGCTATATTGTTGTGCTTTTTGAGAGAAACAGTTCCCAACGTTAAGGCATCAATATATTTCCAATATCAAAGTTGTTCTTCAGCTGACGTTCATCTTCCCAAGGCAAGGGAATTCACTTACTTTAAAAGTCCAGCTTCCACCCTTGCCGAACTTGACTGGAATTTCTGGGTTCGATCGTAGCGCCACCAGTGGCTGTTACAAGTTATGTCCCTTTAATGTCCCCACTAGTGACCAATGTGATTCCACCTCTCATCACATCACTTGCTTCAAACAAAATGGCAGTGCCCAGTCAAGGCATCTCATCAATAATAAAGATCTTTATTGTAATAAAACCAATTTTTCCTCACAAAGTGCATCATATCACTTGAGCACCTTGATTAAAAACATGAAAAGATTTGGAAAATATGTGTCGATGCCCAGTTGATGGTATACTTGCTGTGCAAATTCTGTAATCAACAAATTTGGCACAGCATTTGCCATGTTGTTTATGAACCAGATATCAGTATCGTTACAGGAGTTTGACTGGACTATGCATAGACTTGTTAGACCAGCCAAAATATGTCTCCATGATTCCATCCTAGTTCGGCAAGGGTGGAAACTGAACTTTTGAAGCCAGTTAGCTCCCTTGCCTCAGGAAGATGCTGATGTTGGAGTTGGAGTCGAGGTCTGGGGTATTAGTGAGCCCTGCTCACTTTTTGCCTTGTTTTTAAATACCAACTTGGCCAAAACCTTTGCATAACATCCCCCAAAACGTTTGAATAGAGGTTTTGTCATGAGTGAGTGCATATATAAACAAAAATATCAATTGCCACAATATTATGTATTTACTCATTTTCTAAAGTTGATTTGTGAATGAAAATGTCTGAAACATCAGTTGTTGTTTTTAATATTGACATTACAGTGTATTTGAGAATCTGTGTGTATTGAAATGTTGTTTGCTGCAGTTTCTGCTGGGGCTAACAAGCAGAGCAGTGCTAACAAGAACACAGCCAAGCTGGATCGTGAGACGGATGAGCTTCACCACGAACACGTCCCCCTCGACGTCTCCAAACTCATACAGCTCTCTCGCCAGAACAAGGGCTTCACTCAGAAGGAATTGGCCACTGTAAGTTTCTAGTCTGCAATACATGTACTTATGTATTGGAAGTCAGACAATGGGATAGCCTTCATGTTAATGTGTTTGCTTGTCATGCCAGTGGTCTTGGTTTTATTCCCCACTTGGTTACAGTTTAAGGTGTCCACTTAGGCTGTTACGATTCACCCGCGTATTTGGTGACTCGAACCACATACCTTCATGAATTGAATTCATTATTCGTGGTCACTAGAATCGAATATTCCAAAAAAAATTAAACACTGCAACAATGAATATGCAGTCATGTGCATTTACATACCCTGTACCTAAAAATATCCATAAGAACCTATTATATGTAAAAACAGTATAAATTTCTTAAAAAAGACATTTGACAGTAATGTGGTCACTGGTCATTGTCGCATTTGAGCAGCACCTGGATAAGTGCAGTATATGAATGTATAATATAATAATAATTAACACTGTCAGCGTGGTCAAACCATGTCAAATAATTTAGTTTCATTCGTCTCATAGTTTATTCGTTGCAGCCCTAGTGTCCACCATAGTGATGTTTGGGGAAAACATAGTCGGTAGTCGCATATATACTGAAAACCATGTGGGGCTGGGTGACAACATTAGATCAGATTAACACTGTTAACAGGAAGTGGCCTGTGTGGCCTGACTTAATGTGTCACCTTAATGTTGACTTCCTGTTAGTCATTTCATTGGTCAGTCAAAGTTGGCGAAGGGTCATTCTGACATGACCTGTAATGAGATGTCCTCAGATCTATGTAGCGAGCCTTAAGATCTAATTTTAATGAGATTGAAGAGCTGATTACTGTTGTAACTGATTACTGTTATGGTTGTTACGATGGTCACGTTGAGGGTCCCAGCTGATGTTGGTGGAACTTACCAATGCTGTTAACCACTGGCTTGCCTGGTCCAGGCTTGATTATTTACAGTCTGTCGAGTAAAACAATTGTAAAATACATGGAAGTATGTGCCACTATCCTAATATTGGTGATTGGTTGTAAAATGTTCATGAAGTGTAATTTGGTGCATGGAAGTCTGGACATTTCACTGCGAATGGATACTTGTTATGATAAGCGTTGTGTCGCCAGTTTGAAAAACATGGTATTCACTATTATCTTTCCCATTATCATGATTATATAGTGCATTTCATTATTATTTATCAGAAATTTGGATAGATTTTTCACTGATTTCTGCTTAACTGGTAGACACCATCTCTTGCATTTTGACACTTCAAGTTTGGTTTAACATATCAAGTTTATACTGTCATTATGCCACGAGAATGTTCAAAAGTGAAAATTATTATTTCAAGTTTCATTTTATGATTTAATTCATATTTTGTATGTTTGAATCACATGTTAAATATTTGGGCATCAGTTGAGCATAAAATTCGATGGAAAAGCTTGAAAACAAATTCTGCATGCAATACCGCTGTACTCCAGGCATCAAATACTCAAACCAAATCTGAAAACATTATGTTTATCCCAGTGAATTGTAATAATGTTTTGTTTTATTCATGTTTCAGAAAATAAATGAGAAACCTCAAGTGATCAATGAATATGAATCTGGAAAGGCGATTCCGAATCAACAAGTCTTCGGAAAACTTGAGAGAGTATTGGGTAAGAAGATGAACATTGTCTTCTTTGTTGTTAATTTTGAGTGGCAGATGGACTGTGTCCTCAGATATGGGAAGAGGTTTGTCAATGGCTGATTGGTTACAGTGTTTATTTCTCAATGACAGTGTCAACAGAGATTGAGTGTTCCAAGATTTTGGTTATTTATTATTACGGAATGATGAAAGACAGGTTTCTTTCTTAAGTTTGTCAGTTCATCAGAATCTGGTAGTTCAAAGTTCATGTAATCCTTATTTGGAAATAACAATAAATACTGAGATTTATGCTGCTTTTGATAATCATCAAAAGCTGACAGTATAAACATTGAAAGGTGTCACTTGATAAAGACATTGCATGTTCTGCAAAGTACAGGGGCGGTCGGGTAGCCCAGTGGTTATAGCGTTCACTCGTCACGCCGAGGAGACCCGGGTTCGATTCCCGACATGGGTACAATGTGTGAAGCCCATTTCTGGTGTCCCCTGCCATGATATTGCTGGAATATTGCTAAAAGCGGCGTAAAACCATATTCGCTCACTCACTCTGCAAAGTACAGGTGTGAATCCAGTACAGGTTTATGTTTGCCAGATGTGACATATGGCAGTTTATAGGAGACAAAACATTTACGTAGACAAAAAATACCAGGACGTCCTGGACATTTAACAAGGAAACATACTTTCATGCATTTCAACATCATTTCACTGCAGTAGACTTTTCCATTAGCTTTAGTCTAACACTATGGCACGGTGTTTTGTGAGGTATTTGTTTCAGTAGTGAGCCAATTCTTGTACCGGTACATGTTACAGATGTGAAACTAATTGTCGATTTGTTATAGGTTTGAAACTAGGTTTATTACCTACAAGGGCAAACATATCACAGGTCACAAAAATCATATGTGCCCTAGGGTCATGTCACGTCACAAGACAACAGTGTATTGTTTCCGTCATCCGGACAGCATTGTTGATGTCATTCGAATCTTATTGTGACGAGGTCGGAATGAAGTCACACTAGAAACGACGTCATAGCTGAAGATTGTTGACATTCAACAAATTGTGGTTCCACTTTCCTTATATGTTCATACTAAATTTGTCTATGTATGTAGACATCTTCTTCGGTAATAAGACCCGTGAAGATTCCTGGGGTAGAATAGGTCTTCAGCAACCCATACTTGCCGTAAAAGGTGACTATGCTTGTCGTAAAAGGCGACTAACAGGATCAGGTGGTCAGGCTCGCTGACTTGGTTGATGCATGTCATCGATCCCAATTGCGTGGATCGATGCTCATGATATTCATCACTGGATTGTCTGGTCCAGACTCGATTATTTACAGACCCCCGTCATATAGCTTGAATATTGCTGAGTGCGGCGTTAAACAACAAGTCAACCAATCTTCGGTTATAAATAGAAAATTATATTCGTGTTCATGTCATACTATGTTTACGAGACTCATGCCTATTTTCCTGTATTTTGAAACTTGTGTCATAAACATAGTATGACATGAACTCTCATAAAATATACTGTATGTGTATGTTACGGTAGCGAAACTGTTTGCCATGTTATGGGGGGCCAACTAGATATCGTAGGAAAACTAATTGTATGTTTCAGGTGTGAAATTAATTGTCATGTGTAACAGGTGAAACTATTTGTCATATATTTTTCAGGGATGAAATTATTTTTTTATATTTTATAGGTGTGAAACTTCGTGGAAAGGACAAAGGGAAGCCTCTTGGTGCTGGCCCCAAAAAGTGAAGATCTTCCAGTTCCAGTTTCATAATCGTTGCAGCAGCTTCTGCAGTTCCATCTTCTACCTACTGTATATAGTATTGTTATTTTTATCGAAATGTAGAAGAAATCGACCACATAATAATTGGATAAAGGCTTAGTAAACAACAAATATGTGACGTTCCATACTGTTCATCGGAGTTGTGTATTATGTGAATTCGTTATTATGAACATCTGGGTGAAGGTTGCCCTTTCATGATCAGTGTGTCAAGAAAATAAAAACACTCAAGTATTTCGGAAGGATCTTTGCTTCGGTTGGGTTGAAGTTAATCCATTTTGCATTGTCCCAAATACCTGGAATAAATGTTCATGTCATTTCATAATAAACTGAGTTTATGTTGTGTTTATGGTGGATTTGGTTGGTTGGTTGGTTTGTTGTTTAACGCCGCACTCAGCAATATTCCAGCAATATGACGGCGGTCTGTAAATAATCAAGTCTGGACCAGACAATCCAGTGATTGATATCATGAGCATTGATCAACACAATTGGGATCGATGACATGCATCAACCAAGTCGGCGAACCTGACCACCCGATCCTGTTAGTCGCCTTTTACGACAAGCTGTCACCTTTTACGGCAAGCATGGGTTGCTAAGGACCTACAGGTTTATGGTGGACAACTGACTGGTTGATGTAGGCTCCCTGTTAGATCCCAGGGGCATCATGCACCACATACGAGTGCTGTCCCTCTAGGTATTCCGGGTAAGAAATAAGAAAAGATCCCCCACGAGGTGACCATATGGATCAGGTGGACAGACTCGGGGACCCTGGAAAGTTGCCACAAGATCAGTCACTGGATTGTCTGGTCCAGACTGGATGATCTACAGCCAGAAATCTTTTCATTATACAACATAAAACACACAAGTTCTCTTTTTAAATTAGATTAAAATTTTAGCCATTATTGGTCTCCCAGATAAGGGAGAGGTTGCCAGGAAGCTGTTGTCCCTTAAGGATTTTCTGTAAATTTTGAATCAAATATTGTCAAACTACAAGGCTCACGTATTTGGTTAAAAGTGGAATCATTAAATGGTTTAGCATACTCACATTTACAGTAAAGAAGATCTCTTTGTTTTATCACAATGATTTGTTGTATCACAGAATTGTTCTCATTGTTTCAAGGTTTCTCAGGGTTTCACCAAAGTGGTATCAGCCTAATACTTGCAATGGTAAATCAGTTAATTTTTTTTTTGGTATACCAATTTATTTTTCCATTTTGATCATGAATGTGATTAAATAAGGCTTGTCACTTCAACATAGTGTTAAATCATTTACCATACCATGTGCATGTGAGTGTGCGTTTCTTGTTTAAATCCTTACTCGGCAATATTCAAGTATATGCCAATCTCCGTGTTGGGGTAACAAGCACTATGGTCTAAGTTTAATAATGAGATTGGCTATATGATGGCAGCGAGTAAACAACCAGAATATCCAATGATTGACATGATGAGCAATGATCCACACCGTCAGGGGGGACGGGTGGCCCAGTTGTCTAAGGCGCCGCGATTCGCTGTGCAGAGTTGTGTCCCTTGGGCACGCCAGAAACCTATGATTGCGGGTTTCAAATCCCGGTTCGCCCCGATTATGTTTCTAGGTTTGTCAGCACCATACCCGTGCTCGTGGGTTTCACTGAAGTGGTAAACGTCTGAGACCTGCATCACATCGGGCTTTCCTCCCACATTAAGCTGACAAGCCGCGATATAACTGGAATACTGTTTAAAGCAGCGTTAAACCCAACTCACTCACTCACTCCTCCAGCCAGGCGGTGATAAAACTGGAATACTGTTAAAAGCGGCGTTTAACCCAACTCACTCACACACCGTCAGGATACGATGACACGCCATCACCGAGGTTGACCTCCTAATCACTGAAGTCGCCTCTTACAACTAACGTATCTTGCTGGGGATGCATTCTAACCAGGAATCCACACCGTGCAAGGACAAAATGTATATTACATGGTTATACAAGGACACTTTGATCCAAAGAGTGGTGAAAATCTTAAAGAACCACTTGTGCCCCATATATTTGCCATATCATGACCAAAAGACGTTATTGAAATATGTAGACTCTATAGTGTCATATCTGTTGACAGAATTTCAGCCATAGTGATTGTGACAAGAAAATGTAATTAGTCATAAACAATTGTTATTATGTGTCATTCCCTGTAGATTCTATTGGATTCTGCAGTCTTCTCATGGGTCCTTGAATGAGGTTCTTCGTCAGCAAAGGGTATACCCCATGTCAAGCATTGTCCTCTTCTGTGTAGATTTTGCAACCACCTTTAAAAGCACAGCAGGTTGCATCCCTTAGCCATGCCAGGATCCGATGTTGGGTTAAGATGCCAGGTCTGCCCCGAATATGATCCTTGGTATGTCAGCACACACCTTGTTTATGGTTTCTCCTCTTTCAGCAATCTCCACCTAATTTATCATTTACTACCCAAAAGAAGTTAAAGAACACCTGATTCTTTTACATTACTGTAGTTACCATGGTTACGGGGTAATCTGTCATGGGACAGAATGGTATATTGGGACAGTGCACCACTGTTCAAAGAGGGATTAACCAACTCGTCAACTACAAATATCTGCATCACTTGGGGTTGTCCTCCCACACCAAGCTGACAAGCCTAAACCCAAACCCCCAAACAAATAAATTCCACACTGAAACATTTTGAAAACACAAGCGAATTGTGACTCTTGATACTTTAGGGGGCGGTCGGGTAGCCTAGTGGTTAAAGCGTTCGCTCGTCACGCCGAAGACCCGGGTTCGATTCCAAACATGGGTACAATGTGTGAAGCCTATTTCTGGTGTCCCCCGCCGTGATATTGCTGGAATATTGCTAAAAGCGGCGTAAAACCAAACTCACTCACTCACTCACTTGATACTTTAGTGAAGTATGCTTGTGTCAAGATGTGACAATGTGAATGAGGATTCAAACTCAGACACCATTATTGCAATGTTGCATTCCTTCAGGTCTCACTACCACATACATTTTTCTTTGTTTTCTGTCAGTTAACCGGAAAATTATTTCCCAAATTATACTTTGCGTTTTCTTAGTGTGGGGGTATAAATGGAATGGCATTTGCAGTCAGTCTCCTGTACCTCTTGCTCCTCGCCTTTAATTTGAAGTGACTGTAAATGGGACGGGAAATATACTGACAAGTCAATACTTGTTTTATGGCTCATAAATTTTCAACAGATATTTGATGGTACTATACATGGATGAATGTGTATAAAACACAAAAACAGTCTTTAGAATATTTTAATATTAAATCAACATTATATTGTAACAGTATATGGCTTTCATTTGGTCCATTATCTTAATGAAGTCTGTTTCCAGTCTGTGGCTGATCTCCGTGGCTGTCCAAGCTTTGGGTTGGGGATTGGGTTGTCATGGTGTCCACAAAACAAAAACAAACACATATACTATATTTTTAGACATATCTTGTGTCTAGTGTCAACTGGAACACACCCATCCACTGCAACTACAGTTTCAAACAGTGATCCCCATTCCTTCCTTTCCTATTGGCCTCTGTCATCCATTAAAGAAAATCAAAACAAAAGTCCCTGGCTATAATCACAAGACACTTATACTTCTCAACATTTGCGAAGGACCAAAATAGCCATGTTTAGTCAAAGGTGTCGTCTTTTGAATATGTATATGGTATATGTGCGATTGGAATAATTTGGGTTGGGGTATTGAATATAGGTCAAGGCCTTTCTGGCACTTTCTTCCAACCATGTAGACACTTATATTGCGGTTTTGGTAAATAAGTATAAAAATAATATATTGGTAAATAAAGCTATGATGATGTACAGTATAAAAAAGAGTGGAGTGTGATATTCCCTTCCTTAGTCCTTAACCCGCCTGAACTCCTCCATAGTGCCGGTCTTGGTGATGGTGTAAATGACGACAGCATGGCCGCGGAATATTCTCTGTTCCTCCGCCTCTCTGAAGACGGAGGTCACAAGGTCAGCAGCCTCGTTTTCGTCCTGGGACACATGGATGGAACGCTGGTTCTTTAAGTTTACCTGGAAATGATTTATTAGAGGCGATGTATTAGAGGTAACGTAATGTTTGTTTGTTTTTTGTTGTGTAACGCCGCACTCAGCTATATTCCAGCTATATGACGGCGGTCTGTAAATAATCGAGTCTGGACCAGAGAATCCAGTGATTGACATCATGAGCATCGATCCACGCAATTGGGATCGATGACATGCATCAACCAACTCAGCGAGTCTGACCACCCGATCCGGTTAGTCGCCTCTTACGACAAGCATTGTCGTCGTTTACGGCGACAATAAACCAACCAACCAATCATTATGCTATAGAGTGGTAAACGTCTAAGACCTTCATCACTTCGGGGTTGCCTCCGACACGAAGGTGACACACCGTGATATAACTGGAATACTATTAAAAGTTGGGCTCACCTTTCTGGCTAACAGCCTGTGCATGTTGAGTGAGGACGACCCACCGGCGCCGAACGCCTCTCTCTTGAAGCCGCCCAGTTGGTCGAACACGTACAAACAGCCGCCATCTAAACACAGTATAATTTCATGAACACAGGTACAATTTCATGAACACAGGTACAATGTCATGAACACAGGTACAATGTCATGATTGGTTTGTTGTTTTACGCCGCACTCAGCCATATTACAGCTATATGACGGCGGTCTGTAAATAATAGAATCTGGAAAAGATAATCCAGGGATTAATATCATGAGCATCTATCCACGCAATTAGGATCGATGACATGCATCAACCAACTCAGCGAGCCGGACACCCGATCCCGTTATTCGCCTTTTACGACAAGCATAGTCGCCTTTTTTTGGCAAGCATGGGTTGCTGAAGACCAATTCTACCCCGGATCTTCACGGGTCTACAAGGTCATGAATCGATGTACTGTTTTTTCCTAATCGGGGCGTTGGATTAGTCTAATGGTTAAAGCGTTGTCTCGTTACACCTAGAAGCTAGAACATTCATTCTCAGCTAAATGGTAAATTACACAATTGTGCTGTCCCCTGCGGAAAACCTGGTTAATATCTTAGCTGAAAATATATTTTCTGTTACAAATCATATAATGCAAGCTGAACGGCTAAATGAATACACATGTTGATGTACTTCGTTCAGTTTGTATCTTCACCAGTCTATAGTGTTGCTTATAAAGTCGTCCCCAGCCTTGTCCCCGTGCTCAGTGTGTGACTTTTCCACTGAATAATTAAATATTCTGCACATTTTTACTGCATTTTACTCTTTTTTTTTATGCGTAATGATCATATATCATCATTACCAGCAGTTTTCAAGCAATGGTTCTGATAAAATATCTTTGGCTAGCAATATTCTACTGTCCCCGATTTTACCATCAGATACGTTGGTCACTTTTGTGTGAAGAAGTCACACACCAACTAAACAAACATTATAACACAATGTGTCAGATATGATTTGTTCAAGCATAGTCTTAACACTTTTTATCATCAATTTCTTAAAAAACTTAAAGAAAAATCATGAATCACAAAATCACAAAATTATACCAGCTGGATACGATACTTTTCATCAGATACGTTAGCATGATTTATTGCCGCACACGCCTGATAAACTACAATATATGATGTTGTGTTTGTTACTTTCATAAAACAACGTGTCACCTATGAGAAATGTCCATCCCAAACCTTGACATGAGTATACTTTCGAAATTTCTGACCAATTCGCAAAGTTGTCATCAGATACAATTTTGTCAGATACGTTAGATAACACCAGCGACATCGGAAGATGGTCATCGAACTTCAGTAATCTCGATAAGTTGAATCTTATCAATGCACATGCGCGCCGTGCCACCTCTCTACTTCCGATTTTCAGCCAAGAACGTCCTGCAACCTGGTTTCGGTTCTCAACAATCCATCACAAATTGGTAAGTAATCTTTGCCATCTTAGTAAATGGGTCATCTGAATTGAAAGCCACCCCATAGGTGATAATTATTTGATAAAATAGATTCTGTTCATTAGGATGGAAAAAATGAATCCCTTACTGTATATTAGCAATTCCCAAAGAGCATGTTTTCCAACCTAACGTATCTGATGCCAACCTAACGTAGTTTACGAATGTAATTTAATGATTAGATATGTTTCTGAAGTGAAGACCACAACATTCTACTGATGTTTTCTGTCGGTATGCATTTCATTGATAGGAAAAGTACTATATTTTACTCAAGCTCCTGTCTAAACACCTAAATACCAACTAACGTATGTGATGATTTTTATAACGTATCTGATGAAATTAGCATATTTCACAAAGAATAAAGTATGAACATTTTTAAAGGGTGGCTATTTCATAGTGCAAACATCTCTTTCACTTCGACGACTGTTTCAGCATGTTTTTGTCTATGCTTGATTTTAGAAAATGGCGAAAACAGACGCAGAAAACCAAAAGGTGTATCGGGAAAGAAAGAAACGAAATGACAGTCAATATCTAGCCAAAGAACGTGCTCGAGTCAAAGGGTACAGAATACCAATTGATCAAATGCAAACAAAGAAAAAAAAGGCAGTTCGTGAAAGGAATAAACTCTATAGTAAAGCATACCGGGATCGAAAGAAAACACACAAACAAGCACAAGGTGCCAGCATAGTTGAGGTCACAGATGTGGTCGTTGATGCAGAAACTGACCAGGTCGACACAGTATCAAGCAGTACTGATGCATCTCGGCAGTCAAGGTCACGCCCAGGTCCTTTCTTGGTCAAAATGACTTTTCCAAATAAACAGAGAAAACCAAAACGCTCGTGTGCACTGAAAAGAGCAAATACAAAAGTAAAAGAGTTGACTGAACAACTCTCTAGCTACAAAAAGAAGCAACAGAAATGGAAGAAACGATATCAGAGGATGAAGGCGAAGTATGGGACATCCAAACAGACTAGCCGCAACAATACTGAAAATAGCTCGGATCAGACGACAGGCAGTCTTCAACAACAGTCTGAAGCAACACCTTCAACAAAAACCAGACATGATCTCCGGGAAAACGGTGTGAGTCCCAGTCACTTGCCAGCCACTGTTGTTAGACAATTAACAATGGCTAATGTACTTTTTGGAGAAATTAAAGAAAGTGTCGCAGCCAACAAAAAGCAAAGCAAAATGAATGTGATGACATCTCTTGTTGGAGGGAAAGTACTTAAGAAGTACAGATGTGTGTCGGGTTGGAACAAGGCTACAGGTTTATCTCGGACCACCTCTAAGGTAATAGAGATTCGAGGAAGAGCCCGTCTCACTCTCGTAAGAGAGCAGATTAAGAGACTAATTGTCTCATTCATGGAGAGAGATGATATCAGCGTATGTATGCCAGGCAAAGCAGATTCCAAGAGCCTAAATGGTGTCAAACATCAAACAAGAATAATGAATGATTATCTGTCTGAGGTGTATGCTAAGTTCAAGATTGAAAACCAGAATATGAAACTGTCTTTTGCATCATTCTGTAGGCTACGGCCCAGATACATCTTGCTCACATCACACATTTCAAGAAACACTTGCTTATGCAACAAACATCAGAATATGGCCATGAAACTCAAATGTCTGAGAAGTGTTGGATTACAGTTCCAAAATCACCGGATATGGCGTATGACAGTGTATCCGTGGACGCAATGGATCAGATGCTGGAAACTATTCAGGATGACGTTGAATATGATGAGTGGAGGCGTGTGGATGTTGAGGGGAAAAAGAAAATGAAGGTGGTGAAGATAATAAAGAATGCCACTGACTTCAAGAATTATATGCTACTTGAATTTGCTGAGTTCCGTGACCACGTTGGAAGAGTAAAGTCGCAATATGCAGCTATCCATGAGTTGAAGGATACACTCCCAGATGGCCATATCATCATACAGATGGACTTTGCTGAGAACTTTACATGTTCCAGCATGGATGAAATCCAAAGTGCATACTGGAACCCAACAAATGTCACGCTTCACCCTGTAGTGGTATACTACAAGTTGGACAAACTGGTACACAAAAACAATATCTATGTGTCTGACGTCAATCAGCACAACTCGACTGCGGTACTTACAATCCTAAAACGGATGTTACCTGAACTGAAAACAACTTTCCCTGATGCAACGCATGTTCACTATTGGACTGATAGCCCGTCATCACAGTACCGAAATCGGTACATGTTTGATGTCATTCTGAAGCATAAGGAGCTGTTTGGGCTTGAGGCACGTTGGAACTATTTTGAGTGTGGACACGGGAAAGGTCCATGTGATGGACTAGGAGGTGCATGTAAACGCCAGGCATCTGATGCAGTAAAACAAGGCAAAGCGACAATTCAAGATGCCCACGATTTTTATGAGTGGGCGAGACACAATCAAAAATCAATCCAATACAGATTCTACTCTATTGCTGAAGTAGAGAAGGCTGCACAGGACATAGCTACCTCTAACGCAAAGGTTGTACATGGCACAATGAAGTTGCACGCAGTCATGCAGCAGAATGGGGTTCTTTTTTCAAGAACTGTATCATGCTACTGTACAGGTTGTCTGAGCGGCAATGACTTATGTGTTGGTTGGCGCCGTCACCATGTTGACCAAACCATATCCCAGGAAACGCATGTACTGCAGCCCACACAGGTTTCTGTATCCCCTGTACCTGCTGCACCACATGTACCTGCTGTCCCAGTTGTTGGCAGATTTCTGGCTGCCATATATGATGGTAACTGGTTCATCGGGAAGGTTCTCGAAGTTGACATAGATGATGGCGATACCAAAATAACTTTCATGGAGAAAACACAAGACAAAGGCAAGACCTACAAGTGGCCATCTCGTCCTGATGAAATTTGGATAGAATTTGACGATGTGCTCTGCTTTATTGATGAACCGGTCGCTATTGGCAAAACAAGGCGCCAGTACAACGTAGCTGCACGTGACGTCGCCCGTATTGAGAAGGCATTCAAATGAACATTCACTTTGTATCTTTTACGAATTGCCAAGATTTCAACCACAATGCCTCAAAAAGCATCAGATACGTTATGTTAGAGTTTGTGCTAAATGTCATATGGAGAAAATATAAACCTCATCTTTCATATAAATGTTTAAACTTCAGACGTTTTTAAGCCAAAGATCGGCCACTTGTGAACTTGTGTTGTTGATTCAGGTTGACATCAGATACGTCAGTTTTTGCAGTTGAAGATTATTGCTGTGTTCTCAGTAGACTAATTCTTGAAGGCCAGGGACTTGGCATGTAGTTTGTTCGATATTTGTACCAATGTTTGTTATCAAGTTATTTTTGCAAAATGAACAACCTGTCATAGCCAATATGTGTCTGTTATTATTTGCTAATATCTGTAGAAAATGTGTTTCTTGAACAGGTGTCCGCAACACTTTCCTGTTTTGAGACAAATGATCCTTAGGCAATGACTTCGTTTGAAAATGATATAATATGTGGTCCTATGCAAATGACAATAGCACTTTTTGCAAGTTAATTAATGCTGTGCAATATATTTTGATTGCAATGATAACATGCAGTCTAACGTATCTGACTACAGGACATTTGACATATGTTATTTCCGTTATCATTAAAAACAACTCTGATGTCATTTGGGTCCCCCAATGATTAATTCTGAGAGCCTGAATACTGTTTTTACTGAAAATAAGTTAAGTTTTTCAATATCAAGAAATATATTTTTTAACATTTGATATGTGAAATAGACCATTTAGCTGAGAATCAGTGAGAAGCAGCTAATGACCTGAAATCAATGTTAATTTCCTTATTTACCCAATTTGCCGGCAATCGTAGCTGATTCGTGATTGGATCGTGAGCTTTGTACCTGCGTGTATTCGTGGGATTCGTGACAGATTCGTAGCCGATTCGTCATAAAACCACGAATTCACGAATCCCCGAATGAGTTAAGAATACCTACGAATCGATTACGATTCAGTTACGATGCCTAAGAATGCATTACGAATTTGTTACGAATTAACTACGATATTTTTGAATCGGGAGTTCGTGGCCAAAACTTTGAACAGCTCAAAACTTTTGCCACGTATTCCCGATAGCTCAAGAATTGTAAGAACTAACTACGAATATATGCGAATCAGTTAAGAATTTCACGAACTGATTACGATTCAACTACGAATCCTAAAAGTTATCAATTCGTGGGATTCGTGGTCTGTGTGGAATAGTAGCATAAGAGTATCTTGCGAAGTTTGAAAACGATTGATCCAAGCGTGGTTGTCCCCGCCTTCTATGTACTAGTGTAATGGCGGCACGCACCGTGTTGGTCTACTCCCGCGAGGATGTTGCACTTGAAGTACGTGTAACACCGCCGGTTGTACAGCAACGCCTTGACGATACCCGCCGTCCCCAGAGTCGACATCTGCTTCTTCAACGTCGCCTCACACTCCTGCAACATCGTCAACGACCGAAAATGAAAATTATATACAAAGACCTTTATCGAAAACAATACATTTCCCCGAAAATAACTGGTTAAGTAGCTGTAGCTGAGTTTAATTTTGATACAAACTCCCACGACCCTCCCTCCAGAATATCAAATGGTCGGTCCCTAAGATGAGAAAGAACACGGGAATAGATGAGCATTAAGCATGGAGTCCTGGGTTGTAGCTTTATTAAGAGAGTTTGTAGTCTGTTCCACTATCTTGATAAATACCACCCAAACAGTGGTGTAGACAACAGCAGCAGCAGCAGCAGCAGCAGCAGCTATACGCCGTCGGGGCAGGATGCCCTGTTCTTGTCAGTGCACCAGTTGAACAGTGCCCCTATCACAGGGTACATCTACTGGAATGATAACACGGCTGGAATCTGAAGTTCTCATTATATTAATGGGGGCGGTCGGGTAGCCTAGTGGTTAATGCGTTCGGTCGTCACGCCGAAGACCCGGGTTCGATTCCCGACATGGGTACAATGTGTGAAGCCCATTTCTGGTGTCCCCCGCCGTGGTATTGTTGGAATATTGCTAAAAGTGGCGTAAAACCATACTCACTCACTCATTAAATTAATGAACTTATATGACTTTCTACTACCAATCCCAACCTCAGATCATGTGTTCAGTAGTAACACCCTCTACTTGTTACTGTTCCTACGATCAGTAAAACTACCTACATCCATCTTATTCCGAAGGTCTTTGTTGAAGTTGAGGACGTCATTGTGGAAGCCATGAGACGCTAGGATGTTTTTGTCGTTTCTGCAAAAAGAGTAAACAAATTTGGATTAACAAAGTGTGCACAAAAACAAACTCACATTTGAAATTTTGTGAGTGAGTGAGTACGGTTTTACGCCGCTTTTAGCAATATTCCAGCAATATAGGGGGACACCAGAAATGGGCTTCACACATTTTACCCATGTCGGGAATCGAACCCGGGTCTTCGGCGTGACGAGCAAACGCTTAAACCACTAGGCTACCCGACCGCCCTTGAAATTTTGTGACATCATTTATCAACATCATGTCAGTTAGGGGCGGTTAGGTAACCTAGTTGCTAAAGCGTTGGCTCGTCACGTTGGCATGTAAGAGCCGGATTCGATCTCCCTCATAAATCCCATGTGTGAAACTCTCTTTAAGTGTCCCCCGTCGCCTCATGGCAAGAATATCGCTTCTGCGCACAACCAAACTCACAGGTGATATTATAATAATCAATGGCAAATTTGTTAGCCCATTTGGATCAGCTGTCCTTTACGACAACCAAATATGGTCACGTCGATGCCCCGGATCAATGAAGTAACAATTCCTATATCATTCCAACAGCTTATTGTTTCTGACCATTTCATATCCTGGGGGATGGGATCTTAGAAAATCCTTAAAAACAAATAAATTTGCGTCAAAAATTGTCTGCCACAAAAATTACATTGTTTCAAGGTCCTTTTATTGAAAAGAATATATGGTTTTACAGCTGACACAGACAAAATCCCCCCCCCACCCCCCCCCCCCACCCCCCACCCCCCCCCCCCCACACACACACCACAACCCACCAACACACACCTCCACCGCACCGAATATCAAGTGGTCGGTCCCTTATGTCTACATAGACTGGGTTGAGTAGGTTCCATTCCCCTTGAAAACAATTCCGACAGCATCACAATTTGAAACACGAAGAATGGGCTTCACACACTGTACCGACGCCATGATTCGAACGCACGTCTTGGGCTTTAACCACTCGTGTCTGTACCCGGCCGTTCACACCATACGTAAACCTGAACCACCTTCAGATGACAATAATGAGAGAGAATGGGTTAATTTAAACCATGCTGTGTGGACGATGCGCTGAGCAAGGAGTTCCCCCCTTCCCCTTGTGGAACGTGTTATGATTGGTTGTCATTGGATTGCAATTTCACATCTTTGTTCTCTTCTACATGCCAAGGTGCCTAAACAACCAATATGTCATCAGGATCACTGAACAAAATCTTGACACTGAACAAGATTTCTCCCGAATTGAAATACAACCCCCGTGACGGTAGAGTGGATGCCCCAGACACAAAGCCCACTCCCCCTCTACACTTACAGTTCGACAGTCTTATTGATCCGTGATTTATGTATATACAGTTGTTCTATGTATACTGTGTATAGTACATCCTGCAGGCGATAACCAACGCCCACAATGGTCGATGTCAGTGTGAAGCCTACTTGTGGGCGAAAGGTAGTGGTTGAGTGCCGGGGTTCGATTCTCCTCTTGGTGTCTTTTACGGCGTTCAACACAATCGTATTAAGCCACCGTCAGCAATATTCCAACCATATCAAGGCGGCCTGTAATTGATTGAGTCTAAGACAGACAAACCACGCCGTCTTGTTTCTCAATATCGACGTTTAGGTACAGCTTATAGGTGACGTCACGTATGACACGCAATCAGCCTCGTCCCCAACGTGACCAACCAATCCATGCATTTCAGCCGTCACTTACCCTAAGCATAAGCTGCTGGAGTCTGACATTTTGAAAGTCTTTCCATACACGTTACTGTATCAAGAAATGTCTTTTATCAAGTATTTAAAAAAATATTTGTTTACTAGGTATAGTTACTTCATAGTGCCAGGTGGGAAAATCAGATATTTCAACTCTAAACTCTATTTCTCTGTATCGACGTTTACGTACAGTTTGTAGGTGACGTCACGTGGTGGAAGCGCCTGACCTTCACCTTGGCCAACCCCGCACGCAATCACCGTGTAGTTGGCCCCGGCTATGGCAAGCACGTAGCTGTTGGGAGAGAAACATTGAATGAAAAAGTGGAAACTATCCCAGGAATATGTTGTACACGTTAATCATCATATTACTCATCCGTAGTGTTTTCTATGGCCGTTATAACAAATAACATGTACTCGGAAGTGATTCATCAACATCTTATCATCTTACAGACCAGCATACATTGAGGGATGGGGGTTTAACGCCGAGTTCATCAGTAATTCGGTGATATCACGGAATATATGTCAGATTAATGTAAAGCAGTGAGTGAGTGTGTGAATATGGTTTTACACCGCTTTTAGCAATATTCCAGCAATATCACGGGGAGGGACACCAGAAATGGGCTTTACACATTTTGCCCATGAAGGGATTCGAACCCGGGTCTTCGGCGTGACGAGCGAACGCTTTAACCTCTTGGCTGCCTAACCGCCCTAACGTAAAGCTGATGCACAGGTTTTGGTTTGTTGTGTAACGCCGCATTCAACAATATTCCAGCTATATGACGGCGGACCAGACAATCCAGCGATTAATATCATGAGCATTGATCCACGCAATTGGGATCGATGACATGCATCAATCAAGTCAACGAGTCTGACCACCCGATCCCGTTAGTCGCCTCTTACCACGAGCAAAGTCGCCTTTAACGGCAAGCCTGGGCTGCTGAAGACCAATTCTACCCCGGATCTTCACCGGCCCTTGTGCAAAGGATACCACAGATTAAATTCAGGAGAGAGGGCAAACTAAGATCAACATTTAGACTACTTAATGAAAATATTTAAAAATATATTTTGACAGATTGTCTTATAATATATAATAGAAACCAATCCAGACAATCTCTTCATGTTCAGATAATGAAGAAAGCGAGACTTGCTTAACTATTGTTTTGTTTGTTTGTTTGTTGTTTAACGCCGCACTCAGCAATATTCCAGCTATATGACGGCGGTCTGTAAATTTTCGAATCTGGACCAGATAATCCAGTGATCAATATCATGAGCATCGATCCACGCAATTGGGATCGATGACATGCATCAACCAAGTCAGCGAGCCTGACCACCATCGTGTTCCTATGTATCAGTCTCTATGATAGATTGGTATATCTACGGACAGAATCAGATCCTCAACACACAACCATCGGATCCTGGCACGGCTAAATGACCAGTAATCCCCATTTGCAATGAGATTGTCTCCATTTGTAACTTGTTTCAGAGTTGTCTAGTGAATATTAATCTAAACATATTACAGTTTGCAATAGTTATGGGTAATGCAGTGTTCTGCGGGGTAGCCACGTGTCACACCAAACACCTTAGTTCGATTCCCCCAGGGCACAATGAATATAGCCAATATCCTCGGTACCCCCCGCCGTGTTACGATGGCATATTACTTAACGCGACGTAAATAACCATAACCACTCAGTGTAATGTCCGCAGACACAGAGGACATACAAATAAATATTGACTGCAACAGTTATCCATTAGGCACCCAAAGACGCGCCAATCATGCATGCAGCTAGAAATGTTGAACATCTCTGATCTCGCGGGGACAACCGATTCCCCGAGGCGGTGTCACGTGACCTGATTGTTTGCGTACGTTTCCGTTCTTCGTGTGATTGCTGATGTGGTCGGTGTTTAGTTTCAGGCCATGTTTGCTGTCGATAATCATATTGCGACTACAGGTGATAAATATAGGCCTCCTTGTCGATGTCAATTGATACTATGTATTGACTCATTGAATAACGTTCTAGTGAGAGGGTAGTATTTGCACTAGCAACGGTTATCTAGTTTGGAATTATATTCAAGATTGTCTTGGGGAATGATGTGGCCAATTATAATTTTGTCTTTACAGTGGTTGGTTCAAGTCAACTCTGGTTGGCTGTGTTGTAAATTTGTTGTATTTTACAGTGATTAGTTCTACTTTATAACGTTTGGTTAACCACTACTACTACTGCTGCTACAACCACTACTGCTACAACTACTGATGCTGCTACCACAACTGCTACAACTACTGCTTCTGCTACAACCACTACTGCTGCTGCTGCTACCACTACTGCTGCCGCTACAACCATTACTGCTACTACAACTACTGCTGCCGCTGCTGCTACAACTACTGCTGCTACAACTACTGCTGCTGCTAAAACCACTACTGCTACAACTACTGCTGCTGCTGCTACCACTACTACTGCTGCTAAAACCACTACTGCTACATCCACTACTGCTGCTGCAACCACTACTACTGCTGCTAAAGCCACTACTGCTGCTAAAACCACTACTGCTACAACTGCTGCTGCTACCACTACTGCTACAACCACTACTGCTGCTGCTGCAACCACTGCTGCTACAACAACTACTGCTACAACCACTACTGCTGCTGCTACAACCACTACTGCTGCTGCTGCTACAACAACTACAACTGCTGCTGCGACAACCACTACTGCTGCTGCTACAACCACTACTGCTGCTGCTACAACCACTACTGCTGCTGCGACAACCACTACTGCTACTGCTACAACCACTACTGCTGCTGCTACAACCACTACAGCTGCTGCGACCACTACTGCTGCTACAACCACTACTGCTGCTACAACCACTACTGCTGCTGCTACAACCACTACTGCTACTACAACTACTGCTGCTGCTACCACTACTGCTACAACTACTGCTGCTGCTACAACCACTACTGCTGCTGCTACAACCACTACTGCTGCCGCTACAACCATTACTGCTGCTGCTACAACTACTGCTGCTGCTACAACTACTGCTGCTGCGACAACCACTACTGCTGCTGCTACAACCACTACTGCTGCTGCTACAACAACTACTGCTGCTGCGACAACCACTACTGCTGCTGCTACAACCACTACTGCTCCTGCTACAATCACTGCTGCTGCTGCTACGACTACTCTGACGTGGATGTAGGTGCTGCTACTATTGAGTAATGCTACTCATACTACAGTTTCTACTTCCACTACCATCACCACCACCACCAGTATACTACTACTACTACTCGTTACTTTTACTACTACTACTTCTGCTGCTGTTACTAATTTTACTGTGGCTACTAAAACAACCCTATAATGATCCTGGCAGTGACAGTTAATCCCCCTGTCCAGCAACTTTCAGGGAGAGGCTAATATCAACACAATAATGATAACATATTACACTAATCGATAACAAATCAGCGCTGATCAATAACCAATATCCTACCCTCTGTATTTGGGGAACCGGTTTCCGCGTGGGTCCTCCTTCATGTCGCTGGCGCGGATTCCGTTTCGTGGCGGAAGAACCCGTCCAAGCTTCTCGATAGTAATATTGTCCACAAATTTCCTTTCCAAGCCTTTCTTTTTATCTTCGTCCGTTTTACCTTGCTCTGTGGCCTCCATGTTGATCTTTGACTCCTGTCAGTACTAGCGGAAGGAGGATCTCCCCAGCGTCTCTGAGAGCCCCCATGGGCGTGTCCGCTTTAATAAGGATAGCGCGGTTTACAACGTTATAAAATTGGCTGAGACATGAGTTTACGATTTATAGGTAAACAAAACATACGAGATGAGACACGCTCCTATCTCGTCGTCATATATATAAGCCAATATTTGTTTACATTTTGACCTCACCGTATGGACACACTCGAGATGTTAATGTGTGGCACTGTGAACATCATACCTCTCTCCTTCACCACACAACCATATCTAACCATATATCAAAATGATGTCAAAAATATCGTTCATACTATCTTAACAAATACACAAACCTAGAAGTAGGAACTAACAAAACCTACCTGATGAAAACAAGCTATGAGAATATACGCACACCTGTATATTTAACAGGTATTCCCGTGCAGGTACCCCAGGCGATACGAGGTCTACCGGAGTTGCTCAACATATAACTGACGTGTATATATCACATCACATAATCAGGCCTCGAAGGACACAGTCCTTAAGTTGTCATTGCCGCATCATGTAACCATGGTAACATAATCAATACATCATCTGTACTAGAGCGGTTATGGTTCATTGTTCACAATGAGGAAGGAACCCCTCAGGTGACGAGACTGAAAGGCATGTCAGCCAGAAACAAACACGTCTCGGCTGAGTGATATATGTTATGCACCTTTTAGGATAGTTTTATGTTACGTTGTTTTCTGTTGTAGGATCTACCTATTGTCAATTTGTTCGTTTCTTATGAACGCAGTCACAGACAATAGAATCTTAGTCAACAGAAACTGAATTCTTGTCATTGTATACCTGCGTTTGTATAGATCCCTGGCTAAATGATAGGTTGTTGATTCGGGGCTCAAGGCTAATGCATTGTGTGTACAGGTGTTGCCGTTGACCATTTGTGGGAACACTGACGAAAGCACATCGTATTGCGTGTCAATATGAAATAAAGGTTTATTATAAAAAACACCATGGGTATATTAAGAAACATGTACAATTGACATGCTCAGCCAGTCACACTACTGAATTCTCTAGTAATTATGTGATAATAGTGTAGGCTGTAACGACCAAAATATCAAAGGGAAGAGTAGCATCCCTTGGATGCCTTGATCCACCGTGTGCGAGTTCGAATCCGCTTATTTTCGTAGTTCACCAAATGGTACGCATAATATGACTGGTGAAAGTAATAGAGATCATAAAACCAATTTCAGTGTTATTGTTCTGAAATTACAATTAAACAATTAAAACAATGTAACCTCATTACTATAACGATCGTGGTTAGAATAGGTCTTCAGCAACCCATGCTTCCCGTAAAAAGGCGACTATGCTTGTCGTAAGAGGCGACTGACGGGGTCGGGTGGTCAGGTTTGCTGTCTTGGTTGATGCATGTCATCGTATTCCAATGGCGTGGATCGATGCTCAGGATGTCAATCACTGGATCTCCAACAACCTCTTCTGGCCCTTGTTGTTTGTTGTTAAGAGCCGCACTCAGAAATATTCCACCTGTATGACAGCAGTATGTACATAATCGAGTCTGGACCAGACTAACCAGTGATTGACATCATGAGCATCAACCTACGCTATTGGGATACCAGACATGCATCAACGAAGTCAGCGAGCCTGACCATCCGATTCTGTTAGTCGCCTCTTACAAGCATGGGTTGCTAAAGACCAATTCTAACCCGGATTAATGACAGACCGTCGTCACATAGCTGCAGTTTTGCTTTATGCTGCGTAGGGTGCGAATCTGTTAAGAGGGCAACCTCGTTAGTTCTTGCTTCCGTGTTGTTTAGCGAGCACTAAGAACTGATTTGAATTTAATCAAACTGACTTGGCCACATCTTCCAGAGTGACAAAGGCGAATAATATATTTTTTTTTCTTTTCACTTTGACCGATGACGCAAATTTACTGATATGGAGTTCTATTTTTTTATATATTGTAAATATTAATGTTGCTGGACTGCAACGTGAATCAACAGGTCAACCAGTCGATGTATGGATGAAACATTGCCCGTGCGACGTGAATCAACTGGTCAACCAGTCGCTGTATGGATGAAACATTGCCAGTGCGACGTGAATCCACTGGTCAACCAGTCGATGTATGGATGAAACATTGCCCGTGCGACGTGAATCCACTGGTCAACCAGTCGCTGTATGGATGAAACATTGCTCGTGCGACGTGAATCAACAGGTCAACCAGTCGCTGTATGGATGAAACATTGCTCGTGCGACATGAATCAACAGGTCAACCAGTCGCTGTATGGATGAAACATTGCTCGTGCGACGTGAATCCACTGGTCAACCAGTCGATGTATGGATGAAACATTGCTCGTGCGACGTGAATCAACAGGTCAACCCGTCGCTGTATGGATGAAACATTGCTCGTGCGACGTGAATCAACAGGTCAACCAGTCGCTGTATGGATGAAACATTGCTCGTGCGACGTGAATCAACAGGTCAACCAGTCGATGTATGGATGAAACATTGCTCGTCCGACGTGAATCCACTAGTCAACCAGTCGCTGTGTGGATGAAACATTGTCCGTGCGACGTGAATCAACAGGTCAACCAGTCGCTGTATGGATGAAACATTGCTCGTGCGACGTGAATCAACTGGTCAACCAGTGGCTGTGTGGATGAAACATTGCTCGTGCGACGTGAATCAACAGGTCAACCAGTCGCTGGGTGGATGAAACACTGCAAACCTACTTCCGACATTATTGGCCGTTTGGATCTAATCGGCTGGTCCGTTTTCACAAATGTATTTTTTACTTAATTGATAAATTACAAAACCGATTCATATGACAGTTATTAACACTGATTACATTTGATCAAACTTAACCAAATCTGGTTCATCACAGTGAGCTGCTTACCCGCTTAGTCTTGTACAGCTCCAGTGAGCACTGATACACACTTTCCCCATTTCTCAACATATCTACACAAAAACGGTCTGGTTCCTTTTCGTCTTCCCACAACTCAAGTTCAAGGTCATCCCCACAGTTACATTCTTTTCTGTACCACATGAAAGCAGATTTGAGGTTTAACGGTCGCAGAGCAGAACCCGCGTTGGTTTGACTTTTCTCCCTTTTAACTAAACCATCACAACAATATTTCAAATAGTTTGTAAAATTCAGATGGAAGTTAGCGTCCGTATCACTGAAAGGGACTTCCCCTACTAACACCTTGCTTACACGTGATTGGTCAGACGGCCTCTCTAGAGCGTGGAATCTCATTGGCTCGCCTGTTCCACACAGGTGCCCGTATGTATTCTTCCACTCCTGGGGAATCTCAATCGGCTTTCGAAACGTGGTATCTAGTAGTATTATCTGACTTCTAACTCGTGCCAATGGAATGCCTCCCGCCTTCATTGCTGTCTCTATGACGAACGTGCTCCTCTCGACGTTGTTGATGTTGCTGTCTAGACACAGAGGGGCCTTCACGACACCCTCATCATACAGTTTTTCGTGAAACTCCGCCTTTGAAGTGACGATAAATGAATGATATTTCTGGTAGAGTTTATACAGTCCGAGCATGGAGTCCCTGCCGTCAGCTGGGTGTAGGAGACACGATTGTGTGGAGTCCATCGCGTTCACCACGCTCCACGGCTGCGGGCACGCTGTGAATAGAGAGGTGAAGATGAAATAGGGTCTCGAACTTTTAAGATTACTGCACTTATTATAGTGACATGCATGTACTTGTGTGTGTGCCTGCGTGTGCGCGTGTGTTGCTGGCTGCTTGTAATAGTCCGGTCTAATGCCGGTTTTATGTGATAGCCCACTGAGATACCATACCGTAGTTGGTCATGGAAACCCCACGCTGACACAATATACTGACACCGAGTCGACTTGTCCTTGACTTATCCCCTTATGCCGAACGCCAGATCTGGTAACAAGTACAATTAATAACGTGTTTAAGTAGGACGCGCCGGGGATCGAACCACCGACAAACGCTCTATCCACTAGACAACGAGCTAACGAACGCTGCGATAATCAATATAATGAACTACTACAGTACACAGTTGAGGCTCGTGGATAATCGATGTTTGAACAGGGAGGGATTCAACGCCACTTTAAGCATAACTTCAGTTACATCATCACGTGTCAGTTTGAGGAAGTGGGGTTTAACGTCGCGTCCAAGATTATTGTACTTATATAGCGACGTGCATGCACTTACGTGTGGTGTGTGTGTGTGTGTGTGTGTGTGTGTGTGTGTGGCTGCTTGTACTAGTCGGGACTGATGCCGATTTATAGTGCTAGCCCACTGAGATAGTATGTCGCAGTTGAACATGAATATCCCACACAGTATACTGACTCCAAGCCGACCAGTCCTTGTTTTAGCCCAATAATGCCGAGCTCCAGACAGGGTAACAACAACTACCATCTTTTAATGTCTTTTGGTATGACGCGGCCGGCGATCGAACCCCAGATCTTCCGCTCTCCGAGCAGACCCTCTACCACTAGACCACGGAGGCGGTCTGAAGTGTGAGGAAAGCCACGCAGTCATATCACATTTTGTTACGATTCCTATTTGAAAATTATAAATTGTACCATACAGTGCATACGACATTAGACACATTCTTCCTGGACTCACAGTGCGCGTCAAAGGCTGTGTAGGGCAGGCCAGGAATGATAACTCGTCCACAGTTCGGCGCCGGGAAGATTCTTTCATATCCAAGCTGTTTAATAATTCTGAAAAATAGAAGATTGTAAGCTCACACGCTTAGAAATATATAGACTTTATTAGGTCACTCAACCACATTAACATGACATGTGACTAAATAGCTAAACGTTGTTATTATTAAGTATTTTCATGGGTTTAAATAGTCTCAAAATCACAGTGGCACATATATATAGTAATAATTAAATAAGTGGAGTAAGATTGAACACAGTTTTAATTGGCTAGCGCTTTCAACTCGTACCACGTGCGAGTCCCATCAGGAATGATGAATGGCCTGATGAGACTCGTACGTGGTACTAGTTGAAAGCGATAGCCAATTAAAACTGTGTTCAATCTTACTCCACTTATTCAATTATTACTATATTGTGCCTGAGAGTTTACTTTACTGTGCTTTATATATATTATTATTATTATTACTTGGTCTAGCTGTGTCTGTTTTGTGAACCATCTCCAACCCCCTCCCCCTTCTTTCTCGGGGACTTGGTGTCATGGTATCCCGATCACTGGTTTGACCGGTCCATATTCGATTCTTTACAGGCCACTGGGTTCGATTCCCGTCCGCGTAATACCAAAAGAAGTTAAAAGATGATACTTGTTGTTATCCTGCCTGGCGCTCGGGCTAAAACAAGGACTGGTCGGCTCGGGGTCGGTATATACTGTGTCTGAGTTGGGTATTCATGTTATAGTGAGTGAGTGAGTGAGTTTGATTTTACGCCGCTTTTAGCAATATTCCAGCAATATCACGGCGGGGGACACCAGAAATGGGCTTCACACATTGTACCCATGTCGGGAATCGAACCCGGGTTTTCAGCGTGACGAGCGAACGCTTTAACCACCAGGCTACCCGACCGCCCCTCATGTTATACTGCGGCATGGTATCTCAGTAGGCTAGCACTATAAAATGAGCATTAGTCCGGACTAGTAAAAGCAGCCACATACACACAGGCATGCACGTCGCTATATAAGTGCAATAATCTTGGACGCGACGTTAAACCCCATTTCACCTCACCTCACCTTTCCCTTTACCAGGAACCGGATTCTATTAAAGGGTGCCTCAGCTACAGCTAATGATTTACTCCCATCATGTTTGGAAGCATCCTCTCCATGGCCCGCATTTCGGGTTACCTATACTGTAACCCTTGGATCCAACCCATGGTTCTCGCGATCCCAAATTATCGGCCCTTGATTTCCTTTGGCCGATTTGATTTGCTACGCAACTCAGAATGCGAGTACAAGCCAGCCTCAATGTCGGGTTGGCCATGTCAACATTGCGGCCAGTGCCATTGATACGATAGAGTTTGCGAGATATTCAACATTGAAAAACTGTGTGACACGCCAAAGAAAGCCCATTTCAAGGGAAATTGTATTAATAATAAATAATAAAGTCCATTTCTTCAGCGCCATTTCCGTCTACGTAGTCGCCCATAGCGCCTCACACAGGGTCATAGACACATCTAAAGAGATAAGTCTTTAGTTTTTTGTCTTGAAAGTGTCCAGAGTTGGAGATTGCCTAATTTCCACTGGAAGGGAATTCCAGAGCACAGATGCAGTGTGAGCAAAAGTACTGTTGCCGAATGCTTTGAGTGAGACCATAGGGACACTAAACTGGAGTTTATGTGCTGATCTGAGATCTCGTGCTGGCTGGTGTAGGGTAAGAAGTTCACTCAGATAGGAAGGTGCTGTACTATAGTAGCACTGGTATGCAATGCACACGACTTTGTATTCAATCCCAGATCTTAATTGAAGCCAGTGTAATGATTTTAATAAAGGAGTGACATGTGCACGCTTATTTCGTCTACATATCAATCTGGCAGCAGCATTCTGCACACGTTGCAATTTGCTACATAGATCCTGTTTGATATTAATAAGCAGACTGTTAGCATAGTCCAACCTGGATAGGATAAGTGATCTCACGAGCTGATGTGCCGCATCATATGTCAACATGGGTTTTATCTGACTGATATTTCGTATGTGGAAGTAGCAACTTTTGCAGATATTGTTTACTTGACAATCCATGGTCAGGTTTTGGTCAATGATGACTCCAAGGTCTTTGACAGTCAAAGAAAAGGGGATGTCAACTCCATCAACAGTCAAGAATGATTTGGATATTGATGCAACAGATCGGCTACTCCCAGTGAGTATGACCTCGGTCTTATCAGGTTTTATTGTATCATTGTATTATATACACACCGCCGAGAGAAATGCGAACCATGGAAACATAAAGGCGTATGTACGTAAAGAAGAGATGCTTCTGATGTGTACCGGCCCGTGAAGACCCGATTGGTTGGTTGGTTGGTTGGTTTGATGTTTAACGCAATATCAGCAATGTCCCATTCCGGGAACGCTGTTAACATTCTGCCAACCCTAACTTTACTATTGGGTCAGTTGACGGTGAACACAAAATATGGATTGACACTTGATATAGGCTGTCTTGTTGGAAGCCTACAAATTAATAGCATGAACTATCTTGACTGAGTTATTCTTCTAGGGGCAGATTTCAAAAATATATATGTTACAGTCAATGTGTAAAATGTGATTCACTTACGCAATTTACAATCTGCCTAAATATGTCTGTCATTTTACAAATTGACTCAAAATTAAGTCCAATCATATGACTGACTGACCAAACATTGCTAAGGAGGTCACAACGGCTCAAAAACATCACAGTCGACTTATTGTGATAAGATTAAAATAAAATAAATTATATATACATTGACGTCGGTTTTCTTTTAATCCTGGGGCGGTGGGGTAGCCTTGTGGTTAAAGCGTCCGCTCGTCACGCCTAAGAATCGGGTTCGATTCCCCACATAGGTACAACGTGTGAAGTCCATTTCCGGTGTCCCCCGCCGTGATATTGCGGCAATATTGCTAACAGCGGCGTTAAACCTCACTCACTCTTTTTATCCTATGAATTTTAGTCACATGGTTATGAAATTAAGCATCAAACTGTTTAGAATTCGTTATCATGATAAATAAATGGAAACTTGAGATAAAATGATTGAACTATAAAAGCTTTTTGTAAATTGCCTTCATGATAAATAAATGGAAACTTGATATAAAATGACTGAACTATTTAAGCTTTTTGTAAATTGCCTAAGTGAAAATTTCAGTCATTGTACACATTGACTAATATATATTTCGCACTGGGAAGCGGACACTTCCGTCTTGGAATTAATCCCTGTCGTATACGCTAACATGGGGTGCTTATTTTAATGATTCCAACACTTACAGACCGCCGTCATATAGATGGAATATTGCGGAGTTAAACGAGAAATACGCAAAACAAACATAAACAGAACCTTTAATGGAAACATTACGGTACAGCGTGACCTCGTTCCCTCACCGTCGAGAACAATCTATCGTGTTGTACGCGCCAGTGTTGAGAAAATCGGTCTGATATAGGTGGCACATTATGGTATTTATATCGACAAGCTAATAGAGTGTTTTTGTATGTATGTTAGTTACCTTGAAAAGCCTGTTGCCATCTTTGAGAAGCGAAACCGCGGGATAAACAATGGCGTGTGTTCAGCTCCGCGTATCTGGGTCAAAGGTAAAAGTTCATGTATATGTCACTGAGGCTCATGGGATCGATGAGGCACAGCCAACACATCTGTTCCAGTAAACTCCCATGTATCGGGGTATTCCACGCTCGTATACCCTGTTATATACGTCATCAAGCGATTCACTGTTTATATCGATGCTAATATAGTCCAGTGCTAGGAACAGTTGAAAAGTTCGATGTAGGATAAAACTCTTAAATCCTTATTTTTTCTAAATTAAAAAAAATAAAATGAACATCTTCGTAGGATTTACACGAGCTGCGTGTAAAATAGTCAAATTGACATATTCAATATATCTTCGATTTGCAAAGCCAGGGATATTATTAAATAGCCTGAGACCATTAGTCACCATAGCTTTGTTTTGGAAGTGTCCCCGTTTTTCCAATCTCTTAGCACACAATTTCACCCACACAGGAGAGTAATAACTCCGATATTTGCACATATGTGCATTGTAGATATTCTCAATGTTGATTGGTCAGCCAGTACTTCATTGTTAACGACAATAACGTCATCCATTGTTTATGACGTCACAAACTAAGTACGTTACGTCATCTGAAGAACAACAATATATTTCTTCCATTTTAGCTCGAAACATGCTACAAAAGTCAGTAATATACAGAATAACCTACTAAACACTCGCCTAAGGCTCAGGATTAACGCCATTTATTTACTTGGGTAGATAATCCATAATTGGTCGTAGCTCGTTGGTTATTGTCTAATTATTAGTATGGTTCCATTCGAATCATGCCCCAATCAGAGGTCTAATTTGTTTTGTTTAACGATTCACTCAGCTAGCTGCATGGCGATAGCCTATAAATAATGGAGGCTAGACCAGACAATCCAGTGATTGATATCGCGGGCAACGATCCTCGCCGTCGGGGTACGCTGCCACGCCATCAACCAACTCACCAAGCAAGACCACCCGATCAATGATGTTGCATCTTACGGACTAGCAGTGAGGTTGTTAAGGACCAATTATGATATGGAACTCCAAAAATAGTCGCTTCCTACGACTGGCAGTGGGATGCTGGCGATACATTCTACCTCAGGAGCCCAACCGGGGAATTCTTGCATAGTTCATTCAGCTGATTGAGAAAGTGCAGTCTTGTGGTTTTAGACAGATGGCTCTTCCTGCTATAGATACAACTAACCTTTGTCAGCTCCATGCACGTCTGTGGTCCTCATATAACTGAAATATAGCTTGCCTGCTGAGTATGTCAACATTCACTCACTCCATGTGGCTCTGCTTGTTTGTTTATTTGTTGTTTAACGCCGCAATCAGCAATATTCCAGCTATATGGCGGCGGTCTGTAATTAATCGAGTGATTGATTTCAGAAGCATCGATCCACGCAGTTGGGATACGATGGCATGCATCAACCAAGTCAGCGAGCCTGACTACCCAATCCCGTTAGTCGCCTGTTAGGGCAAGCTTGGGGACACAGGTGTGTCGTCTAAGGCACAATCGCCAGAAACCTATGATTGTTGGTTCGATTCCCGATTCGCCCCGATTGTTTCTAGAATTTTCAGCACCATACCCGTGTTAATGGGTTTCACCAAAGTAGTAAACGCAACTTCGGGCTTTCCTGCCACATTTAGCTGACATGAAGTGATATAACTGGGATACTGTTGAAAGCGGGAGTTAAACTCAACTCAAAACAATCTTAAACATAACATTTTGGTTGAAAACTAGAAAAAGTGTTTGAAACAGGAGCAGGCCCTTCTAGAACGCCCCTAGAAATCATTACACACCACCGCACATTTCCAGTGTGATATCATTATCTTCGGTTTGGTGGAATGCTTGCTTACATCACACCAGATTAAAGTATGTCGCCTCTGGCTAACATCCCGAAGATTCCAAAGGCTTTCCCACTGAAGTTACAGCAGTTCAACTCTAGTGGCATCGTCTCCGACTCAGAAAGTCGTATAACTCTAGTTATGTTATAAAAATGTTATGTCCACTTCCAGTTAAAATATATCAAAGATATGTAGTGGGATCTAAAAAGAAAATGACCTATACCTCCAGCTACTTTATTATAAGCAGTAATGGTTGAGAATTCCAGTTGCTTTGTTTGTTGTACCTTGTTTGACTCTGCACTCAACAATATTCCAGCCATATGACTATTAACGGCCACTAAATAATCGAGTGTCGGCCAAAAAATCCAGTTATTTCTGTTGCAAGCAACGATCCATACGACATACACCCGTCATTTCTGCTGGATATACGTAGGTTTCTTTGAAGAAATACTGAGTGGGTTTTTGGTTAAAACTCGAAATTTCTGAATCTTAGAAAGCTCTGATTGGCTCGCTCATACAAGACTGTCACAACTCTTCATACAAACGTAGTCAAATAAAAGAACTACAGCATGCACGTCTTTGAAATTTACAGAACAAGCTGTTTGAAAATGGTAAAATACTTGGAAGGATCTTATGACCTTATTCATAGGTCACTCTTACCTATTCTTGGACCTGTCTTATGATATACAGTGATCTGCAGTTAATGCTTCTTGGGTGAGGGAATTAAACCTTTTTACAGGTCACGATATTTTGAGGATGACACGACCCTTCACATCAGTGACCAAAAACGTTTCTCGGGACTAAAAAGAATACACATAATATATCCCCCTTCCTTTATGACGTCTTCATTAACAACCAAAATCACAGGGGTGGAAATGTCAGGAAGTCGGACATAGGACAACGAAAACTTGCCTGCGAAAAATGAAATAAAAATCTCAACCTTGTCTTAGAATTAAAAAACAGTAACTCTTTCACCACAATGCTGCCAAATGGTGTTGGTGTTAAAAGTGATGCTTTTACTACTATGCTACGCAATGTTCGTGTGACAAGCAACGCTTTTACCACAATGCTGCCAAATGGTGTTCGTGTGACAAGTGATGCTTTTAGAACATAAGGTACCCAATGTTCTTGTGACAAGCGACGCTTTTACCATATGCTACCAATGATGTTTGTGTGACAAGTGATGCTTTTACCAATATGCTACCCAATGATGTTTGTGTGACATGTGATGCTTTTACCATTATGCTACCAATTATGTTTGCGTGACAAGTGATGATTTAACCACCATGCTACCCAATGATATCTGTGAGATAAGCAACACTTTTACCAATATGCTATCCAATTATTGAATAATAATCAGACAAGACAAATGAGATATGAAGTTTAATCATATTTTCATGGTATTTACAGTAATGTAGAAGCACATCACATATACATGAGAAATGGAACAGCACTTGATATTTGGGTCTACATGTCGCAGTGATGTTAAATGAAAATGATCTTGATTGTTTAGTCTCTCCGTAGTGGGAATTTCTCCACCCTCACGCCGTCCTTGGTGATGACGTTGATGACGATGCCGTCCCCTGTGTAGATGTCCCTCTCAGCGGCAGAGATAAAGACGTCTTTTACGAGAGCTACACACTTCTCTTGTGTGAGGGGAACCTTGGTTACACCCTCTTGGTTCTTGAAGCCGATCTGAAATGATTAACATTATATAAAACAATTTAGTACTTTGATGGTGTCTGCACTATTTCAGTCTGCGACTTTAGTCACTAGCCTGAAGCCGGAGTCTTGTAAACCTCTGTTCAGTCTAGTTACTTCAGCTGATAGCAGTCCATAAAATAACACTAAATTCTACTGAAAAGGTTGCTAGGGGCCATGTAAGGGCTAGTAGTTTCAAAAGCTTTTGGTACAGACATGTACAACTGTTAGCTGCGGCAACTGAATCTTTGTAACTGGTGTCACATAGTTACACAGAGGAAGGGAGGTAACTCCACCCTTGTTACTCAAGCAAACCCAAGAGCATGCGAAAACCAGAGCAATCATAAACCTGTAAGGCAAATCGCCATAAAACATTTATTCAGTCAATCTGACACTGCTTTTTTAAACACTATTTCTCTCATACCACGGCATGACAGTTAAATGAGAGGAAATCCTAATGCCATGCAGGCTGTAGATGATTACCACAGTATCAGCAATGATACAAGCAAATGATCATAATCAAGGTGATCCAAGGTGCCAGAAAACAAGCCATGTCATTGCTCCACTTCATAATAATAACCTAATTTCAGGATGGGTAATTTCCCAACTTTTCCAATTACAGAGACAATCATTATATCACATATTCTTTCTACCGATGGGGACCACAGGTTTGTCAGGCCCGGTATGAGTATTTACAGATCCATATATTGATGACTGTGACATGGAAGGACAACAAACTATACTTCCGTGTGTGTCCCTGACTCACCTGGTTGTCCAGGAGGGGCTGCAGCATGGCACTGGCTGACCCCCCAGCTCTGTATGCTTCTCTCTCATAGGAGCCCACTGGGTCAAAACTGTACACACACCCTTTACCTGCAACACAACCAGAGTGCAATTTACCTCTGAATGTACATCATGGTAGCTTTCCCTATTGAACATATTCTACAAAATTACAAATATTCAATAAACTTAGTTGGCCAAGTTAATTTCCTTTTAGCATGTTTAACTTTACTGATTTCTTTGTCCATATGCCAGGATGCAGGAGGCAAAATTGACATTGTGCTAATTGCCAGCTTACAGATACATAACGCCATATGTTGTATAATTTAGGGTATACATATATTTTGTTCATCAATTTCCATTAAAAAGCCAAAATTAAAATAACTATAGTAATATGAAAGAATGTGGTGTTCTTGCCCTTCTTCTTAGTAGTATGTATGTACATTGTATACAATGCATTTGATCAATTATTAATTCAATGATTACCAGTTACTTGTTTGATTTTTGTAGATCTGTCAAAATTGCGGCTTTTGCCTTGCAATTTGTAAACCTAAAAATAAATAAGCACACTGCCTTAGCATGGTAAGATCTTATTTGACAAACATGTTCTACCTTCGTCGTCAAGACCTCCGATTATGTTGTAAACATAGTATGGAAAGAATCGTCTGTAGTACAACATTGTTGACAGCATAGCTGCTATAGCGGATGTCGTCATCTTCTTGTGGTGATCATGGTCATAGATCTGAAGAAAACAGTTCAGGATAGCAAAACAGGTGAGATGAAATGAGGTTTAACGTCACGTTCAAGATTACTGCACTCATCTAGCTATGTGCATGCCATGCGTGTCTGGACTAATGCCGGTTTTATGGTGCTTTTGTTTGTTTGATTTTAAGCGCAGCACTCAGCAATATTCCAGATATATGATGGTGATCTGAAAATAATGGAGTCTGGAGCAGACAATCCAGTGGGAGACATCATGAGAATCGATCTATGCAGTTGTGATACGACACGTATCAGCCAAGTCAACAAACCTGACCACCCGATCCTGCTGCCTCTTATGACAAGCATAGTTGCCTTTTACGGCAAGCATGGGTTGCTGAAGACACACTTTAACCGGATCTTCACAGGTATTATATAGTGCTAGACCACTGGAAAAGAAGTATTACCACGTATGAATGCAATGTGGTCCACCAGAACTACAAAGCTGTGGACAGTTTTACAGAACTGTTCTGAAATATATTGAAAGGATTCAAATGACTACTCTCAGTCTAGTAGTCTACAAAGCATCACTTAAAATGTCCTTGGTATATATACTAAACTTACTCTTTAGATATTTATGATATTGTCATAGGAATGAACTTACCTTTAATCTTGCCTTGAGAACTTTAGTAAGTGTCAATACATCACCATGGAAACCACAGGCACCCAAAACCGTGTTATCGGTCCTGAAAAATTTATTATATGTTGTTATTTCTAAAGTAAATATTTTTGTACAGTTCATCTGTCCATTTTACAGTTAGTTTTCAAGAAGAAATGATTCCATTTCATGTTCCATTACGAACAGTGCAAAATCTATCAATAGACTAAAATAGAACATTATTTCATCTTCTTTCATAGACATATCTTCACTTCAAACAATGGAACTGAATGATATTGCAGGATTTTACTATCAATCAGATTCTCATGGTCCAAAGTGTGTTATTGAGTGAATGATGTGTAACATTACATCAGTGCAATCTGTAAATATCAAGTCATGGCCAGAGATACCAGTGGTTGCAAAAGCAATGACCCAAAAGATATACCTGGTATACTCAAAAGGTGTCATATGACAATAATATTTATTAACAACATGACTTAGCTCCTTTATTTGGGACAAATCACTTTTCTGTATAATTATATTACTGTTGCTAATCATATATTTTCATATTCCTTTACCAAAAATAAAAATGAAAGATAAATATTATTGAAAGACAAACGTTCTGCCTGAATACAATAACTATTGGTAATGGAATACTTACATCTGATAGGTCTTGGGCATCTCTCTGGAGTGAATGGAGAATCCTTCACTCAGCCTAGTATCAGATGCAACCACTGAAAAATCCTCTCCCGCTATTGCCAGAACAGTGCTGAAAGACAACACAGCATGAAATATGTTTGTCATTACACTTACAGATGATTGAGTGAATATTTGTCATATTATGGCATGGCAGCTCAATGTGAGTGAGTTGGGTTTAACGCTGCTTTTAACAGTATTCCAGTTATATCACGGCGTGTCAGCTTAATGTTGGAGGAAAGCCTGATGTGATGCAGGTCTCAGACGTTTACCACTTCGGTGAAACCAACAAGCATGGGTATGGTGCTGACAAACCTAGAAACATAATCGGGGCGAACCGGGATTCGAACCCACAATCATAGGTTTCTGGCGTGCCCAAGGGACGCAACTCTGCACAGTGAATCACGGCGCCTCAGACGACTGGGCCACCCGTGCCCCCCAGCTCAATGTGAAAGGGGAGTTCAAAGTGATGTTGGTCAAATATACACTAACCACTCAGTGTCAGGTGACACACCCAACCATGTCCCAAGGTGCTGGTATACAAATGATGATAATCATCATAATCACGGTGAATCTGGGATACAATCAAATCATAACATAGGCCTAGTCAGGGGTGCAGGCTAAAACGGCACCTCAGCAAAACGTCACCGATTTCTCTGGCGAAAACGGCACCGCATTTGGCGAAAACGGCTACTATGTGTCGGGTGAAAACGGCACCTCTATTTTTAATAATGATAAGAACGATTTTTATGGTAATATATATTGTAAATAATTGTGATCTGGCAGCACCATGTTAGGCCTCTTAAATACAGTTTCAGTTTAAATTGAGTAAAGGTACTCAGAGACTATATGGTCTCTGAGGTACTTAACACTTCAAAGCACATAGTGTTTTCACATTAAAGGGGAAGTGTACACGCAAAAGTTACTTTCTTTCTTTTTCTAAACAAAACGCAATTTTAGAATTAGTTAGTATCTGTGTTTGAAAATATACACTCATTTTTTCACAGTGAAAGTAGGAAGCTCACAATAGTGTGAAAATGATAAGCCGTTATGAGGCCTTCGTTTTTCGAGCTAAACAGGCCTGAGTTATCCCCCTTAGATTATGACGTAATTGGTGCCAATTCAACTGGGTCCCTGTCTATTCTCAACGCAAAAGATATCAAGTACCAGTTTGCGGTAAAACAACATGGCCTACGACACACTCCGGCGCAGTGGTGACTCAGCATAACACTATGCTAGCTGGCATCTGAGACGCAAGAATCACACAACTGTACCTACACCACGTGAAGCGGCTCTAACAAAGCATGATGACGTCATAATGTTTATCAATTGGCACCAATGACGTCATATTGCAAGGGGCATAAGCCATGGTGTTTTTGTTATGGAAATAGAACACTTGGTAAATGTGAAAAATATAAATAGCTTTAATGCGAAAATTATGTTGATTAATTGTGATATTTTTATATTTTTGTCTATGACACTTCTAGGTTAACACTTTTAATGTGGAAAAAGTACAAGAAATATAGGTTCATTTCCGTGTGAACTTGCCCTTTAAGTTAACTGCGCCTCCCAATCAGTCGGCGAGTAAATAAGAGTAGGGGTCTAATTTCTTACTTGTTTTATTTCACAATTTCACAATTATTTGTGTTTGTAAAGACGACGTGAGTTTAATTTCTATTATTTTTCTTCAAAGCATGTCATGTTTTCACAATAAGTTGTGTTGTGTATAAGCTAAGTTGGATTATAGTTGGAGTAGAGGCTAATGTAAACTTGTTTTAGCATCTCACAATTATATTGGTGTTTGCAAGTTACCATATAAGTTTAATAGCACTTTTTTGACCAAGGTAAAAAAAAAAAATAAGGTGCCGTTTTCGCCAGGCAATAGTAGCCGTTTTCGCTTGAGTCGAGGTGGCGTTTTCGCCAATCGGTGCCGTTTTCGCCCGGTGACGTTTTGCTGAGGTGCCGTTTTCGCTATAACCCCCTAGTCAGTACTACTACTACAACTATTAGATCTAGAACATTATCCATGTTCAACAAACGTTTGCTGCACAATTTTACTGCTTTGTTAAGGATTTGCTATTGGAACTCATACAGTTAGTATGTGCCTCGATCAAATGTTGAGAATAGGCTACATGCTACATCGAAGCCTATCCATCATCATCATTCAACACTGTTCACGTCTTGTTTGTAGCCTGTTACAACCAAGTGTAAGTGTCCAAATTCCTGCTTACCCTCCGTTAAATGTGTATGGGTTGAAATGAGCCTGCTTTGGATTCCCGTACTGATACATTTCTCCTCCTTCGGGATAACCCTGGACAATTGCAGGATCCATCCTCAGCATTTTCAAAGTATGACTTAGCTCTTCTGTTTGGGAAAATGGCAGACGAAATCTCGTTTCACTTGTCACGTGACCTGTCCATATTTGTTTGTTGACAAGTAATAAAGGACGATTTGTGCCTTTACTACTAAAAGCACACTTAAAAAAGTAAATAGTCACGACATGGTTTATCGTAATACTTAAGTATAAGGTTTTCTGGGGGTCTTTATCTTTATCTTTTAAGACAAATCTCGCCTCTACGAGACTTCATAGAAGCGGCATATTCAGCATGGTAATTTGAGTTCGTGATAGATTGTCACAAATACAATCGCAACGGGATATTTTCGTCCTTTTGAATATTTCACTTCAGTGCATGACTGCAAAGTATGGTTGTTCATCATGTGTTCAGAACTAATTTAGGCGACATCATGAAATAGTTCCGTTAGCGTTGATTTTGTAGCAGGTGCTTGTAAGTTCGTTACCCGATCGTAAACGTGACGAACCCACTATATCTTGAAGTAAGGGTTCAATAGGCTTTATTATGATCTTAGTGACATAACCTTTTCAACTCTTGCATATTGTATCGCATTGTTTCATTGATATATTTATGACAGAAAAGAAATGCTAAATAAATGTCAGAAGGGACATAAAATCACTCAATGGTGGGGCCTTGCATTGTTTTCTGGAACTGTGTCGTGTATCTCGTCTTAGTTTTGATTTTAAGGGAGTCAACATATTGGCCACATCGTCTATGCTTTATTGGCATGAGGCCAGACTGCAGTTTTCTTGTCAAGTTGCATCCCTTTTGTAACTGGCATGATCTGCTGATTATCCAGTTGTATTCCAATTTGCCCCGATTTAGTGAGAATGATCCTTCATCTTTGTTTCTCAACATGATTCACATGATAATCGTCTATAACCTGCAACACATTGCACTTCCTGTCTATAGCTTTGTAGTAGTTGGACCATACACTGACTGATGCTCCAGTTGATTGCAATATTTTACATCTCAATACAAGTATCAATCGAAATCGCACACTAAGTATTGATTCTTACCTTAAATGTATCCTTTAATAAATGTTGCACCAAACACTAATTTCTAATGAAAATGAGTAGTGAAAACATATTTTTTCATCAATATTTTCATCCATTGTGCCATATTTGACTCTGACAGTGACATTGACAAATCGTAAGTGTGCCAGGTATTTGGCCACCCTGTCTATGAAAAAGATGGCTTACGCACCACAGATAAGGGCACATAGAAGTATTGTGATACGTATTGGATTGCACAAGTGGGGTATCGTCCCAGCCCTAATAACTGGCAACACATTGCACTTTGCACTCTCCGTCTATAACCTTCCCCCCTTTATTGTAACAGTGTGCAATAAAACTGAAATACAACCCAAATTTGTGATAAACCAATTCATTCACTTGACATAAAAGGTTCCCACTGTATAGGTGTTTAGTTACTAATTTTACATCCATCCACAAATTTTACTGTAGTTAACCATGGTACTTTGGCAGGTTACTCGTGATTATCCGGGTTAGAATGGGTCTTCTGCAACCCATGCTTGCTGCATGTGCTGTAATAGGTGACTATGCTTGTTGTAAGAGGTGACTAACAGGATCGGGTGGTCAGGCTTGCCGACTTGGTTGATGTATGTCATCATATCCCAATTGCATAGATCAATGCTCATGATGTCAATCACTGGATTGTCTGGTCCAGTCTTGATTATTTACAGATCGCTGCTATATAGCTGGAACATTACTGAGTGTGTTGTTAAACAACAAACAACAATCTTTGATAGGTTGGTTTGAAGGGCAGAGAAAGGCTGTGAAGCAAGGAAGATAAGCATGCTGAGTAAAATGCACTATTCAGTCAATGTCTGACTTCCCACAAATGTGATGAAAACACTTCATTTATATTCACATGGGGCAGTCGGGTAGCCTTATGGTTAAAGCGTTCGCTTGTCACGCCAAAGACCCGGGTTTGATTTCCGACATGGTACAATGTGTGAAGCCCATTTCTGGTGTCCCCTGCCGTGATATTGCTGGAATATTGCTAAAAACGGCGTAAAACCATACTCACTCACTCATATTCACATGTCATTGTAATATTCAGACAACCAAAGGGAGATAACCCTACTAACTTACATTAAAGTATTGGCTCAGATTGTTAGAAGAGCTTCTCTGTGCATCTGTTTTTGTCACTGATATATGTTTCAATATTTTGTCCTTTCAGCTATTCTATTCCTTTTTCAAGTCCCTTGTTGGGAAAGATGTGGTGGTAGAGTTAAAGAATGACTTGAGGTAGGTACTTTTGTTCAGATGCATTTGGGGCCATGAGTGGCCCAGTCATCTGAGGTGCCGTAATTTGCTGTGTCAGATTGTGTCCCTTGGGTTTGCCAGAATCTGATGATCACTTGATTGAATCTTGGTTCGTCCTGATTGTGTTTTTAGGTTTTGTCAGCTCCTTACCTGTGCTCATGGGTTTCACCAAAGTGGTAAATGTCTGCATCTCGTCCTTCCTCTCATGTCAAGACACACGCCGTGATATATATTCATTACTGTTCAAAGTGGCGTTAAACCCAACTCACTCACTAGGTCAGATACAGTGGTTTGTTATAGTTACAACTTGAAGCATGTGTTAACTCCCTTATATGTGTATGAAACAGTACTTGTATGATTCACGACTGGGAGTACCTATTTCCTGTTTCAAATGATAATTATCATATTCCATTTTGATAAGAACAATACAGAGATAGACACCAATGTCACTGTGTTGTAAATTAGAATGTTTTACCTTACACAATAGGTCTGTAGTAATTGTAATCATGGTAGCCACACTCAGGGTTAGCAGCATTAGAAATTGGTCCTTGTCCAACTGTCCAATGGTTAAGGTATGACAAGGACTAGTAGAATTTGGCCGTTTTTAAGGGTTTTGCTATGTGTAATCATTATAAAGGCTAGTGAACTAAAACTGTTAGTTTCTACCGCTGGGTTAGGGTTAACCCTTATCACTGAACGTAGGTTACTTGTAATATTCTTCAACAGCATTATCCTACCTTTTATGAAACACTTGGTCTGGCACAAATTTAGTCATCATAGACTGAATGCTTGTGTCACTGACTACACCATGAGTTGGATGGACTCTAGTCCATGGTTATTTTGGCCTACCAGTTTACATTACTTGATATTGTGAGAATACAGCCAGTGCTTTCAGATTTTCACTACAGCCTTAGAAATTCAACTTTTTTGAAACTAGTCCAGATGATTTGGAAACCTTTATTCACAATTCCTCAGACTTTGCAGGTAGTCCTGTTTGAACAAGACCAAAATGTTTACCATGTTTACATTTTCTGTTAAGTTTTGTTCAGTTCCACAATGTAGAAAAATTGAAGTCTTAAGACCTGGTTCAGAAGTATGTCACTCAAATGCTACTAGTCAATAAAGACTACCATCATTGGATATTTACTTGTCCTCAGCACCATTTAGTTGGGGCGAGCGGACTAGCGTTAATTAGGAATGTTGCTCTTGTGTGTGATAGACGATATGTGTATGTTCTTCATGTGTTTATTTCAGTATTTGTGGCACCTTACATTCTGTGGACCAGTTTCTCAATATCAAGTTGACAGATATCAGCATCACGGATCCTGACAAGTACCCACACATGGTGAGCCCCCCAGTAGGAGGAAACTATGTCCTACTGGCTAGCGTACTTCCAGTGTTCATAGTATCATATAGCAACCCATGCTTGCTGTAAAAGGTGACTATGCTTGTCATAAAAGGCAACTAACGGGATCGGGTGGTCAGGCTCGCTGACTTGGTTGATGCATGTCATCGATCCCAATTGTGTGGATCGATGCTCATTATATTAATCACTGGAGTGTCTGGTCCAGATTCGATTATTTAGACCGCCGTCATGTAGCTGGAATATTGCTGAGTGCGGCGTAAAACCAACCAACCATAGTATCATATTCATGTATAGAAAGCATATCCTGGACCCTTTTGCCATCATAGCTTTGCAGTCTGGTTAGAATGACATAGTGGTTATAAATAGCTGTCCAATCAGTCTTTCCTGATTGAAACTAGCAGTGACACCACCAGTACATGACATCCATCTCTAATATGACTGTGAGCCTCTTGCAGCATAATGCTTTCACTCTCCTTGTCTAATAAATTAAGAAAACATCTATTCCAGTTAAAAGTTCATGGAAGACAATATTAACTTATTTTTAAATATATGATGCACTCACTCATATGGGGCCACTGTTTTGAATGTGGATGAATGACAAACGCTCATTCAGAAGAGCTATTTTGATTGGTTGTCAAATTCAAGCTCAAGAGCAAGAGAAATTCATGATGGTGAATAGTTCCACGGTATTTATTATGATATAATGGAGATAAAATATGCTGTATATTTATTCTATGACTAGGCAGGTTTCACTGCTGAGAAGAGACACTGTTTACTTTACCATCGAAATGTATCCTGGGTACAAAATGATATATATCTTAGTGTACCCTGATTTTGGAAGTCTTGCAATAGTTTGTCATAAGTGTATTCATGGTCAAATTACAGCATTTAACAACATGGTCACTCCCTCCAGACTGTATGTTGTGGGTGGGTTACTGGCAAGAATTCTTTCAAGTTGTCAATGCTAACATTAAATAAACACTACTGCATTTGCCCCCTCGGTAAGAGGCTGCTGCTGATGGTCAGTTTGATCCACGAGTTAATTCCTCTAATGTTCCCTTTCAGTTGTCAGTGAAGACATGCTTCATTCGAGGATCTGTTGTGCGATATGTTCAGCTGCCTGCGGACGAGTGTGACACACAGCTGCTGCAGGATGCAGCGCGCAAAGAGGCAGCTCAGAACAAGCAGCGATGATACTCCGCTCACAGGACAGTGAGAAGCACTGTGGACTTCAGTGACATTGAGAGAATGTGGACGTGTGTGTTGGAGAGATTGTGTTGACATCAACGGAAGCATGGAACTTGCATCACCTAGCAGATCATTGTCAATACTTTATGGGTTTGTATACGCTATGTTCCTCACCTGGGAATACATTCTGCCATTTTGTGGTATAGTTTCTCATTTTAAGCCAGGTTCATTATAGAAGGAACCATCTGGTGCTCCTACCAGAAACAGCTATTATTGTGTTGTGTTGTGTTGTGCAGCATGTGCCTTCATCTACATACTGCTTTAATCCACCACGGGTAAGCTTCATACATGCTACCTACATCCCATGAAGATGGGGTAAGGATTTGCCTTCAGCAACTGATGCTTGTCGTAAGGGACGACTAACGGGATGGTTAAGCATGTGACTATTACTATTACTCCACATCTCTGCCCAGTGAGGCAGGTGAGGGAGGAACCCAGTGTATACAAATCTGTGAAGTACTGACGATGCCAGCTGGGGACTGTTGTACAGAAGATGGACTATGTCTGGACTGGCGCCTTCTTTGATGAAGGGGTTGTAACGTCGGTTTTATGAAATATCACATTCGGATCGTACAAATGTTGGAAGCTTTTTTCAGCTGTTCTTGAAAAATGGAAGGATCAAGGTTTTAGTTCAAAATTGGTAATAATTTACATCAGGGTCAAAATTCATGGTAATATCACCCTGGATTGGTATTTGACACAATTTATTGCAGTCAGGTAATTGATTTGTTTACTGTATTGAGAGAATTCTTTATTGACTTTTGTTGTCAAAGTTTTTGAAAAATGATGTGAGAATGTGAAAAAGTTAATTTTTTCAGTTTTATGATACAAGTTAAATCTTTTGTAAATAAAACATATACATGCTGAAATTTGTTTTTCTATTATAAGTTTCTTAAAGATGTGAAGATGGTTCTTCAGTAGCATAAGAGAAGCTGTCACCACATACTACTTGCATATCCTGAATGGATCCAGGATTATTAATAAAGAGGAGGCTAAGGTGGAGTGAATGACAACTGAATCCCAGTCAGAAGTCACACACTTGAGGAAGCCACTGCCTTAGGGTTGTCACGTAGGGTGTCTGAAAAACAGGGCTATGCAGTATTTAAATTATTAATTTGTTATACCCCACACTGGGTTTGTCAACATTAGAAATTGTTTTGCTAATACCCCGGCTGATGAAATTTGCTGAAACTGACATGAAACATGAAAACAAGTATGGTTTCATACATGACTACTACTTACAGCTTAAGTCAGCCTTGGGGGTACACTGGTTAATGGCCTTACATAAGTGAGTGAGTGAGTGAGTGAGTGAGCGGTGTTTAACGCCCCTTTTTACAGTATTCCAGTTATATCACAGCATGTCAGTTTACCACTTCGGTGAAACCCACGAGCACAGGTATGGTGCTGACAAACCTAGAAACATAATCAGGGCGAACCACAATCATAGGCCTCTGGCGTGCCCAAGGGACGCAACTCTGCACAGTGAAGATCAGCGCCTTAGACGACTGGGCCACCCATGCCCCTGGCCTTACAATGAAAAGGATGCAAGTTTGAAACCCTGGGCATAAACATTTACTCATGACTTGTATTTTGATAAAAATCAGGATTTTGAGGAAACCATTAACATAAATAATCTTAGCATGGCAACACCAAATAAATGTAGGGGTATTATCATGAAGCCTGTATGTTTGGAAAGGTTGGTTGGTTGGTTTGTTATTTAACGCCGCACTTAGCAATATACCAGCTATATGACGTCTGTCTGTTAATAATCTAGTCTGGACCAGACAATCCTGTGATTGATATCATGAGCATCGATCCACGCAATTGGGATTGATGACATGCATCAACCAAGCGAACCTGACCACTCGACTCCATTAGTCGCCTTTTACCCTGGATTTTCACAGGGAAAGGAGGCAGAGCTCCAGATAAGCTTTTGGTGTTGTGGGTATTTTACCCATGCATTTTAAAATCATTGGGTATCAGTAATTCTACCTGCGTATTCAAATTTCTGTTACCCACTTGTTTTTACACATGTGGGTATTTAAGTTAAATATTCAAAAACACTATTCATCTGGTCCCTGCAAACTGGTGTCGTGTGGGTTCGAGAGCTTTATAGGACTCAAAAATACCACGATACTTCCACAAGAAAGTGTGATGGCAAATGATCATGATGTAACTGTCATCGTGGAGTTTGGCAAGGTTGACGGAATGCCCCTTTATAATTTCAAAATAAGTTGTTGATTTGCTAATCGAATACGCAGGGTTACTTCACAATATTTTGATGATACGCACAAGTTTTATTTTTGTAGCGTATCTGTAATGTTCGTTGCGTATTTGATACGCTTGGATTATATTTTACTGTGTATGTCTGCATTTCTGATGCGTATTTCACGCAGATACGCAGCTTATCTGGAGCTCTGAGGAGGTACAATCAACTGAGAAAGAAGAAGCCATGGCGACGGGTATTGGACACACCAACATTTCAGTAGCCATAAAGCCTCTTCTGTTACACTTAGCATGATCCTCGGAGGATTTATGGACAAGAGAGATAACTCGCTGAATATTTCACCTCCGTAGATTTGTTTGTTGTTTAACACCGCACTTAGCAAATAATCAAGTCTGGACCAGACAATTTAGTGATTGACATCATGAGTATCGATTTACACAATTGGGTAATGATGACGTGCTTCAACAAAGTCAGCAATCCTGACCAACCGATCCTGTTTACAAGCATAGACGCCTGTTAGGGCAAGCATGGCTTGGTAAATACCTATTCTATCCCGGATCTTCACGGGTGTAGAGAACAAGAGAACTTTCATGACTTATAAACATGACCGACAAGGTGAAGGTTTGTGCCTCCAGATGAAATTTCTGATTCTAAATAAAATATAAAATATTCTGACTAAATCAAGACTAAATGATTACCTAAGAATGCTGGCCGTTAAAGCCCTGTGAAACCTCATATAACACATTTCTTCTTTTGACGGGGAAACCAGGACTTGCTAGTTACAAGATACCAAGATAGAATATTTGGTTGATAATCATAATTTAGAATTTTTTAAAATGTAACTGCTGAACATAACTATTTTTAATCAAGTTATAAATATGCCTCTCTTTACAAAATATGAAACATGGGGGCTTTATGATTATTGGCGCAGGCGTTGCCCAGTCGTCGAAGGCGCAGCAGTTCAATATGCAGATGTTGATATGTTTAAATTTGTGCAGTTTTGAGCATTTTGTGGGGTTTTCTCTTTCATTACTGTTCACCAGGCCTACGAGGACATTTAGTCATTCATGAATGGAATGTTTGCTGTTGTATTTACACAGCAACAGTTTGGTCCTTCGTCTGCGTACTTTGGTTTCGGGGGTGGAATAAATGGTAAGACTTCCGCCCGTATTCCCCCTAAAAAATATATATGATAGAAATGATTGAGCCGCAATGCATAGGAGATATGTTTTGGAGGGGGTATATGGGCGGAAGTCTTTCCTAATAATTCTTTTTTGGGGTAAAAACATGTTCACAGGTCTACTAAATTGCCCGAACCAAGTCCCTCTACGGGTGCCATGAAATTGTGTCACGTTCACCCAAACAGTGCCCCGCGTCGATCAATAAAGATCATGTGATCAAAGTGCCCACGTGACACGTACAGGCTCAAAGCTGCGCTTCAACAGCAAGTACCGTACAAAGAAAGTCATTGAGGCTATAACAGAGGTTGAAAATCTCACAAATTCTTGCACGCGATTTACTTGCAAACATCTCAAATAAAGAAAAGGTTTGTATTCTGTCACACTGTTGTGTTGAATCTTGATTATGTTATGTAATTCCTAAGGGCTTCTTCCATATACACTGAAAACAGTTGTCTACGAAATTAGTATAGAAACATTAAACCCTATATGGGCCCCAAACCCAAACTATTAATAGATACTAAACATTCTAGTTCCGGTTCCGGCTAGGAAGTCAACTCGTGTTGTATCTCAGAAACGTGTGTCTGAAAATGGCAATTCCAAAACGGAAAATGGGAAGATTACTTAAAATAAGTGGTGTAATTGTGGTTTTAGCATTAGTACTTTTGATATGCCGCTCTTTAATAAGGAAAAAGCCAGTCCTCGATATAGATCTGAATCTTTTTGACTTTAGACACAAGTTGGGCCATGTTTATTTTGACTACAGCCAGAGAACCATCACTTTCTCCGAACATAATGATGGTGACTCATATTTAACAGTAACTTTTCCTCAAGAACTACAAAGTGCGCCTGACTTGACTTGTGATTCGAAAGATTCAAACAGCCTTTGTTTAAAATGGCTGCACAGAGGAAAGTTGGAGATAAAAGAGTCCATTTCTCAAAATGCAAGGTGTTATAATATTGTTTGGACGCCCAAGAACAATGGTTTTGTGCCCTATGACTGTTTCCCTTTATCAGACGCCCACTGGTACGGGGGAAGTGCACATTACACACATGACTGGCCAGTAGAACAGCTGAGTGTCCCGCTACAACCCTACATATCATCACCTCTCCACGTTTCCAGGGAAACGGGCAAAGAAGTGTTTGGTCCTGTTCTTGAGCGATACTGGTTCAGTTCAAAAGGAGTAGGGGTGTATGTTGACAATTCTGTTCCTTTGCATGTGGGCATCAACGACAACAATAGTAACAAGATGTGTTTTAAAGCATCGTATATCACAAACCGTTTCCAGAATCCTGAAAATCTTCCACCAATTTTGCGGTATTTTGTGTGTAAGGCTAATAATGCTAAAGAAATCCATGAACATATGTATAAAAAATGTTTTAAAGTTCCCACTCGCATACCAGATGAATTGAGAATGCAAAATCCCATGTGGACATCTGCGAAATTAAGAGACCAAACTAAACAATCAACTGTGTTAACTTACACAAATGAAATCAGCAAAAATAAATTTCCTAAAGGTTTCTTTGAACTTTATGGCAGATATTTCAGAGCATATGGAGATTATAATTTTGATGATAAAAAGTTTCCAAATGCACATCAAATGATTGGAGAACTGAAGTCCTCTGGTTTTGAAATCGGAACATGGGTCACCCCTTATATGGATCTTAAGTCACTCCATGCTGAAACTGGGAAGAAAAATGGATATTTTGTTCATGATGCTGACTCGGAGACATTGCCAGCCAGCATAGCTTGGAATGGCAATGTATCTTTGTTTGTTGACTTTACAAATGAACAAGCTTACAAGTGGTTCCATGATATACTGGAAAATATACAGAAAGATTACAGAAATACTGCTTTTGTATTTGATGGAGGCGAGTCTTCGTCCTTTGATCTCAGTCAGTCAATGAAGACTTTTATTCACAATCCGTGTGAGTACAGCACTAAGTATGTGGAACTTGCTGCCAGTCTGGGAGACAAAGGGACAGTGAAGGTTGGATACCAATCCCAGCAGTATGCCATGTTTGTCGAGATCACAGACAGACAGTCCAGCTGGGACTACAACAGTGGACTCAAGTCAATCATCCCGACTGTTCTAACTTACGGTCTCCTCGGTTACCCTTTTATCAACCCTGGTCCTATTGGTGGAAGGGGAAGTTTTTCTCTGAAGCCGTTCAAAAATGAAAGTTTTGAATCCAAAATTCTGCCCGAGTCCGAGCTGTATGTGCGATGGATGTTGCTGTCAACTTATTTACCCATCATGCAGTTCTCCTATGCCCCATGGGAATACAACAACGAAACAACACTATTAGCTCTTCAACTTGTTCAATATCATCAAAATAAGGTCTTCCCACTACTAAAGGCTGCTGCGAAAGAAGCAGAAGTGACAGGTAATATGCTTGATCAGTTTCGACAGTTCCATATATATGAGGGGGGTGCACGGGTGGCCCTGTCATCAAGGGCACTTCCATTTGCTATGTAGGGTTACATCCCTTGTGCAAACCCCAAACCTATGATTGTGGGTTAAAAGCCCAGTTCGCTCTAGTTATGTTTCTAAGTTTGTAAGCATCATACGAAATAAGTGGAACAATGTTCAAAACGGCAGTAAGTCCAACTCACACATTAGGACAAATTTAGTTGGTTTACAGATTTTTATTCAACAAATACTTGAACACAGGAGAGTAAAAAATAAAAACTTTCTGAACTCAGTATGCTCAATATGCTCAAAGACTAAATTTGTTCACCTGTGAAGATCCGGGCTAGAATATGTCTTCAGCAACCCATGTTTGTTGTAAAAGGTGAAAATGCTTGTTGTAAGAGTCGACTAATGGGATCAGGTGGTCAGAATCTCTGACTTCACATCCCAATGGTGTAGATCGATGCTCATGATATCAATCACTGGATTGTTTAGTCCAGACGTGATTATTTACAGACTGCCGTTGCTGAGTGCGACGTTAAACAACAAACAAACACACAGACAAAGAAAACTAAATTTTGTTACTGCATTGTACCTATTGACACATTTTCTTGTTTGGGTTATTATAATTTGAGACTAAACATGCTAAAACCTGGAGAGAACATACACTGTGAAAATGTTAAAGTAATTATATATATTGGGATAATAGGCTACTGAGACAAATATTTCCTATTATGCAATTTGTAAATTTCTGTTGAAGTTTTGACTTGACACAAAACTACTGGTGCATCTGCAAAATAAGTAATAAAGTTGGTCTTGCTTTATGATGAGATGTAATGGTTGATTGTTACAAGTAAAGGCTGTGTGTTCAATACCAGGGATTATCAAGGTTTTTAAAGTTAGTGCCCCTGGCAGGCAAATTGGGAAAAACATTGTTACTTTGTTTGAAATAGGGATTTTTTAAAGTTATTTTTTTCTTAAATTCAGATGTTTGCCTATTGTAACATTGAATTTTGAGATTGCATTCAATGCGATCATCATGATAATATGTAACTAAGCATAACAACCTCTTCCTATTTATTTGTCCTGTTATCAGCATGATCAGTGAAATACACTTTATCTCTACGAAGCCATAACATTATCTATTTGTTTTAGATATTAACATAAATTGGGAAACTTTTAATTCCATTTTGCAAATTTCTACTGTCATTTTCTGCAGACATGGGGCTGAATTCAGGCCATTGAGCAGGTCCAGATAAATCTCTTAATAAACAGCAACCGTGACAGATTAACAATAGACCTTTGAAACAATTGTGTGTTCTTCAGCTTCTTTTGAGTAGTGTATATTCAAAATCGATAGGCTCAGGATATTTATTAGTCTGTCTTACAGACCCTGATACAAATATATATATCAAATACAGCCCATGCAAGTCTATAATGTTTGGCAAGTCTAGATTACTGCAGTATCTGAAAATGAAGAGAGTCACTGGGCTCCCTTTTATTATATTTTTATTAAGATAACTGAACAACTGTTTTTTCTGTACATGTTCATTTCAGAGACTAGATGTTAGTCTAGATATTTTAGTCTGTCTCACAGACAATGATACAAATATATATCAAATACAGCCCATGCAAGTCTATAATGTTTGGCAAGTCTAGATTACTGCAGTATCTAAAAATGAAGAGAGTCACTGGGTTCCCTTTTATTATATTTTTATTAAGATAACTGAACAACTGTTTTTTCTGTACGATATGTTCATTTCAGAGACTAGATGTTAGTCTAGATATTTATCACAACAGAATTGAGACTGAATACGCTGGATTCAGATAAACACACAACATGAACACAAAAGTGTGGCATTCTAGGAAGGAATAAATTGTTGCAACTTTCTGTCTTGTCAGGGATGCCAATTATTCGGCCAGTCTGGTGGGTGGCACCAGAGGACATCGTTGCCCAGCGGGTCGACTGTGAGTTCTTGGTGGGGGATGCCCTCCTGGTGGCGCCAATACTGGAGAAGGGGGACAGGGAGCGCCAGGTGTACCTTCCAGCTGGGAGCCGGTGGAAGGATAATCTACGACAAAAACATTATGATGGCGGACAATGGCTGGAGCATTATCGCGTAGAGCTGATGGAAATTGCAACTTTTGAGCGAGAAAAAACTCCTTTGTGATTATATTTGGAAGAAGGAAGAATCTACAGTGTGATGAGTGAGTGAGTGAGTTGTTGACATTGTTTTAATCCTGCTATGTGGTGATTAGCAGACACTGATCAGGAGTGCTTTGGGATAGTTATGCAGTAAGTGAGTGGTTTTGTGCAGCTTTTACCAACATTCCAGCGATATCATGGCGGGGGACACGTGAAATGGTCTGCACACATTGTACCCATGTGGGGAGTCGAACCTGGATCTGCAGCATGATGAGCCAAGGTTTTAACCACTAAGCTACACCACAGCCCACATATTTTGGGAAGTCTGAAGAAATTGTTAAATGGTCATAGCTTTTGATATCTGAAATTTCATATACAATTTATACTCACCGATTATATTATCTTATAAAATTGGATTTTCTTGATAAGTTTGATTACTTTTTTCTTATTTTTCTATTTCATGATGGTTTTATGAACAGGCCCAAATGAACTAATTTGGTTACCATGGTTACAAAATTTATTTTTTAGAACAAAAATGTTTTCTATCCATTGGTAATCATGACAATGTATAGCAATATTTAAGTAAGGTGAATATTGAAGGTGAAGTTAATGAACTTGAGAGAATTGTGAGTGGTTGAGTTGGTTGAATTTCTGTTATTCAGTAGCATGTCTGGTTATTGTAAAAGGAAAATTAGAAACTTATTGTGCGACTTTTACCATTAGTCTGAAGCCAGTGTCTAGTCAAATTCTGTTGGTCTAGTAAGCTCAGCAGATAATGATCCATATGATAACACTAAATTCTACTAAATTTTATATTAATAGCCATTTTCAGGTCTTTTTATATAAGGAGCCATTTTTGGGTCTCAGGAGTTTTTGGCACAGACTGAAAACATATGAAGACCCTAAATGTTAACTTCAATAGGCCCCACCCCATGAAGATCTGGGTTAGAATTGGTCTTCAGCAACCCATGCTTGTCATACAAGGTGACTAACAGGAATGGATGTAAACGTTTCCTGATTGTGTAGATCAGCTGTAGATTGATGCTCATGATGACAAACACTTGATTGTCTTGTTAAGACTGCTATTGCTTAGTGTGGCGTTAAACAACAAACAAACAAACAAACTAAATACAGCAGCATGAACCTAAGTTAACTCTTTCAACACCAGTCAACCAGAAGTGTTTACTACTGGGACACCGAGTTCCCAGAGACTATTGTGTGATAGATGAAGCCAATATTTACACCCACGGGTACAAGTTAAAACGGAGCAGCGCAAAACGGACTAAAGAATTAGGTCAAAACGCTCATGAATGAAACTCCCATGGTGCCGGGCCGTCAGCTGGCTTGGTAAACAGCTCAGTACCGCACTGTCGAGGTTTCAAAAACCTATACATTGTATCAAAAGTGTTACAATGTTCTTATTTCTTCACACAGTGTAACCAAATTGTATAAACATCCAACCCGAGTTGATTGTCTTTCCAACAGTATCTAAAGTCAACAATTGGTTGGTTGGTTTGTTGTTTAACAACTGAGGGAAAATGTGAGTTTGAGTCATTTGAAACATAATTTGGTAAGCTAGCTAGAGTAGTTGTGAAGCTGGGTTGTTAAAAAATGTAGTAGATATTATTTTTAAATCAATACAGAATTATGACATTTTGACCTAGAGATATTTGCCTGTATGCAAGTGAGCTGTGTTTGTATGTACAACATATTACTTGACACAGTTGTGGTCATGCAAAAAATCATGAGACAAAAATGAAACGAAGAAAAATGTGTTATTACTTAATAATAAATCTGTGTTGTGCATTATTTCTCTAAAACGATATTTATTGATAATATTACCAAAAAGATGTAAATAAAAATAATAATTTCAAGCAAACAGCATTTTAATCATGTTAATTGTCATTTTTGTTTTATTTTGGAAAAAAAGGTTAGCCTTATGTCATGTAAAAGTGAAACAAAGAATATGTTGGTCTAGACTTAGATAGAAATAGCCATACCCAGCTTAGATGTTTCAAATACCTTTGCCAGAGAGCATTGCCTTTGTTTTATCAGTATTAACTTGAGACTGTGTTTGTGAAGTTCCTTCAAAGTGCTTCCTATGTTGATCCAAGATGTCAAATATTGCATGAGTGTATAACATGATTCTTAACCTAATCTCTTCCGGCTGTCAAGTTAATGTGTTTGATCATATACTCTATGGATATAGAAGAACTGTTGTGAAGTCAGCTGGCTTTCAGCAGCATTTCATGTATATCACACAATTTATACTACTATGCATTTAATCACATTCATAAAGACCTCACTTTTGAGGGTTTGAGGGCTGGGGCTGCAGTGTGGTTGTAGGAAGTAGAAAGTTTATGTTGAACTATTGTTTATGCTTATACAATCATTACATGGCATGGTCAGATGATACAAGCCTCCTGATGTGGTAGTTTGGCTCATCTGTCTTGGATTGCAAGCACATAGGAAAATGTTTGAATCCCCATGTGAGCATATTTTCTGATGACAATTTCTGTTTATCATAGCATGTGACCCCCTAAACAAGCCCTCAAGAACTTATTTACAACACTCCACCCCTGCCCCCTCCTCCCTTTTGTAGGAACAAGTTTGAATCCCCATCTGAAGCCAATTTCTGTTTCTCATAGCATGTGACCCCCTAAACAAGCCCTCAAGGGCTTAAAAACAACACCCATATCCACCCCCTCCCCACCCATATCCAACCCCCCCCCCACCTGCTGACATTCACTCCCCAGTCTCTCTTCTGATCTCTCTACATATTTTGTTACCAGGGTACACTGTACAGGGTGATTTGTACAAAAGGTTTGATTTATGTGCTCAAACAAAGTGTACAACTCCATACAGTGAAACCTTGATGTCGCCCAGAGTTCTATCCCTTGGTGTTATTTGAGGGGTCTGTCTTTTTAAAAATTAATAATAACCATTAAACATAGTATGATATGATATTCATACAGAATATGCAAAAAACATATTGACAAAATATTATTACATTAATAATGTTTTGTAAATTCAATTTTAGAATTCAATGACATAATGGATATTGTACATGTTTACATAAATATTTCTGTACAAGTTATTTGCAAGTTCCCTGCCTCAGGGCAATGATAAGACTGTGTATGTGTGTACTGTACATGTTTTTGTACAATTTTGTTCAAGACAAAATATAAATTTCACGAGTTTTTCAATCCAGTTTTGATTTCATCAGTTATTTTCCATACTGGAGTAACAAACTTATTATTTTTGCATATTCTATTGGACAATAGTTTTTCAATTGAGAGCCAAAACATTTCGTTTCTCACCTATTTGAATATTGCAGGACACACAGATAAATATATGGCAATTGTTATGTGACATTGCAATTATGTATATTTTTGTTGTTGTATAACTTAATGAACAATTCTATGTTTTACCCTATCATTCCATGAATAAAGAAGTATTATAATTTGAAACTAACCCCGTGTCTTGTGATTTCACAACATGTAAAATTGATAGTACAATACCCTGTCCCCCGTGGCGATTCTGGGTTAGATTCAGTCGAGTGGTCAGAATTGGTAACTTGGTTGATTGCGTGTCATGATCCAGTGTGGATCGTAGCTCACAATATCGATCACTTGATTTGTGGACCTAACTTGTTTATATACAGGCCTCCATCATCTGAGATCTTGTGGGTGTGGTGTGGTACCGGACTGTGTCATCCTGTCACCATGACAACAGTCTTAGTTTACAACTGCCCCATGGGGATTCTGATATAGTTTGACCCCAGCAACGTCTGTGTGGTGGGTTATCAATGCAGAGTGATGTGTTTACAATAAGATTGTTATGATGACACTCGCTGGCCATGCTGTCAACTCTCCTGCCACAGAATCCCCACGGAGAAAAGCATGGGGTACTGGGGACCTACTCTGCCAGGTTATCCCCACAGCGAGACCAGCATGGGGTACTGGGGACCTACTGTGCTGGGTATTCCCACTAGGGAGAAAAGCATGGGGTACTGGGGACCTACTGTGCTGGGTAATTCCACCAGGGAGACCAGCATGGGGTACTTGGGACCTACTTTGTACTTGGGACCTACTCTGCCTGGTAATCCCCACAGCGAGACCAGCATGGGGTACTGGGGACCTACTGTGCTGGGTATTCCCACTAGGGAGACAAGCATGGGGTATTGTGGACCTACTCTGCCAGGTAATCCCACCAGGGAGACCAGCATGAGGTACTGGGGACCTACTCTGCCTGGTAATCCCACCAGGGAGACCAGCATGGGGTACTTGGGACCTACTCTGCCAGGTTATCTCCACAGGGAGACCAGCATGGGGTACTGGGGACCTACTGTGCTGGGTATTCCCACTAGGGAGACAAGCATGGGGTACTGGGGACTTACTTTGCCGGGTAATCCCACCAGGGAGACCAGCATGGGGTACTGGGGACTTACTTTGCCGGGTAATCCCACCAGGGAGACCAGCATGAGGTACTGGGGACCTACTTTGTACTTGGGACCTACTCTGCCAGGTTATCTCCACAGGGAGACCAGCGTGGGGTACTGGGGACTTACTTTGCCGGGTAATCCCACCAGGGAGACCAGCATGGGGTACTGGGGACCTTCTCTGCCGGGTAATCCCACAAGGGAGACCAGCATGGAGTACTGGGGACCAACTCTTCTGGGTAATCCCCACAGGGAGACCAGCATTGGGTACTGGGGGCCTACTTTGTACTTGGGACCTACTCTGCCTGGTAATCCCACCAGGGAGACAAGCATGGAGTACTGGGGACCTACTCTGCCTGGTAATCCCCACAGGGAGACCAGCATGGGGTACTTGGGACTTAATTTGTACTTTGGACCTACTCTGCCTGGTAATCCCACCAGGGAGACAAGCATGGGGTACTGGGGACCTACTCTACCTGGTAATCCCTCCAGGGAGACCAGCATGGGGTACTGGGGACCTACTTTGTACTTGGGACCTACTCTGCCTGGTAATCCCACCAGGGAGACAAGCATGGGGTACTGGGGGCCTACTTTGTACTTGGGACCTACTCTGCCTGGTAATCCCACCAGGGAGACAAGCATGGGGTACTGGGGGCCTACTTTGTACTTGGGACCTACTCTGCCTGGTTATCCCACCAGGGAGACAAGCATGGGGTACTGGGGGCCTACTTTGTACTTGGGACCTACTCTGCCTGGTAATCCCACCAGGGAGACAAGCATGGAGTACTGGGGACCTACTCTGCCTGGTAATCCCACCGGGGAGACAAGCATGGGGTACTGGGGACCTACTCTGCCAGGTTATCTCCACAGGGAGACCAGCATGGGGTACTGGGGACCTTCTCTGCCGGGTAATCCCACCAGGGAGACCAGCATGGAGTACTGGGGACCAACTCTTCTGGGTAATCCCCACAGGGAGACCAGCATGGGGTACTGGGGACCTACTCTGCCAGGATATCCCCACAGGGAGACCAGCATGGGGTATTGTGGACCTTGCCTGTCACATAATCCCCACAGGGAGACAAACATGGGGTACTGGGAATCTAGTGTGCCACTTAATCCCTACAGCGAGACAAACATGGGGTACTGGGGACCAACTATTCTGGGTAATCCCCACAGGGAGACCAGCATGGGCTACTGGGGACCTACTCTGCAAGGTAATCCCCACAGGGAGACAAGCATGGGGTAGTGGGGACCTTGCCTGCCACTTAATCCCTACAGCGAGACAAGCATGGGGTACTTGGAACCTACTCAGCCACGGAATTCCCACAGGGAGACATGCATGTGATACGTGGGATATATGAGTGCATAGATTTTAATGGTTCTCAAACAATACCATTCTAATACTTAAATCGTACAAGACTCAAAGGCATTAGTCACGCGTCTCCAAATATCATTTTTTCCAGATCTACCGCACCTGATGAGCCAGGTATTTGTAGTCACATCTCGGGTCTATATATGGACCCCATGTGCTTTTTGGGTGCCTGGTTCCAGAAATAGCAGATAACAGGCTGGGCCTGTCCCACACATGTCCCGCTCCCACACCCGGCATTGAACCACCATGGAGGCTTTTCACATACTGTGTCTCGTCATCGGTGAGTTTCTTTGGACTAACATTTAAAAACTGTTAATACTAATTGAAATCTTGACAGTCGTGTGGTATGCACTTTCTGTTGTGGAGGGGGTTGGTGGGTTGAAACAATGAACTGAATAAGTGAGCTATTTTATCGACTCCTCGAGCAATATATGTCAGTTTTATAAGGGTGTGTCAGCTTATAGTAACAGCATGAACAGACTTGCAGCGAACAACGAGCACGGGTATGGTACTGACTGTACAATGAAGAGTTAAAGTGGTTCAAATTCGATTAGCGGATCCGTTCACGATGAGGCTACTCTTCAACCTAAATTGCGGAGCCTTATATATACAGTTGGACCTGATATGTTCCCTGAAGGTATTAATGACTAAAAGTACATACTTACATTAAAGGAGGTAAGTTCTTAATTTAATCATTGAATAATCACAGGACAAGTTCAAGGCCAGATACGGTGGTCACGGAAGCTGACGAACCGTGATATAACTGAAATACTGGTTAATTGAGTGACACACCGTGATATAAATGTACTGTTTAATTGAGTTACACACCGTGATATAAAGATATATAACTGAAATACTGGTTAATTGAGTGACACACCGTGATATAACTGAAATACTGTTTAACTGAGTGACACACCGTGATATAACTGAAATACTGTCTATAGTGAGTGACACACCGGACATAACTGAAATACTGTGTAAAATAACTGACACACCGATATATAACTGAAATACTGCTCAAAGCGACTGACACACCGATATATAACTGAAATACTGCTCAAAGCGACTGACACACCGATATATAACTGAAATACTGCTCAAAGCGACTGACACACCGATATATAACTTATATACTGTTCAAAGCGACTGACACACCGATATATAACTGAAATACTGCTCAAAGCGACTGACACACCGATATATAACTGAAATACTGCTCAAAGCGACTGTCACACCGATATATAACTTATATACTGTTCAAAGCGACTGACACACCGATATATAACTGAAATACTGCTCAAAGCGACTGACACACCGATATATAACTGAAATACTGTTCAAAGCGACTGACACACCGATATATAACTTGAATACTGCTCAAAGCGACTGACACACCGATATATAACTTATATACTGTTCAAAGCGACTGACACACCGATATATAACTTGAATACTGCTCAAAGCGACTGACACACCGATATATAACTGAAATACTGCTCAAAGCGACTGACGCACCGATATATAACTGAAATACTGTTCAAAGCGACTGACACACCGATATATAACTGAAATACTGTTCAAAGCGACTGACACACCGATATATAACTTATATACTGTTCAAAGCGACTGACACACCGATATATAACTGAAATACTGCTCAAAGCGACTGACACACCGATATATAACTGAAATACTGTTCAAAGCGACTGACACACCGATATATAACTTGAATACTGCTCAAAGCGACTGACACACCGATATATAACTGAAATACTGTTCAAAGCGACTGACACACCGATATATAACTTGAATACTGCTCAAAGCGACTGACACACCGATATATAACTGAAATACTGCTCAAAGCGACTGACGCACCGATATATAACTGAAATACTGTTCAAAGCGACTGACACACCGATATATAACTGAAATACTGTTCAAAGCGACTGACACACCGATATATAACTGAAATACTGTTCAAAGCGACTGACACACCGATATATAACTTGAATACTGCTCAAAGCGACTGACACACCGATATATAACTGAAATACTGCTCAAAGCGACTGACACACCGATATATAACTGAAATACTGTTCAAAGCGACTGACACACCGATATATAACTGAAATACTGCTCAAAGCGACTGACACATCGATATATAACTGATATACTGTTCAAAGCGACTGACACACCGATATATAACTTAAATACTGTTCAAAGCGACTGACACACCGACATATAACTTAAATATTGTTCAAAACGACTGACACACCGATATATATCGGAAATACTGCTCAAAGCAACCTCGATACTTCACGATTATTGCTCCCAACGGAAGAACATACTAGTTGAAGCACCTTGGGGTATTGATGATGTATTGAAAACATTGCTCAGTCAAATTAAATTTTAGTGCTCATCATCATCTGGTACAATAGCATCCCCACTCGATAATGTGGTGATTTATACAATTGTCTGTTTTAGTTGGAGCTGCATTTGTTGTTGCACAGTTTCCGTTTCAACCACCAAATGGTAAGTATTATTACAGTACTTTTACTTCACCCGAAGGGTTCTGCAGGGTAGCTGTAATTCTCAACACACTGCACATAAACTCGATGCAGTGGTCGTTCAGAAGGCCTCTCCTTGAAAAAACTGAGTCTAGGCCGATTTGATAAGGCATTCGCTTGATTGACACTCATTTCTATTATTATTTACAGATTAAAATAATAGAATTGCAGCAATGAGGGTTTGGGTGATCCTGGCACAGTCAGGCTGGTTTGGCTCATCATCAGCCCAGGGACCTTGCCCTCTCTACACGCAGCCAAGACAGCGAAGGGAACTTCTCCCAGGGAGCGCTGCCCAGTCAAACCCAACCGAGAACTTTTCGGAGAATGTGAAGACTCCCCAACACTGCAGCCTTCCGCATTGTCAGACGGGCTGTATTCCCGGTAGCAAACCCAAGTACTCTTCCAATGTCAGTCAACAGATTGGGAGGTACCAAACTTAAGGCACCGAGAAAAATGGGGCGTCGGACAACTTGGTACTTGGGATGCAAACGTGACATTTCAAAAGCGAGGTGTGCATATTTGCCATGTTTTACCCGAGTCGTGTCAATCACATTAGTGTCAAAGAGGGACAGAAAATTCAATAATATAAATTATTTCATTGGATTTATCATAACGGACAATCAGGTTTTTTGGCCTGGATATGTCTGAAACAGTATACGGGCTTATTCCAAAGAATTTTTTATTTATCATTTTCCATGACACCCTCTACATATTCTGGGTAGTACCATGGATGGACCACTGAGTCAAAACCACAAGCAAGGTGAAGACGGTAATAAAAGGATCGAGCCACCCCATCATGTCGCTTAAGATACTGTGTTTGTGCCAAAGCTGGGCATCCACTGACAATGTATTGGACAGACTCGTTAAATTCATTGCATAATCTACATTTCATATTTACATTTTGATGCAAAATCACACATTGATGGTTTCGAGTGGGAAGTGACTGGTCTTGACTAGCAAACAGAAAGCCTTCTGTTTCGTTTTTCAGACAAGCCGACTTCATCCATGCGAAGGACTCTGCAGGGTTGCTGATCTTCTCAACACACTGCACATAAACTTCTTCTTCTTCTTCGACTTCTTATTATTTTATTGATGATGAACCGACGAAGAAAGATGGTTAAATAAATATGAAATGAAATATACGATAATTGAAAAATATATGAAGGAAGTGAAATCTATCATAGATTATATTTCAGTTCCCTCGCAGTCCTGTCTGACGTGTACCTATCTGAGCGACCCAGCTGACTGCAAGCATTCCAAGAAGTGTTACCCTGGTGATGTGAGTTACAATGTTACAATGCTGTTACTTACCGATTCAATATGCAAACAATAATGGCATTCATGCACTATGTAATGTATGAATTTAAATACAGTTAGCCAGACCCGTGAAGATCCGGGATAGAATAGGTCTTTAGCAACCAAAGCTTGCCGTAAGAGATGACTATGCTTGTCGTAAGAGGCGACTAAGGGGATCGGGTGGTCAGGCTCGCTGACTTGGTTTGTGCGTGTCATCGTATCCCAACTACTTGGATCGATGCTCATGTTATGATTCACTGGGTTGTCTGGTCCAGACTCGATTATTTACAGACCGCCGTCATATAGCAAGAATATTGCAGAGTGCGGCGTCAATCAATCAATCAATCAATCAATCAATCAAATACAGTTAACCTTTTATCCCATATAACTAAGGTTCTCTTTTTATATCGCGGTTTAAGACCATCAGATCCAAAACTTTATTTTTAATTTAAACAAACCAACAAACAAACAAACAAATACATACATACAAATAAATAAATAAGGTATGATAAGGAGGGTAATGTAAAAATAGTAGAGACAATTATGTAGTACCACCTTCCGATTCGTAATCTCATTCACTTATGTTTGGTAGAAGAGCAGATTCTTGAAATGTATATTTTAGTTCAAATACACTAAACTACGGTTATAACGAACACGCTTATAACGAACTACGGTTATAACGAACTATAAATAGTAGTCCCTTTGAGTTCGTTATAACCGTAGTTTACTGTATTTAAATGTATTTATCACATGCCTACCGTGCATACGACTCTGTCTCTATGTTTCAGTCCTGTTTCCTTGGCGAAGTACACGAGGCAGACAATGAGACCTACTACATCCAGTATTGCTACCCTGAACCTGTAAGTCAAAATATATTTTGTCTCAGGCAATAATATGTGTCTTGCAAAATCACGCCAGCAAAATGATGAAGCATGATATTTTACCAAGGTATTGTGTATATTCCCACCTATTGTGGAATGTGTGGTAGTATCATTTAAAAGCAACTTCGTCTTTAAATCCAGGAGCCTCGGATTATATCGGAAAAAACACATTTGTCCCAGAAAATGCTTGAAAAAACTCAAACTGTTGCAATGAAAAGGAATTGTCTGCCACAAAAATACGGAATTTAAATAATATGTATATTTAAGCTCATAGCTTAGGTGAAAAATATCCTCTCTCCAGACAAAATCCCGGCGCCGTTAAACTCACTCACTGACCCAAAATTCACTGTAACGTAGCCCTGGAACCTGATTTGAATTTCAATAATAAAGCAGTACATACATAATCAGTTACAGCAAGCAAAATAATGATAAATGGGCAAGTGATGTACATGGCGTGATACAAACAACATCTAATAATGGTGCCTTCGGCGAGAAAGCTTAAGTATGTAATTTCTAGAAACAAACGTTGTTGAACATACACCAAATGTATTTCGTCCTATTCGGGAATACGTATCTGAAATTTCAGTTGGTTGGTCTGTAGTAATAACTGATAGACTAGAAACGAAACAGTTAGAAACAGCGAGGGTGGCTACGTATCTTCCAACATTTTCCAAAGCCAGTTAACATTATGAGACAAGATGTTTACGTTAAGCATTAGACACAGACAGAAAAAAGCTTTGCACATTCTACAAAACTATTCATTGCACCAAGATTATCTTCATGCCTTAGCTCCTTAGACAATTGAAACTTTCATTGATTGTAAACTACGAACCAAATTTAATCGTTCAATCCTCAGATTCAGAACAATAACTGTACAAAAATCCTTCATTTATGTTAACAGCGTCGTGTGGAATCAGGGGGACACGGGCGGCCCAGTCGTCTAAGGCGCCGCGATTCGCTGTGCAGAGTTGCGTCCCTTTGGCACGCCAGAAACCTATGATTGTGGGTTCGAATCCCGGTTCGCCCCGATTATGTTTCTAGGTTTGACAGCACCATACCCGTGCTCGTGGGTTTCACCGACGTGGTTAACGTCCGAGTCCTGCATCACTTCAAGCTTTCCTCCCACATTAAGCTGACACGCCGCGACATAACTGGAATACTGTTAAAAGCGGCGTTAAACCCAAACCCAATCAGAAGTAAGAGGAGCAAGTACATTACAAGTATTCAAAGAGAACATAAGTCAGAAACAAAGCTCTATGCCTTGTTTTTACCCGTCAGGAAACCGTTAACTTTACACGCAAGACTTCTTAACGCTGACGTTTTCAAGGCAAATCTTGTTAAATTTGACTGTAATTGTGAATCAGAATCTGAAAATGTTTCCTCGAGTGTCGCAATAACATTATATCGCTATAGCGTTTTCCGAATTTGGCATAAAATGTGGTCTTTATACCATTCTATTTTGCGACCCAACATGGATGACAGTGTCAATGAATTCCAGGTAAATAGTTATAGTTTATCGACTAAAGGATTTAAATAGTTCATGGGTTTGTCTCCAAATATGTTTGTTGAAAATAATACTAATGTTTGCATATACTGATCTTTTGGACAAATTGTACTTTTAAAGAAAGGGCGAGATTGGCCCCTGGAGCTTTTCCCAATCCTATTAACTGTATTCAATCAAAAAATTATGTACAACATAACGAGTGTCACGTCTCCAGATCAGTTGTAAATCATTGTTGTCTGACACAGCCTCTGTAAACCTTTACATTCCAACCAATGGCGACCGACGTAACATCCCCATTGGTAAATCATCGTGTTCTAACACAGCCTATGTAAACCTTTACATTTCAACCAATGGCGACCGACGTAACATCCCTGTTTGTAAATCATCGTGTTCTGACACAGCCTATGTGAACCTTTACATTTCAACCAATGGCGACCGACGTAACATCCCTGTTTGTAAATCATCGTGTTCTGACACAGCCTCTGTAAACCTTTACATTTCAACCAATGGCGACCGACGTAACATCCCTGTTTGTAAATCATCGTGTTCTGACACAGCCTATGTAAACCTTTACATTTCAACCAATGGCGACCGACGTAACATCCCTGTTTGTAAATCATCATGTTCTGACACAGCCTATGTGAACCTTTACTTTTCAACCAATAGCAACCGAGCTAACATCCCTGTTTCTTGCTGCAGGGCTGTTTACAGATGAAGAGTCTGGTCGAGCAGGGGAACAACGAGCTCCGCGGCTACCACTTCAACTGGATCTCCTGCTGCAACACCGACGACTGCAACAACATGATACCTCAACCCTAGACGCTAGTGGTCACGTTTACATTGCATGGCATGTTCATCTTAGTTCGTTATATGTCGTCAGCCATTTTGTGCTTTTTGTGTGTAACTTTAATGTATTTTCAAATTTCAGTTGTTCGGTTTGGTTAAGATATTAAAAGAGATTTCAACAAAATAAACGTTATCTAATCCCTCATGCTCAAAGAATATATTGTTTGTCGAAATCGCCCTTTTTTTATAACGAAACAGTTCCCACCGTGTGTACAAGTAATTTTTCATCCCAAACTGGCTCCCACAGGAGATATCGCTTGGGTGAGATCAAGCGATTTATAACTTGTCCGTGAAGAGATCACCCGTTTAATAAACATACAGCTGTATTACACATCGTGTAATACCAAAACGCGTGCTTTTGTACTCTTTTGAAACCTACCAACATCCCTTGGCTTATTCAACGACATTGCGTGTGGAGATGATAGATCACTGAGAGGAGCTTATGCACGTTCGATTACCCCAGCAACCTTGTTGCTAGGCTGACGTCACATGGCATTGTTTCGTCGATGGATCTTGAAACAAAATTCCAGAAATTACGTCATCGGGTATTGTGACGTGATTGTAAACTTTGATCGCTCGTAAGTATATGATGACAGTTGTCTGTTGGGCATCCAGTTCTTCTTCAAACAGATGCAAAGGCAAAGAGTTGTCTCCTAACCAAGCGGATTAGGTCGCGATCTTCGCGTCCTGACGTCACACGAGGCCGTCCAGACCTTGGAAGGTCCTTTACCTCATGCCTTTGTCGATGTTTTCAGGGAACGTTTACTTTTACCTTGATATCGCTTTTATTATTATTATTATCCACCAGCCTAAATAACATTATCTTCCGTAAAAAAAATTATATTAAGAACTAAGAGGAGCATTACATTCAGGAAAGTACGTATTAGACAATTCCCATGAATCTAAATTCGTTTCTTCTTACCACAGTATTGAATTACTGGCATACTTTCATGAAACTTTATGTCACTATACACTTTTGAAAGTGTGAAAACGATTTGAAACAACCACTAGAACCATTTAAGTAACAAACCATATCATGATGTAAACAGTTTCTGAGAGAATATATGGAACTGCATCTTCCCGAGGCAAGGGAGTTAACTATGAAAGTCCAGTTTCTACCCTTGCCGAACTAGGCTGGTATTATGGCGTTACATTTTGGCTGGACTAACGAGTCTATGCATAGTCCAATCAAAATCGCGAACCGACATCGAAATCAGGTTCGTAAACTGTCATGCAGACTTCGGTCGATTGCAGTCTTTTCAAGTTTTTAATCAAGGTGCTCACATGATTTGATGCACTTCGCGATGTAAGACCCGTTTTATCACAATATAGATCTTGATTGTCGATCAGATCGTCTTGACTAGGCGCCGCCTTTTTGTACTCATTGTTTACATTGCGGAAGTAGGCTAGGGTAGAAAATAGGTCACAGCCTCGCTTCGATTAGGGAATTCCCTTTTCGCTTTTCGACTAACGGTTATACTAACTTATAGTCCGGGAACAAACATTTTGAATATGCCTACCAAGTAGAGGCTAGTTGTACGCAGCAACATTTACTGTCAGTATTGTCAGTGAGTGTGTTATACCATGGATGGACCTCTGTGTCCAAACCACAAGCATGGCGAAGACGGTTATAAAATGATCGAGCCACTCCATCATGTCGCTTAAATTCATTGCATATTATACATTTCATACTTTTATTTTGATTTATAAATCAATGCAAAATTTCGAGTGGGAAGTGACTGTTCATGAGCAACAGAAAGCCTTCAGTTTCACTTTTCAGGCCAGCCGACTACATCCAAGCGAAGGACTCTGCAGGGTTGCTGATCCTCTCAAGACACTGCACGTAGGCTCGTTACAATGGTCGTTTAGGTAGTATCTCCTTGAAAAACTGAGTCTGGGCCGATTTGATATGGCACTTCGCTTGGTTGACACTCATTTCTGTACCCGTCAGCAGTACAGAACCATTAACAAAATCAACACTGACATTGAGATTATGTCCCACATCCTTGGCTCATTTATGAAAACTGTTGAATGCCTTATTTTCATCATGAGTCCTGAACTCCTTCAAAAGACGATCATCAGACAAATAAACGTTTACAAAAGTGCACAATACAATTCCATCATGAAGTACATCCACGTTAATTAAACCACGCCATCCCATTATGGTTGGTAAATATAAGCGTTTGAGGGAAGAGCGAGTGTAGTGGGATCTACTGTCTGACATGATTCTTTGTGTGAGGGCGCCCAATTCCCTGAATTTCTTGTTTCGTCTCATCAACAACACCAAAAGAATATGAAAGGACGGGTACAGCATAAGTACTTGTGGCTTTAACTTATTGCGAGGGTTCAAATCTGAAATCCAGATTTTCTTAAGTATACATTTGTACTCTGCCCAAAGTGTTTCCTTGATATGGGCATTCTGGAGCTTGCCCCTCACCTGCATCTCTAAGTTCTTAAGTCTGACCTTCCATGAGATGGTCAATAACTCCAAGTGAACTGACTGATCCTCCCTCTTCTACCTTGCCACGTTTCAGATGAAGAATGTTGCATTTGTCAAGTCCAAAGACATTCCGATACCATTAGAAAAGGACCCGACACGGGAATCTGTTTTTTTATGTGGCTCCTCCATTGGCAATACGTTCAAGATCATCCATGTAAAGGAGGTGAGTAAGGGGTGTTGGGGATCTGTGCTGAGGTCCATGATGAAAATCTTCCTCTGTGCTAAACAAAAAGCTTAAAGGATTAAGGGACAAACAGAAAAGCAAAGGACAAAAAGAATCGCACTGAATTATTATTATTATTATTATTATTATTATTATTATTATTATGCACTGAATTATTATCATTATGCACTGAATTGTTATTATTATTCACTGAATTATTATTATTATAATAATACAAGTTGACTGTTTATTTTTCGTTCAAGTTTGGGTTCATTAAAATGCAATGCATTATGGGTGTTATGTGTCATTAATGATAAATGCAATGAATTTTGGCTGCACCAGTTTCAAAGGCATTCCTTAGAAGTTGACGGGTGACAGAGTAGACACGGTTAATGGATAACAACTGCTTTATTTACTTCCAGGCGACTTTTCTACTTGACCTTCGAACAGCAAGTCCGCGCATCACCCATCCAACCCATTTGCTGGTAAACAAAAGTCGACGACACCTTTGTCATCCTTAAACAAGACCAACCCTGCTACTACAACATCTACCTGACATCATCCCCGAGTACAGTTCACCATTGAAACGGAAAAGAATAACTACCCTTCCTTGTCTCCAGAACCCCAACCAACAGAGACCCGTGAAGATCCGGGGTAGACTAGGTCTTCAGCAACCCACGCTTGTCGTAAAAGGCGACTATGCTTGTCGTAAGAGGCGACTAACGGGATCGTGTGGCCAGGCTCGCTGACTTGGTTGAAGCATGCCATCGATCCCAATTGCTTGGATCGATGCTCATGATGTCAATCACTGGATTGTCTGGTCCAGACACGATTATTTACAGACCGCCGCCATACGTCTCTACCCCAACCAAACGAGCCATCAACCTTTCTTCTCCTGGCCCACAAACACCTCTCAAGTCTATACTCACCTCAACAATTATCCACCCAAACTCGTCAACAAAGTCATCACCCTCCAATTTAGAGGGAAAATTTCCCACATCATCAGCCGCCTCCTTTAAAAGCAAGCCAGTACTGACACCTACTTCACCAGATACACCACCCTCAATACCCTACTGAGAGCTTGCGGTGGAAACACATCAAGAACCTAAAGGTGTAGTTTATTAAACTGACTGTAACTGTGGACAATCCTATGTGGGTGAAACATCCCGCCATATCAACTCCAGAATAAAAAAGCACAAGACATCAACCATCAAATCAGACAGAAAATCAGCCACCTCGGACCACATCAGCAACTGCCCAAATCACATCAACTGGGAAAACGTCCAAATCCTCTCCAACAACTTCCGCAACTTCACTAAAAGAAAACTCACAGAAGCAGTGCACATTCGTCGCCACAAGCCATCAATCAACAGAGTCCAAGGTTATTCATCCCATCCGCCTACTATGAATTCATTAAACAATAATCACCCCACCTGAAAACTTTAAACTGTTTAATTGGCTTCCCATCTCACTGGCTACCCCATCATGTGTTCCCTTCCATCATGTTGTTACAACATTACAGGCAGACATGAAGGTATTGTAAGAGAACATAGACTTTGTAGAATTTGTAAAACTGATTGTATTGAAGAATTTTATGTGCATGTCCAGTATATAATGATGTAAGAGCAAAATATCTAAATAACAAACGGTAACAAATTTTATAAATTAATGACACGTGATTTATCAATGTCCATTTATCATGCTATGAAACAAATAAAATGTATCAATTTGTAACGCCCCAGACAAAGCACTATTTGCCTTTGGCCTCATCAATAGGATGAATAAATATTTATTGATTGAGCATTATCCTTCTGTTGAAACTATTTAATCTACTAATGTAAATCTCACTCATTTATGCAATTGTTGTTGCTGTTAATTATGTACCATGTTCATTATTCAGCCTTGCTTGAAAACAGTAGAAGGATCTATTCCGAAACGACGCCTGTACAGTAAAACAACGAAGGTGTTATCCATAAATTTCGTCTACTTTGAAATATCACAATGTTCATTGTTAATGATGTTCACGATGACTGAGCACAATTCAATTGCCACGGTTTCCGTTTATTCGGAACAATATTTTCAGCGAATGTCAGATTTGGAAACAAGGAGATGGCATTAGCAATTATCTTTGAAAGACCTTGTTTTACCTTGTACCATACAATCTCTGCAACCAGTATCAGGAAACTGCAGATCAGCCCAATTCCCACAGCAAAGAACATACTCTGGATCTTGGTGAGTGACACAGCTTTAGGGAAACTCTCTACTGGACATTTGACCTTCGGGGCAGACTGAAGCCATTCTTGAAAGGTACGCTGCAGGATACCACTGTCGCGTAGATGATACATCCTGGCAGTGACAATGATTTACATAGGATTACATCTCGAGGATTACCAAACAAAAGAACGCTAACGGTCTAATGGTACAATGCAAAGCGTTGTCAAAATACACAGAAATCATCAGATGAAAACAG